TTTTCTCGGTAATCGTTTTGACACCCACATTGGCACTTTCAAAAAAAAACGAAAATATTCATTATTAAAAAGGTGTACTTTTCACACTTTATGAAAAAGTGAAATTCGAAGAAGAAGAAGAAAAAAAAATTCAATTGCTTAGCAATTTCATTGCATTCACTTTTCACAAACTCTATGTGAATTGATGAACACAAAAACAAAATATATTTTTTTGGATACAAAAACAGATAAAGAATGTATATCTATTTTGGTTTCTGTTGACAACCATAACTTCATATCATCATCATACACGTTCCAAATGATTGAATTTTTCTTCGACAAAAAAAAAACAAATAATCATAATCAAATGACAAAACAAAATGTCTGTATATGTTTTGTATGATGATCAAATACTGATTCCGATGTTTATTATTATTATTATTATTAACGACGATGATGATCATCATATATCAATGAAAATAAATGTTCTATGTCTAGACATTATTATTACATTGTCATGGACAATATTCTTTTTTTTTTCAATTCATTTATTTTTTTTGGATCAATAATTTACGATAATTTTTTTCCTAGATGAACTGGATACTTTACTGGAGATTCGGATTATTCTTTCTTTTTTTTCAAATATAACAATTTCAGAGATTATTACATTCGATTGATTAGATTAATATATTTTCTTTGTTTGTTTGTTGGATTCTAATCACCTGTCATCATACATTTTATCCAAATATGTTATGTTTATGTCATTTCATGTAATACTTATGGTTTCCCCCATTGGCCAAACACTGATGATGATGATGATGAATGATCTGATTGATTGAATATAATTTAATCGATCACATTGATCATCATCATCATCATCATTTGTGTGCATACGTTATCCTGTTTCAAGTTGTCTTGATGAAGATGATAGATTCAATTGATGATTTTTTTTTCTGTTGTTGTAAGCATTTCTCTTTCTCAATTGAACAATATTGATGATGATGAACATTTTAGGTAACAAACTGTGTTAAGCACGTTTCTATCAATTGTTGATGTGTGTTTGCATCACATGTGTATATCTGGAATATTTATTATTTAATTTACTTCAATTATACTTAATTGAACTTATTACTGTTGATGTTTTCAATGCTTTTTTTTTGTTGAATAGACTTGCCCTTTCAATAATGCTCTCTTCCTTTTTTTGAGATGTTGTTCACTACCATCATGATGTTTTCAATTGATGTATCCTGAAAAATGATGAAATACACACACACACACACACAACATCATTCTCCTGGAACACGTATTTCTTTACTCATTTGTTTAATATATTGATTGAATGTTTTTTTTTCTCTCTTTGATCAATTTATTCATCTTATAAATTGACTAATTTATGTTCATTTCCGTTTGTTTTCGAATTCTTTTTCTTCTTCGTTCTTTTTTTTCTGTCGTTTTCATAAGCTCGATATATTTGAAATAATAATATCAAACGAAAGGAACGACCAATTTTCTATTAATCAAAAAACAAATACAAACAATTTTTACAATCATGATTGACCATAAAGTTATAATGTAAATGATAATGATGATGGGCAACCATTGACAACCTTTATTTATTTAAATTCATTTTCACTATTGTTAATCGTCAATTTACCATATGTTCTTGTCATGAACATTGTAATTAATCATTGGTTTTGGCTTGTAGTTTATTCTAGTTGTTTTTTTTCATATTCAATTAAATTGATGGCTGTTTTTAATTAAAAAAAAACTTATCTTTTATTTCAATTTATAATTCAATTCAAATTGAATTGCTATAAATCAGGTGATGCTCAAAATTACAAAACCGATGATCTCTATACCGATGAATAATTTGATTTTGTTTTTTTTTTGGTTGAAGCTTTTTACAATATAGAATGATGATGATGAAAATAATGGTGACAATATTGTTGTTGTTGTTTGAATAGGAATGAAAAATGCAATTTATTTTATCGACCGGACCGTTTTTTTTAGCTTTTGGTAATGTGTACTTGCCAAATAAATAAATAAATAAAGAATAAATTTACATTCTCTCATCAATATATATGCACACCACCGATGATGATGATGATGATACTGGATATTGAATTGATGTTGAAAATTTTTCTGTTTTCTTCCCTTCCTTTTTTTCATTCACTGATATAGCTTAATTCATTGATATTTTAGGTTATATATTTTTCATTTATATGCAAACTATGTGGTCATTGTCTCCTTTTTTACCGTTCTTATTGTTATTTTGTTGATTTACATCCTATTCATCGTTGTCGTCGTCGTTGAAAACATTAAATAATGCCGATCGCCATCATCACCTCATCATCGACGGTGGCCGTCATCATCATCATTATTGTCGTATTCGAATAAAAAAACACGGCGTGTGTGCATTTGAAAATTGAAAAAATTCTCCCTTTTTTTATTATATTCACCAGATTCTATTGTGGAATTGCCAGGACGGACTATTATTTATATTTTTTTTTTTTGTTTTGTTTTGTTCGCTCACTTTACACTTTATATGTGTGTGACCAAATTCTCACTCTAACTCTATTCTTTACCTTCTTCTTTTGTTCTGTGTTCGTTGTCGTTATATTTTCATTTATTATTATAAAAAATGAAATCATTCGATTGTGTTTGGTGACAACAACAACAAAAAGTCAATAACAGCACCCCGTTCACCGTTTTTTTGTTTTGTTTGTTTGTCTGGTATATTTCTGGTGATGATGGTAAAGATGATTTACACATTATTTCATAATTTTTTTTTCTTCACAATGACCATCAGTGAATAATCGTTGAATATTCTAAATGCATTTAATTGATAGAAATTGAATTCCATATCCCATTCTTACAATATTCAGATTTCAATTCTTAAATAATTTTTTTGTTTTGTTTCCATACTAAACAAATTTTTTTTCATCATCATATTTCTAACTTTAATAATGATGATGGAATAAATTCCATATTTAATCGAGTCTTTTTTTTCGGGGGTTATATACTTGATAGTGGATGATGATGATGCCTGATGTTGTTTGTTATATCGTTTTTCATTCTATATTATTGAATGGAAAAAATTTTTTTAAAAAAATTTGGTAGCCACCACTAACGGCTGTCATCAACACGTGTGTCTCCATTTATATTTATTTATTTATAAAAAATATTATATAATATAAACACACACATACGTTTTTGCAAAAACAATCATCGATCCATTGTTTTCTATTATAAATAGCCTTTTTTAGTCTTCATCATTTATTTTTCTTTTTTACCAAACATTTGCTACCTAATTTCTTTACATTTCATATATATGATCATTATTGCTTCGGTATGATTGTAATTAATAACATGAATCGATCATGACCAGGATTAACATCGATCGTATTTATTTTCCTACTACTACTATTTTACAAATACAAATAAAGGTCTCTATTCAGATTAATCGTTGTTGCGTTATTAAAACGATTTAGATTTTTTTTTCTGTTTGCTTCGCTGTCCTCTTCATCTTCTTCATAGCTTTGATTATTTTCAATTGTCGAATAGAAATAAAGAAAAAGAAAAAAAAATTCTTATTACTTCCATTGAAAGTTATTTGATTTTGATTCAGTTAAAGTTTTTATATAAATGAAAAAAAATAGGTATCAATCATAAGCAATGAACAAAGCTTCTGAATAGCTTGAAATGATTTCAGTAATCAGGATCCTTAGATTTGGAATTTTATTTCATTTTAAAGATGTTCTTTTTTTCACTTACTCATTCTTTAACTCAGTTTACTGTTTCTGGTGAATGTAAGATAAGCTTTCTTATTTGTTGTCGAATCAATTGATCGTCCAAAAGAAAAAGATGATGATGATAATAAAAATATATTTGCTTTTCATTAAATATATAGAATTGTGAAATGGAATTGAGAATCATCTTTTTCCTATTTCAAATGCGTATCGGTATTTTTCATAAAAAAGAAATATTCTTTATTTATAATTAAGCATAGATACATTTCATTTTTTTTTTTTGAATTTTGTAAATAATATTTGCAATACGAATGATTCGTTTTTTATTCATTCAATTGTATATATGATGATAATCAAAGTGTAAACTAAAACTAAACTGTTTTATTGCTGATAAATCAGAGATTGATTCTGTCTTTTTTATTATACGCATCTATCCCGTTTGTACCATTTGAAAATGAGTTTTTTTCTTTCATGGTAAATTATCGTTTTCGTTTAATTTCTCCTAACTCTCTCTATCTCTATCTCTCCCATTTTTTTTCTTCTTCAAAATTGTAGATTATAGATTTTCAATAGTTTTTTTATATAGGGTCATTTATGTTTATGAAAGAAATGCTAATTTCTCATATTCTTATATGATCTAATTTGTTTTATGTTTTTTTGTTTTATCTGAATGATAGAAAATGGCAGGGATTTATTTATTCGTTTTTTGTTCATTTTGGCATTACAGCATACACATCGATATTGTTTTTTTATTTTTATTTTTCAAAAATCTTCATTTGTCTTGTTAAAAAATAAATTTAACACATTCACTTTTTTTCTTTTTCTTTTTCTTTTTTTTCGGTAAGACAAATTGTTTTACCTCGCTTTGTTTTGTTTTTTGGCTGTCGAATAATACTGAATATCATGAATATAGTAATAATAGTGGATCTCATTTTTCTTATTTCCGCTTTATGAATGGTTATTTGTTTCAGATTTGACAGTTTGAATTATGAACAACACAAAAGAGAATCTTTTCATGATCAAACAATTTAAGCTTTTTTTTCTAGCTTTTCATTCTTAGATCAATTCACTTGATTCGTTCAACTGATGGTGAATGATGAGATTGATAAATTGTTTTTTGTTTTTTGTTTTCACTCGAGTTCGATTAAAATTCATAATATAAATAAATAAACTGATCGAATTTTATTATTTATTTATTCCAATTTTTTTTTGGCCTCCTTTATTTTACTTTACTTTTTCTTTTTCTTTTTTTTTTGTTGTGTATTATTTTAGCCGATTTGCCCACACAATTGGACGTTTCACGCTGTACGCATTGCGGCAAGCTGTTCCGTGGACCACGTTCATCAATTTCATTGCAAGAACATATAACCAACATTCACGCTGCCGTGGCGCCTATTTCATCAGCCGGCAAATATTCCAAAGCTACGTCACCATCATCAGCGATGCCATCGATTAGGCCATCATTTACCATTTCGGGTAATGGTGATTTGGCCAATGACAGTGGTGGTAGTGGTGAAGGCGTTAACGATGATACTCAATCCTGTACCAAATGTTCGATTACTTTCGAAACTCGAGAAGATTTTGAAAGACATCAGCTTTTACATGCCAATAAATCTGCTCACGTATGTAACATAACTGAATTTAAATTTATTTTACTAAACTGACCCATCGTTTTATTAAATTTTTTTTAGTCAAATGATAATGGCCAAGTATTGCGCAAATTCAAATGTCAAGAATGTTTTAAAGCATTTAAATTCAAGGTATGCTTCCTAAACAATGTAATCGAATTTTTTTCAACATAATTTTTTTCATATATATTAGCATCATTTGAAAGAACATATACGCATCCATAGTGGAGAAAAGCCATTTGAATGTGCTAATTGTGGTAAACGATTTTCTCATTCAGGCTCCTATTCATCGCACATGACCAGCAAAAAGTGCCTAATTGTTAATCTAAAAGTAATAATAATTAGAATTATTTTTGATTTGTTTAATTTAATTATTTTTTCCATGGTATTTTTACAGGTGCGAAAGTCGGACCAAATTGGACGTACTTCTCGTTCATCTAATCGTTCAAATCAAACAAATGGCACTGCAATTTCGAATGGTATTCTAAGCCTTAACGATTCTATGAGTGAAACCGAAAAAAATCTACCGTTTTTTCCCAATGTGCTGGATTCTCAAAATGTCAAAAACATGTCACCATTTAATACATTCAATAATTCTACAACTTATTTTCCAAACGGCTTCCCTGCTAATTTGATGGGCCTCAATTCTTTTCTAAACGTTACAGCACCAAATCTTGAATTATTTAATTATCTGCTCGAATCACAAATGGAATATAAAGGTTTCAAAAATTTACCATCACATTTTCTTGCCAGTATCAACAGTAGTGGTAGCCAATCGAATGTTGAAGAATTTGAAAAACAATTAAAAAAAGAATTTATTGAAAACGCAGACATTGCTTCCATACGACGTTTGTTACAAATCGCTCAAGCTGCTGCTGTATCTAAAGTGCAAGACGAACTCACTTCAGCTCATTTGAATGCAAATCTTCATAATGATCCAAACCTATCCAATTCATTTCTTAATCTAACGAAAATGGCACATCTAGATTCGAATAGCAAATCTACCGAAGATATTGATCCCAATCGAAAATCACCTTCTACTCCTACGAAAAACTGTCCAAGTTTGTCAGATTTAAAATCGGATTTTAATTGCAAAAATCTCAATGAAAGTACCAATCTCAAAATGGAAAGCGATGAAGAATCACAACGCGACTCTAGTTCTTTGGACGAAGAAATGCTTATGGCTGATGGTAAAAAGGTTAGAGTACGGTCTGTTTTAAGCGAAGAAACTTTGCGCATTCTTCGCGCACAATACGCAATCAATCAACGGCCAAAAAAACAAGAGATTCATCGATTAGCTGAACAGGTTAACTATGCGCCTCGAGTAGTTCAAGTTTGGTTCCAAAATATGCGGTATGTTAAATTCTGTTTGACCTTTGTTGTCATAGCACTCACTTTTGACCTTTGCACATTTTTTTTTTGAATTTATCTTTTTATTTCATTCACAACGATTTTGTCATGATCACGTTTGCAAACGCACATTAATACCAATATCCAACACCTGTAGAGCTCGTGATAGACGTCTAGGTCGTCCGATACAGAGCATGAATGATTCGCTTAACACTACGACCTCTAGTTTGGGCACGATGAACATTGGTACCGGTTGTCTAAATAGTTTGAATTATTCATCCACTGACCAAACTACCAATATGAACATCAACCAACAACAATCTGGGCAACTTTTGACACAATCCGCTGCACATTCCGGGTCCAATTCATTAGTAGCGGTACCAGCAACAGCACTAGCCGCAGGCATTCCTTCTCCTTCACCTTTTAAGTCCACAACTTCCTCTGTAGCTCCCATTGTTTCTTATGGCCAGCACAATTTCATCAATAATGGCACAACCTATTCATCATCGTCATCGTCATCACTGTCGCCTTCGCTTATTGTCGGCCAGAATCGTCATTGTAACGATTCTAGTAGTAGTTTTAGCTCTTATTTGAATACAACAAGCAACCAGCACGCACAAAAGCCATTGATTTCAATTACGCAGCCATCAACGTTGTTTCAAAAAACCGATGCACCAATTCAAGCCAAGTTATTTGACAACAATTTATTTGACAATTCTGACACAATTTCTTCGACTCATGATGAACCTTTAGATCTTTCTTTCAAATCGAAATCATTGAATTCAAGTAGTGGTTCATCTACAGCGGAGAATTCCCTTGAAGATGAAGTATTAAATCTAAGTCTCAAATCCACCGGCAACAATTGTGCTATAGCTCCAACTACAGTTACCTGTCTTGATGTCAATAACAGCTCACACAATAAAGATAATTCATCAATGGTCACCACCGCCGTCCAACCAAATGTATCGTTGACAATGCTGCAACAACAGCATGATCTTGATGCGGACAATCTTCGTATAGTTTTACTTAACAATTCAACCTATGGTAAATCCTGTAATGAAACCGGTAGTAATAGTAGTAACAATAGTCCGCGATCTATCCGAGGCCGAAAACGAATCGCTCCTGAATTGGATATAAACACCAATAGTTCAAACGATTCAAATAACAACATTATGCGGACAAATAATTCATCACCAAAAAAAGAGATGAAGCTCAATGGTTCATTAAGTAATCAAAATTCTCCCGACAACAATCAAAGTGAAGGATTATTCACGTGTGATCAATGTGATAAAACTTTCAGCAAACCAAGCTCATTGGCTCGACATAAATATGAGCATTCGGGTAAGTGTTTTGCTAATAAAAATACTGATAAATGATCCACTAATGTTTATCTATTAATTCGATTGATTAGGTCAACGGCCACATAAATGTGATGTATGCAACAAAGCTTTCAAACACAAACACCATCTGACCGAACATAAGCGCCTTCACAGTGGTGAAAAGGTTTGTATTTTATTTTATTTTTTCATTCTTATTCTGATCATTTTTTCTCTATTTTTAGCCCTTTCAATGTACAAAATGTCTTAAACGATTTTCTCATTCGGGTTCATATAGTCAACATATGAATCATCGTTATTCTTATTGTAAACCGTACCGTGAATAAACATTCATATTTAGTTAACCCTGTGAATTTTATTTGATAAACAATGGTAATGAGCCGAAAATACAATCAACTTTGCTATTTCTTATAATTGTTATTGTTTTCCAAATCTTCCGCGCTGTATCACCAATTAATTTGATGTTAATACACTTAGTAAACTCAAATTGTTGATTATGGTTAAATCAACAGATCATGGTCCATCATCTTTATTTAAACACACAATACTTTTGTTTCTACATCATATTGTCAAAATGTAACAAATTAATCATACGTTCTTACCCTCTGTCTCCAATCATATAAAATATCTATTGAAAATAGTTTGATAAATACTTCAACAATCAAATTTTTTTAATGTTAAAAAAATTGTTTTTCATTTTTTGTGCCAAACAAGAGGATTAATATGATTGCAATTAATATATCTTTGTAATTTACTCAGTCAATCTAAGAAAAAAACTTTCAATCATCATTAAGTTGTTTATGATGATCAGAGTTGTTATCTATTCATTTTTAATTATTGTTTGTAAAATCAATGTCAACATATTGCAATTAGTGCATCAACAATAACAATAATAACAACAAACAACAACAAAAACAAAACAACAATATTAATCCATGAAACACTCATTCAAATATATTTTGTTGATCGAAGAATTTCAAATTTTGTTTGTCTCAGGATTCTTTAATCTTGAAAAAAATGGAATCCATTGTTACTATTACAATTGTATCACTTTTCAGAAAAAATACACGACAAAAGGATAAAAAAAATACATTTTTATATATTTCATTGAATTATATTTGTTCAAACACTCTTTTCTTTTCAAACATTTAATTCGTTCTATTCGCCATTCGAGTGTAGAACTAGTCTTCAATTCGTATTTTATGTTTTCAAATGTCAAATTTTTTTTTGTATATTTTCAGCAATTATTCATTAAAAACAAAAACAAAAAAATTGAAAAATTGTTCGATATTTATTTGTTTTGTTTCACATCTTATAAATCGAACACAAATTTTACCCTCAACAAAAAAAAAAGAAGAAACAAACATCAACGATAATAGCTACCCAGGTCCATCCATTCTGCTGGGAACAAATTGCAATCGATATGATTACCTTTTTTTTCTATCTGTTCCATACGATTATTATAATTATATAAATAGAACCATTTCAAACCATTTTATATAGTTTTCTATTAGTCATTTACACATTATATTTATGATTAATCGAACATGCAATCAATCACTCACTCACAAATTAAACACACACATAGGTGCACTTCGGCAAAATAAATAATGCCGGAACAATGTTATTGAACAAGAAGATCTGTCTGTTTATCAGAATCCATCCATCGAATCGAACTTGTATCTTGACGAATATTTTTTTTCCGTAGTAATTATTTGTATTTTTATTGAATGATGATAAAAAAAACAATAAAATTGAAGTGCTTTTCAATCAATATTGCATTAGCATACTTTTTTAATGCATTTATTTATTCATTTTTTTTATAGAGAAATTCTTGTTTATTGCGTCCATATGGACAAAGGATACAAGAATAAAATCTGTGACATTTTATTGAAATTTTTGGTTCAAGCTCTCACAACATTGCAAGGAGCAACACCTCTTTTTTTCAAATTAAGTATGTCTGCTACATGTGGTGTTACATCCAAAATTCGTCCTTTAACAAACGGGCCCCGATCATTGATTCGAACTACAGCAGCTCGATTACCGACGGTTACGCGAACTTTTGTATTGAATGGTAAAGTTTTATGAGCAGCAGTCATGGCATTTCGATTGAATGTTTCACCATTGGCTGTTTTGGCTCCATTAGGTGCATCGTACCATGAACAGATTCCTGATTCGGAAGCTATCAAAACAGAAAGCATTTAGAACATTCGACATTTAATTGATAAAAATATCAACTTACTAGCTAGTGAAACGGCAACAACTAAAACAAAAAACGAGATGAATGTTATACGAGTCATTTTGTAAAATCAAATCTTCCAATGACAACAACCAACATAATGGTTCATTCTTATATACTGCAGGAATGATTTCCACTTGAAATTATCTCAACATTTTTGAAATAATTGCAATTTCTTTGATGAGATTTCTTCATTCTCAATTAAACATATTGATTTAGTCGATTAATACAATTGACATTGATTAAATCGGTAGATATTATTTACTTTTAAACAATGGGTAATTTTGTCTCTTTGGAACTTTTTTATTTGATTCGGGATACATGCTGCCATCCATTGACTCCGAAAGAAATTGTTTTAATTGTTAATTGAATATATTTGAATGATATTCGAAAAAAACAAATGTCATAAACATTGTAAAATTGCATAAATTGGATAACATTAGATTTAATTTGAAAAAAACTGGTAAATAATAAATCAATCAAAATATTAGATAAATGATCTTTTTTTATAAACATTTAAGAAAATCAAATGTATAAAGATTATAAACAAACAAAAAATAATTTTACGTTGATGACCGAATCGATTTGTAGCTGATGTATTCAGTCAATAATAAGTCACAATTATGAGGGATGGAACGTTGCTTCTGTATCTGAATAATCGACAACAAGATGAGCTGGTGGTTCATTTAATTTATCCATCATCGCGATCATACGATAATATCGTTCAATTTCTGGAACTGAATTACATTTTTCAGCAGGTCTTTGCTATCGAGATCTTCATTATAGTTCACGGGTGAGTGAGTTTCCATGGGACTTACATTTTGATGATATCGAAGGCGCCTTTCATTATTCGATTTGCCAATATTCGATGCATGACCACCAATATCCGAACCCGAAGTTACAGCATTCAGCACCACGTTTTTAATTGAAGCCACTTCAGATGCTAGCCTCTGTAATTCACTTTTAAATCTTTCTGTCTTTAAAAAAGAATCTGGTGAACCGGCACTGTCGCGATGATGATCACCAAATAGGCCATTTGATTCAGCGCTACTGCTCAATTGAGCAACCGATGATGAATCGCTACTGGCATCGCTATCCACATTCTGTGCCGCAATATTTGATGATTCTTGGTTTCGAATTTGACTCACAATTGAGTTGACATTATTTGAGCTGCAATTTCCTTGTGCTTTGTGCCTTAATTTAAATGGCAAAGTTGTTTTGTTCGATGAACAAGCTGCTAAAACAGGCAATATTGGTGTGGTTAGGCCAGCCAAAACAGCTGCATTAGTTTGTTGTCCAGTTAATAGTGGACAAACATTTGGTGGTGATGAATTGGCAGTCGCACCATGATAGGTGGGAGATGTGGATACATGAACTTCTGACGATGATGATGACTGTGAATTTGGTGACAATGAACACGAATAATTAAATGATGATGTCGATACATTGTGCCCAGTTGCAGATTGGCTCGATCCTTGATGACTTGAGGTATACTCGGACCCTGTCAAAAAAAAAAAATTTAATTTATCAGGTAATTAAAACAATCAATAACTTACGATTCGCTGGGTTGCCACCTATTATGGAAGAAAAGAGCCGCGATCGACGAATTTTGGTAGCATTTTCAGGCAACGGCAACGTTACGGAATCGGGATCGATAAAATGCTAGAAAATATTTGAGACAAATCAATTATTAATAAACAATTGATAAAATATAAATTAAATTATCAATGAAATGAAATGGTAATTCATCTGTTTTGTTTAATATTTGTGTTTTTTGCATTTTCCTTGATCATCATAATTACTAATCGAATCTTTTGCCTTGATGTTACATGGACAAATTGGATAAATACAAACACACAAGTTCATTATTGAACATTAATACCTTTACAAAATTTTCTTCCTGTTCAGTACGTGTAGGTGAATGGTAATCATGGTCATAAGTTGTTTTTCTTGTTAATATAATTTAAATAACTTATGGTGGTGGCATCATACAACATGGTACAAAACAAAACAAAAAACACAATAACAAATGTTCGAGGACATCATCGAATCATTGAATAGCAATGTTATTATTATTCAGCAACGTAACATTGTTCCATACTATTGAGAACAATCAACCGTCGCTATTATTTATATTTATTATTATCTTATATATACCATAAGCGTACATTGCCATTTTTTTCTAATAATACATTATTTTCTATGCTAATCATTTTTGCGCTATCATCTTCAAATCATCGTAACCGCTTAAATACTTTTTATTTCTCTCTCAACAAAACAAAAAAACTTATTCTTTCTAACTAATATAATGTTTCATCATTGTCGATTCATAAATGATGAAGACCATCATCACTGTCACTGTTACATCGATTTCCTTCAAATTTTGTTGTTTTTATGAGAAAAACAAAAACTTAGAATCTTGGCCGTGGTTGATAATGATGGCCACTATACAAAATTTATAATAATCACATTTGTTTATTGCTTGTTCATGAACAAGAGAAAAAAAAACTTCGACAAAGAAAAAAAAATATATTCAGATATACAGCTGCAAAATTTTCATTCAAGATCAAAATCCCGTTCACCTATGCTGTTGATGATGATGATTGTGTGATGGTAATGAACATTTCCTTCAACAACAACAACAAATGTTCAATGCACAGTTGAGTGCATCATTTTTCTATCAATGGCATTCGTTTCTTTTAAAGGCCAACTATTATCTATCGATCCACCATTATCATCATCATCAACATCATGGTGACAACCTTGTCTTGAATCAATGACGCCAAAAATAAAATATAATGATCATAAAAATATTCTTAACAAAAACAAATATTTAGCTCATAAATTATTACAAATTATAGCCAAATACATTCCTTTTTCTGTTGTAATTTTGAAACATTACTTACTTGATTTTGAGATATTCCAAATTTTTCTTTTATGGCATATAATTCGGCTTTGAGGATACTGTTCTCACGTGTTAATTCAAGTACACGAGTTTCGAGGACCAGATCAGAAATGCGTCGTTTTTCTCGAGATCTGAAAAAATGAAAGAATGGAATTAATAAAAAATAAGGGTTTTAATAAATTACATGACTAATGGTCATCTATCTTTTCCAGAATAAATTATCAATTTTTTCAATGAGAAATAAACTACAACTACTGCTAAGAATGTATCCAAGATTTTGTTAAGATAAATTTTTGAATATAAAAAAATGAAACCTTCAACATTTATGAATTGATTATTGAGAAGCAAAAAAAAACTACACATCGATTGATGAGAAACAAAAAAGTAGGCGCGATAAGACATTACACACATCGAGGTCGACGACAATTATTATTATGTTTTTTTTTAATACAACGGCATTGTAAATAAATGTTTTTTTGTTTGTTATTTTTACAATCATATTCTATTACAATCATTATGAATAAATGATCATTAGAATGAATCCAAAACACAAGGTTCTATACATTATCATAATAAAGATTATTCCTATTAATCTCTCAATTTTGATAATTGAACAGAGAGTTTAAATCATCACCGATTCTAGATTCTATATGTTTTTTTTATTAAAATTATTCATTGTTTTTTCATTATCAAATGAATGTCAATCTTTTATATCAAGCAAAATTTTTTTTTTGTTTTCCGAACAATATTTGAATGATATTCAATGATTTTTAATTATGTCAAATTTAAAATTGATAACATCATGATAAACATAATATCATGAGTTTTTAAGTATATATTTGAGTTATTAAATCAATTTAGGTTATGATTTATTGGATATGATGATGATCAACAAGCAATCATAAGCACATCATCAATTACAATTATATGCTACATCATAGATGAATAATATCACCAGATTTATGTATGTATATATTGAAATTAAAGTTGACAAATATCATAATCAGGTCAGGTTTTTTTTGCTAAAATTGATTTTTTTTTTTGTTACTGATCAAACGATATTATTATTATTATTATTATTATTCTATAATGCTATTATTATTTTATCTAGAAAATGAGAATGAGGATTCGATGGACAAAATCTATGAAAAGTTACAACAACAAAAAAAAAAAAAATAGGTCGGTGACTATGGCACCAGAAAAATGGCAAATATATCATTGTGAATAGCACTACAAATTAAGTTATACACACATACACCTAACCTAGAAAAAAAATCAAAACGATTAAATTGATTAACAAGATATGAAATGAAGCCAAAATATTATTTATTAATCTATTGGGCCTTGTGTAGCATACAACAGTAGTAAACAAATATCAACATTTTCATCATCATCATCATCATCATATATTATTTAACATAACAAACATTCATAAAAATAATCGAATCCTCATTATCAAATGATTCAATTATAAATAAATAGTAGTAGTAGTAGGAGTATAGGATATATCCTTTTCGTAAGAAAAAAAAACAAAAATGGAAAAGAAAATTGATTTCCTGAATTGAGAAAATAAATTATTATACAAATATTACAATCACATTGCAATATATTTTCTTTCTTTTTCGTTTTTTTTTTTGGTCAACAAACAAATATTGTAATACATAAGAAATTATTGCTGCTGCTGTTGCTTGATGATAATCAGAAAAAAAATATCTGAATCATGTGATAACAAATTTATTTGTTGTTGTTGTTGTTGATGAATGATATCTATTTCAATTCGCTAAATATGTATAGAAAATGTAATAATATCATCATGCAATACTAATGAAAGAGGGATAACAACAACCAAATGCTTTGCAATTTCTATGGTAACTATATAATAATGTGATGATGATGTAAATAAAAACGAACCGACAACTTAACAAACAGGCAAAATAAGAAAAAAAGGAAAACCAAAAGAAAAAAAAAACGACAAGAAAATTACATAAGATTTGTCGCAAATCCTGGTATGTAATTTATTTTATTTCTAAGTACATAATATTACTATATATAGTTGTTTGTACTTGTAATGTTTTTTGTTGCTGTTGTTTTTTCATTGAAATCATGATTTTTCCGAAAAAAACTTGTCATTTTATTGGTTTAACTTTGAAATAAGAATGTTTTGAAAGGGGAAAAAAATTCACTTATTTTGGAAACCAAAAAAAAAAAAACAATGTTTGGAGTATGCGTTTCAGGGTTTATTTCACAAACAAACATACCGTTTAGCTGCTTCATTATTACGTTTTCGACGATCCCAATATGATTCATCTTTTTTCGAATCCGGAATAAATTCTCGTTGTTTACGTGAATTGGTGACTAAAATTTGATTAGCAGAAACGGACGCTAATGGATTGGTTGAACCTTGAAATGAAAGGAAACAAAAAAAAACAAGAGATTATTATCCAAACAACAAAAAAACAAACGAATCAAGATCAATGTGAAATATATTAATATTTGGATATTTGAAATTATAATTACCAAATGAAGAATTTATAAATCCACCAGTTGTTAATGAGCTAGCAAATACTGCTGGCAATGATGTTGATATTGATGTTTGTTGCTGTGGCTGTACATTATTACTATTATTTCCTATCGTCGACATATTTAATAAATGATTATTATTATGATGACTATGATGACTATGATGATGGTTATGATGATTATTACTTGTGGTGGTCGTTGTATTTGATTGTGATAAACATGATGAAAATGTTGTTGTCGGTGCTGCAGTTGTTTCACCAAAAAGATTGTTTGCTGCAATTCTTAGATCGACTGGTGCTATTATCGATGATGATGATGATGATGTAATAGTTGTTGAATTATTATTATTATTATTGTTGATAGATATGATTCCTGAACGATTTCCAGAAATAGCAGCAGCCGATTTTAATAATGATAATGATGATATTGCAGAATTACTTCGTTGTCTATTCGAACTAATTATTGATGAAAATGATGTTGGTATTGTTGATGATGTTTCTGTAGTTGTAACGGTATCATCAATCATAGTAGTAGATTGTTGACTATCTTCCGGTTCTGGACTATTATTATTACTGTTTCGATTTGTATCCATATTTTAGTATTTTTTTTTTGACAATGAAATAATAAGGATGATTATAATTTTTTTTTCTTCAAAAATTGTATCAAGATATCTTGTAACAAAAATCAGCATTTGAAGATCCTATATTTTTCAATAATAAAATCCAATTAATTAGATAACAAATTAATAATCATAGAGAAATTTTTTCAATAAAAATGAAAACAATTTAAATAATTTAAAATTGATGAAATAAATACAAATGAAATCCAATCGTAAAGATTTGTATACGTTTGAAATCAATATAATTATTTTATTAATAATGAAGGTATGTCACCCACATGTTAAATGATTTATTAATAATGATGATGATTAATCCAATAAATGGTAATAATAATGATCATCATTGGTTTTTGTTTCTCTAAAAAAAATTTTTTTTCTTCAAGTGGTGTGGTTGTCGTTGATTTTATTCATTCATTCATTCATTGTTGTTTCCTATTTAAGCAATTTAATCTATTCAATAAGTAAGCACATTCCACATCGTTTCAATTTTTTTTCTATAACAGTTCACTTTTTTCAGTTGTTTTTTTTCTTTGCTTCAAATGTTTACCTTGGATTGGTTTTTTTTCATTCAAATTTTTTTTTTACAAAAATACAAAATTATAATACGAGCGCGTGCTATTTTTTTTTGTAAAAAAACAAAAATCTAACACCATACACATGTTATGATTGTTGTCGATCACGATGATGAGGATAATGTTGTTTTCACTTTGTAGAAATTCGTCGTCGTTATAATTATTATTAAATTTCTTTTATTTTGTTGTTGCATCTTACAACAAGAAAAACGTAAAATATATAGAATATGGCATAATTTTCATTTTGTTGTCATCATCATCATCATCATCATCAAAGAATGTATTTTGGTGTGTGATAATGACATCAACAACAACAACAACAACATATATCATAGATTTAACTAAATTCTACAATCATCATCATCAACAACATCATAATCATCAACAACGACAAACATTTTACGTGAATTTAGCATTATCATCATTATTCTGAAATTCTAGATTTATACAATTTTTTCTTTCAACTATATAGTAATGATGATAATGATAATTATTTATTATTTTTTTTTTGGAAAAAAACAGGTCAAATCATTGCAACAAAATATTCTGAATATTCAAAATAAAATTAGATCATCATCATCGGTATTATTAGGTGAAAAAAAAATATTTTTATTAAAGTGAAACATACCCGGAATTTTGAAAAAGAAGAAGAAGAAGAAAAAAAAAACGCAAATAGAATCAATACTGAAGAATTGAATATTGCACGATATTAATAATGTTGATCAAATGAAATTAAAAGTAAAATTTTTGTAAATAAAAATAAAAAAGAATTGTTCCCGGAATCGATCTTGATTGATTGATTGATTGATTGATCGATGATGATGATTATAAAGCAATAATTATTTATCGATTCATTAATACTTATTGATGAGAAATGAAATGCCGTAATATAAAATAATAATGAAATAGAGATGTAATAATTTATTATTATATCAGAGAAGAAAAAAAAATGAGATGAATTATTGCAATCATAAATTCATTTAATGTTAATGAAAATGATTATAATCATTGTCACATACAAACACACACACACACAATAATGATGGTTGATTGTTTGGTTTGATTGGTGATGGACAGGAATTTCAAATTTTGATATTGCTGTTGCTATTCAGAGAAGAAAAAAAAAATACCTCGACAAAATTGCACATATTGTAGAAGAAAACAAGAAATAACATTTTTCTCTTATTCAATCATCAACCGGTAGTCATATTTATTGCACACACACACACATATATATATGATACAGACGACTTAGATAAACAAAAAAAAACCATCGATAGATAACGTGAATAGGATCTGAAAAAAAAGAAATTAATTGATGATATTAATATCGGATATTTTCCATTAACAATGTTTGATAATGATTTTTTTTAAACATAATCGCAATACATCAATAGAGAAAATAAAGAGGTTTTTTTTTAAAAAAAAATTCAATCGGTTATTTTTCTTTGATGAAGAACTAAAAAATAAATCTATAGTGATGGCTACCATTTATGAAACGTGCGATCGTCAATGAATTTTACAATATTTTTTTTTTCATTTTATTTTTTCAAAAAAAACATCCAATTCATTTGCTGTGTGTGATCATTCATCAAAACAGAATAAAATGATTTTATAATTTATATAAATAGAGATAGAGAGTGAGAGAGAGAGAGAAAGAAAATTGTAAATTTGTTTTATCTACATTTATTATCATTTGATAATCATTTTTTTTTCACTTATTACATACATTAGATTAGATTTAGATATGAATGAACAAAGATGAATCGCATACATTCATTTAATAATCATCATTATGTTAAATTGTGAATGACAAAATAATAATAATAATAATAATAATAACGAATCATAAATATTTGAAGACAAAATAAACAAATTTTTTCTTGTTATCTGGTGTTATGAAGTAGTGAAAACAAAAAACAAAAAACAAAAACAAAACATTGTAGATATTGCATATTATCAAGGACAAAATTCGTCTTCGATTCGTGGATTCACCCCGTCATCATCATCATCATCATCAACATAATAATCATAGCCGGAATTGCATGCTTCACTATATAAAAGATGTAATGTTGTTGATGATAATGATGATGATGATGATGAAATGATGTTATGATGTTAATGATGAAGAATATATAATTCACATTTATATATAGAAAACCATAGACAAAAATCAGAAATGAATGGTTATATCTTTCTCAAGAAATAATAAAAAAAATATATTCGGTTGAGTGTCACGTTTGTTTTGCTTGTTTTTTTTTGTTGTTGTTTGTTTGTTTGAATGAATGAATGTTGAATATTGGGCATCTGGTGGTCGGATGCACGCTACAAGTGTGTCAGTGGATTAGGAGCACACATTTATAAAATAACAAATTAAATATTGTGAAAAAAACGACCTAATATAAAACATACATAGAATCCTTCATCATTCGTTTGATTTTCATTCACTTTTTCTTTCATTCTGTTTTTGTTTTGTTTTGTTTTTTCTGTTCTGTTTCTGTTTGCGGTAGCAGAAGTTCATCACTATTTATTATTTAAAAAATATACATTCATTCACAATGTGATATGATTCTATAAATTCGGTGAATGATGAACATTGCGCAAATCATATAATAGTAGGTTTCATTTTTTTCTGTTGTTTTTTTGCCAAAATCAAAAAAAAATATAGGATGATTTTACTTTATTTTTTTTTAAAAAGTCAGATTCGGAATCGATTTTTTTTCTGTTTATCGTCGGATTAAAAAAAGATTTACTTGAAAATTGGTTGATTGTATAATGTTATCGTTGTTGTTGATGGAAAAATATTGTTTGGATGGCTTGTTGTTTCGATGATAATCAATTGATGAGTATTTTTCTTTTCTTCTTAATAATTATATGGATTCTAATTCTAATTGTAGTTGATTAATGTTTGATTTGTTTTAGCAGAATGCTTGTTGATTATTATTTTTTTGTTTTGTTTTGTTTTTTTTTGGTTGAAAATTTTTTTCGATAACAACAACAACAACAAATTGTTTTACCATCACCGGTGTATATTTATGAGTGTATATTAAGTGACTGTGACCTAAATATCACCGTTATAATTAAATTATTTGGATGTTGCTTGGTGTAAGTTAATGTGTGTGTGTGTGTGTGTATGGTGTGTGTCTGTATGGTGTGTATATAATTTGATGATCAAATTTAATCAACAACAAGAGAGGAGTGAAAAAAAATGAGTGAAAGTAAAAAAAAAAAATTATTATGTGATATTGTGACTATCCATCATCATCATATATAAATGGATGATAATATGAAAAGAACATCGGGTGTTTAATAAAATACATTTATATATCATCTATGATTGGATAAGATTTATTATCAATAATGCACCAGAGAGAAAAAAAAACCAAACTGAAAATGAAAATCATATATATTATTATATATTTACCACAAACATATCAAACAAAATATGCACAAATAATATAAACACACACAAACACACATATCAAAAATACAATAACACATGGAAGTTTCACCCAATTTCAGAAAAACATTTCATTTTATTTTTTAAATTTCTGATGTTATTGTCGTTATTGTTGTTGTTGTTGTTGTTACAATGATGATCAAAACATATATAATAAAGCTTATAATAATAAAATTTATCGAAAAATAATTCAAAAAAAACAAAAAACAAAACGGTTAATATGAAATTGATGAAAAAATCATTAAATTATCTATGATGATGATGATGATGAAGATGACCATGAAATACGGACTAACCTAGATTTTTTTTTCTGGTGAAAGATACCCTTTTCAAAAAAAAGCCGGAAGTAAATGGAGAAAAATTAAAATCGTAAGCATTGGATTGGACAAAAATTTTTTTTTGGATCGATTCTAAAAGAGATCATAAATAAGAAACTAATACGATCGCTTACATCTTTGAAAATGATTATGATGATGATGATGGCTAGATTGTCATGAGTTAGATTGTGGTTTTTTTTTTGCTGGAGAAACAAACAAAACAAAACAAAACACAGAAAAAAAAGGAAATATCGCAACATAACAGAACTAAATTAAAATAACAACAACAACAACAACAACACTACCATCATCATCATCATCATCAACAACAGCATCAACACCAATATTATGCACGTGATACAACAACAACAACAACAACCGACAGAAAAAAGGGATTTTTTCTTTTCCTAAAAACTACTTTGCTATTTTTGACGATATTCCAATTTAACAGTATGTATGTCTCAGGATAGAAATTGAGAAAGAAGAAAATAAATACAGCCAGCCAAATTGTGTGTGCGTTTTGTATCTATGAATATAAATCCATGTAAATAATACATGTATGATAATAATAAACATCAACACAACAGACCAATAATGGCCAAAATAACAACAATAATAATGATACATCCGAATGACATTATTATCAATTTTTTTTTCTTCAAATATTTCATTAACAAAACTATTATTATTATGGTATATAATATGGTACATAACATTTTCTATTTTAGCCTTTGAATTTTTTTTTCAATATCATGTCATCATCATTATCATCATCAACCATTTCTCTTTCTCTTTTTGTTATCGAACTTGATTTCTTCCTCTTCCTACTATTTTTTTGTTTGTTTGTTTCAAACTGTGATCCAAAAAGAGAGAGAAAAAAACTGAAGGAAAGAGTCAGAGAAAAAGCTGACAATGAATTTATGGAATGAAATGGCATTGATATAAACACACCACACATGGCCTTTTTCAAATCCATTTTCAACAACAAAAAAAATGTCCATGGATGATGGTCGTGGACATTTATGATGTTTTTTTTTCATTCTCTCAAACAACATCAACAACAACAACAAATTTTTCACTGTATTCCATTGATTAACATTTTTGATGGTCAAAATGCTTATTACAAACCAAGAAAATAATGATAATACCAATTGAAATCTAAGAAAGAAAAAACCATTGACTTTCTCTTTTTTTTCAAAACACTATTCTTGTTGATAATGTTTTTTCAATCATACATAACTTGCATAGATTCAAATAATAATCTGTTAAATGAAACCAAAAGTTTTTTTACTGTTGTTGCCAGAACTACTAGCAGCAATTTATTTGAAAAAAAAGTATAAATGTTATTAGCAAATATTTAAAAAAAACGATGTAACAAAAAATACTGTTGCATGTGTGTATATGTAATGATGATTTGAAAAAAGAGAAAGATAATGTAATTTTTATTGAAAGAGAGAGAAAAAAAGAGAAAATGAAATCAAAATGAGGTCATGGGAGGAAAAATCGTTAAGTCGGTTAAGGTTATATAGACGACGACGACGGCGACGACAACAGCGTTTTTTTCCTGGCGTCAAGATGATGATGATGATGATGCACACCAACGGATGATGATGATTATTGATTATGATGAATAATTTTTACAACATCAATTCGTTTTTCAATTCTACGTTTGATATCCACCACTACTATCATTCATTCATTCATTTAATATATTTTTTCTTTATAACACTCCCACTTGTAATAAAAATAACAACAAACAGGAAAAGGAGAGAGAAATAAAAATTTCCATTCATCAAAAATAGAAATCAAATATTATTTATAAGTGGATAGGAAATGAATAAAAAAAAGACAAAAAATTTTTAATTTTGAATTCGTTAATAGAAAAAATTAAATGCATTTTCATCAAAAGTATATAAACCACACAAACGAATTTAGGAATTCAAAATAAAAATAAAAATTCAATTAGAAATCAAGGAAAAATTTTTCAGAAAAAAAACAACAACAACAAAGGTCCTTGAACGCGGAAGCCATATGTATAAGATATTGAATGAAAAATTAAAACGAAAACGAAAAGAATCGATCATGATCAACCTATATACCTGATTGAGATTTTGTATTCTGATTTTTTTTCATTTAGCTAAACAAACGATTTTCGATGGATTAAAAATCTGTTTGCCTATGCCTTTAGTCTCTAGTATTTAGTCTTTTTTTCTATTATTAGCATCAATTATCAGCAGAGAATCAATGTTAGAAGGAAAAAAAACATGTACCGAAAACAAAGTTGGAAAAAAAAACACATAGAAATACACATACAGTTTGTTTTTTAAGTGTTACGTGATTGTTTGTTACATTATCATAATTAATAATGATCATAACAAATATGTTATTGTATTTGATGATTGTCAATTGATAATGTTTGATAATACAAATTTTTTTTTTTGGGATTTCAAGTTGTAGTCTAAATTATTATAACACATCACAAGTTATAGTAAAAAAAAATCGAATAGAATAAATCGTCGATCGAGAATAAAATGAAAAACAAAACCAAACAAATATGTTTATTTTGTTTTATCTCTGAAACAATTTACTTTACTTTACATTGTTATTGTCAATCATTATGATCATGTAATTATCATAAATAAAAAATGGTTCAATTTTTATTATTGGGTGTGTGAGGGGTGGTTGCAAAAACAAAATACATTTTTTTGCTAAAAAAAAATTGTAACATTGATTTTTTTCCCTTGCCAGATAGTAATTTCTGTCTGGTTCAATGGCAAATTGATGATGATGATGATCAACAAGTGGTTTATTTTATTCATTCAATTTTTTATCAATTTTTATTAGCTTTTTTTCAACAAAAAAAAAGATTGCAAAACAAACAAACCTTCTATATATATTCGAATGAATCAATTTATCCGATTGTCGACCTTCTTCTTCTTCTTCATTTTAATTTTCATATATCATTATCAATGACCACCAACAATTCAATGTTTATAGATTATTATAAAGTTATAAGCACAAAACATTTTTTTTTCTTTATATCTATCTCATTGAATTACTTCAAGATCATTCAATACAATTCGTATAAATCGTTTTTTTTTGCTTCTTATTTCTATGTTATTTAAAGGACAACAATTATCATTATTTATTTATTATGACTATATGATGATTTTGTATATATAATATTCTTTTTTTTTAATTTCGATTCGAATATTTCTATATGTTCACCAAAATGTAATAACGTTATTATCAATATTTGAAAAAAAAACATATATAGCATTGAATTCAATGAACATGAACATGAGAAAAAAAAAATTTTTGAACAAATGGTTTCGACCTTTCTTTAATCGAAAAGAAGAAGAAGAAAGTAAAAGCGGAAAGATCCTTGAATTTAGTTAATGGTTTGTAATTTGTATATCTCCGTAATCATTGTTTTGTTTGGTAAATAATAATATGATAAATATTTGTAAGTAAATAAAATAATAAAAAAATATACCATACATGACCATCTAATACCATCATCATCATCATCATTACCATTACCATCACAACCACAATGATCAAATAATTTATCATGTTGTTCAATGACACGCACACACGCATTTTTACACGTGCTCGAAATGGACACACAAAAAAATCCTTTATTTGTCTACCGATGTCAACAACAACAAAAAAAAACCGTTGGTAGATTTGATTGAAATATCATTACAGACAAATTTGAATAAAATAGATCTGATATTTTTTTTTTTAATAAAAAAAAAGATAACGATAATGGAATGTCAATAAATTTTCATTAAACATTGATCAATGAATGTTACCATCATCATTTCCATTTCCAATCACCTTGTAATATTTATCTTTAAATAACTCTATAAATTTCTATATTCACCAAAATCACAAAAATTGAACCGAATTGAACAAAAAAAAAGGAATTAAGCTGAGTATGATACCAGTTATGATTCAAGGATATGAACAACAACCAAAAAAAAATCGATAATGATGATTTGTTTCTATTTATTTAAAGTGATGACATTAATTTTTTTCATCTTCATCATCATCGAATTTGTCTTGATATTTCTTATCATTCAATGTTACGACCAACATCCATTTGAGCCAAAAATATTGAAAACAATATTTCTATATTAACATGACACAGAAAAAAAATGTCAAACAGATAATTATAATCATCGAATTGAAAGAAAATTTTAAACCAATAGATATTGAAAATTATGGAGATTATAAAAAAAAAGATTCAATTCACAGGAAGAAACAAAAACCAAATTATAATTCACATCAAGTCCAAGGATCGTAATTTTCAATTCCGAAAGGAACGCCATCTCTTCAACATTTGAAGCAACTAATTATCATAGCATTTATGAACAATTAAGAAAAAAAAAATTTTGTCCCGATATTGTGACAATGGATGTTTTCCCTCCACTTTGTGAGCTGCATGCATTTTTGGTTTTAGCGTTGTTCTTATAGCTAAATCATTGGATTTTAATATTTGTTGCAAATTTTTATCTTTTTCTGAATTTTTCAATTTCTTTAAGAATTTAAAAAAGTAGGTTTTTTTTATCAATACCGGTATAATAAAATTTTTATCATTTTGTTTTTCATTGTCAGTGTCTTCATTTGAATTCAATGCATTTGAAAATTATGTCACAAACTCAAATGAATGTGTTCGATTTAAATTAGTCACCTGTATCGATGATCTAATTGATGATTTCGAAGAAACTAATGGATCAAATGATAAAAATGATGGCGAATCAAAGAAATCAACTTCATCATGTCAAATATCTCCTTTTAAACCGGACATGTCGTATCAGTTTTTTGGAGAGAATGAAAATATATTCGGCTACAAAGATCTCATCGTTAAAGTTTATTATTCATGTGCTAAGTTGAACATTTATCTGGGCCTCAAATATGCTGATCGTTTAACAAAAGAACAGACAGACGGTGTAGAACCAGATGATGTGTTGCGAATAATTTCATCAAAATACGAGACGAAAGTATGCTTTAACTTGAATGAATTCAGTGCCAACCTTTCGAAAGAAATATCATTCATACCATATGGTGAATTGATAGAGGAATTTGAAATTGAATCAAAGCCCATTGATGATCATCAACAAGCCGAGAAGCGACGTTTTTGTCTATATAAAGCTAACAATTTGGTACCCGGTTTTGTCGCTTATCATGAACGAATGCAGACATTTTTGATGTGGTTTATCGAGGGTGTTTCTTATATCGATATTGATGATAATCGTTGGGATTTTTTTATTCTTTATGAAAAACTTCCTCGCACAGGCAAATCGTTATCATCATCAAAACCTTTGTCGGATGAATATCAATATTGTTTTGTTGGATATTCTACTGTTTATCAATATTATGCCTATCCTCAAAATGTTCGGCCGCGAATATCGCAATTTCTCATATTACCACCATTTCAGAGAATCGGCCTAGGCAGTAAATTATTGGCAGCAATTTATAAAAATTATAGTGAAAAGTCTATCGTTGACATAACAGTGGAAGATCCATCCGACGATTTCCAACGAATGAGAGATATTTTTGACTGTAAATTATGTATGCAATTAAGCTGGTATCAAACACTTGCTCCGAATACCGTTTGGTCAAATGAAATGGCAGTCGAAGCTCAAAATAAATACAAATTGAATCCTAAGCAAACTCGACGAGTTTTCGAAATACTCAAACTAAAATTGACAAATCGAAATGATCCTGATCAATATCGCCAATTTAGATTGAGCATCAAACAACGGCTAAATGCTCCATATAAAAAACAGATCAATGATATTGAACGTTTGCATCAACGTAAAGCAATAAATGATACCAACTATGAATTATTGATGAAAACCAACCAGATACCACGTGAATACCGAATCAAAAATTTGAACAAACAATATGAAGAAATCGAATCCGAATATTTACAAATCATAGAAAAACTCTAATTATTTTTATCGTTCACATGTTCTTTGTGCTAAATACTGCATTCCTCCTTATCCCCTTTTTCTCAAGTGATTAATAAATTACACTGTTACGATTATCAAATGATTTGATGAATTTTTTTTTTCATTTTTATAAGAAAAACTTTAACAAATATAATAATTCCACATGATTTAAAATTGGTGTGGTATATACCGTATGACAAGTCGTTCAAATGATATTTTGTGTGTAGGGGTAGTGGGGTATTTTTTCGCTTAGAGTTTTTCCGTTTTAAAAAAATTAAATCTATACAAAAAAATGCAAATATCAAGATCATACACATATGAAAAAACTAATACAGAAATGAGAACGGAAAGGAATCGAAAAAAAGAACTAAGCGAAAATGTATCTATGTATTTATGTTACACATAATCTTTGCATTCACCTTGGCAATGATGGTCAAAATGACCAAAAAGGTCGCAAGTGGAAATGTAAAGGGCGATGATGAGAATTATTTTTTCAATAAATCTGAATAATATATTTGTGAAGTTGATTATCTACATGATGTGTTGGTATGGGAAAAATCGTTTCAGAAACGAAAGCTAGCAAAAAATAAGGGAAGATATTAGCTAAGTTTTGGCGGCGGTTTCCATTCTGGATCATCTTCACTAGCCATAAGGTCACTGCTATGATGATGACTAATGGTACCACCAACACTTGAACTATTACGACCAGGTCCTCGCTTATTTTGGTGCGACATTTTAGTGGGCGTACGAGTGATCAATTCGTCATTATCTTCTTCATCATCGACATCATTGTCGTCATCATCATCATCGTCGTCATTATTTAATTCCTCTTCGTCGATTTCTTCATCAGCATCATCGTCATCATCTTCAATAGTTGGAGGCGAAACTTTATCATCATCAGCATCCAGAGAATCATCATAATCAACATCCATTTTTGCTGACGAACGTGATGAACGTTGTAGTTGTTCTTCCATCTCCTTTTGTTGTTTATTAGTTTCTTCGACCATCTTTTCATACAGCCAATCTGGAAGGGGAAACTTTCTTGGTTCATATGGCGAAACCGTTTCTTGTTGTTCGGTCCAATATTCCATTAATGAAACTTCATCTCGACTTGTATTTTTAGACAACGATGTCTGACGTTTACGAGTTGATGATGATGAATCACTATATTCATTATTATACAGAGCAGATGATTTTGATTTATATTTACTTTTGCTATGTGTAGTTGTATTGTTGTTAAAAGAATCTTGGCTTGTCTGGTCTAACGAATCAGATTTACTGCTGGATTCGAATCGTACACGTTGCGGACCTTTGTTTCGGATTGTTTGATTCTTTTGATTTTTACCATAGTAATTGAGTATTCGTTGACGCTCGGTTTGTTCACACTTCAAATGTCGAATTTGGAACGCTGTATCAGAAACATCTTCATCGACTAGCGGATTGTTGTTTGTCTGTCCATTATTAACATTTTTGTTTCCTTGTTCGGGAACGTTAACACTTTCCGGTTTTTGTAAGGAATACTCTTCGATCAAACGCCATTTTGGTGTCACAATCTCTTTGTATTGTAACCGTTCAACTCGAGTGGTAGCAGCAATACTATATGGTATAACAATGTTGTTAATGTCGAAAGCATGTTGTTCACTGCGGCGTCGACGATTCAATGGCGCCATTAATGATGAATGAGATATATTTGTTGGTGTGGATACTGAACCGACACTTGCATCTGATGGTGATGGCGAAGGAACAGGTGACTCAGCGCGTGAACTACATCCGCTAGATAAGCGATCACGTTGATGGGAACGTTTAACCGAATCTGTGCTTAACCGTCGCTTCTTGTTTTTACTAATCTTCAATTGTTGTTTTTTAGATTCTGAAATAAAAAGAGATGATTAAATACATATGAATTGATTCAAAAATAATTGCTCATACTTAATAACGATGAATTCAATGACAATTTTTTACCCGATTTTTCCAATCGTTGTTCATTAGATGCAGCAGATGTCTTTTTCCTGTAATGAAAGATGAGATAAAAAATTCAATTCCAAAAAAAACCAATAAAATAATCATCATACTTTTTACTCCTAGTCGTAGATGTTGTTTTGTTGATATCAAATATTTCACGTTTTAAATAATTTGCAAATTGAAGTTCAAGAGGAATATCTAAAAAAATAATGATTAGTCTAATGAAAATGAACAATAAATTCAAGTAATTACCATTAGGTAAACAAAGAGTCGGGTGACAAGATGGATCGAGTAACGATACTCTTTTTTGATATGGCATCAATTCCGTATCGATACTTTGCATAAAACTATATCGGCCATTACAGATAACACAAGCAGCTACATGAGATGGATAAATATTGCATGAACATTGAATTGATGAATATTTGACTGCCTTTTTTGTCGATGCTGTTGACAAAGTCGGTTCCGCCCATATTAACTTCCGCCGTTTCATACTTATAAATGGCATTGTTCGCATACAATGCTCAGGTTCTGAATTGGTTTGTTGAGGCTCTATTGTCTGATCTTCAAGCTTCTGACTTTCTGATCCAATTTGATTCATAGATGTTTTTGATGCTGTCAATGTTGAGGATGATGAAGAGTTGTTTCCCGAAATAGATGATGATGATGATGAACCCTGCTGATGATGGTGAGAATGTGGATGCTGCAGCCCATCTTGTTTCTGGTGACTTGATTGATGATTGACAACTGTGATCGTAGGCAATGGCAGTTGCCTTTGAACCACTTCATTGTCACCGAAATTAATTGTACCTTTCGTGGTTCGAATATGACGAAACAGATCTGTCTGCTGTCGCAATTTGATTTCCAAATCAAATATATGTGCTTGCAGCGAAGACCATTGTGATGCTATTTGACTACGTTCATTGTACCATTTCCAATTCAAACGATTCCGCCTGTCAAATTGTATAAGAAATATTAAGCAATTCAGCATCAGTAAATTGAAAGAAAAACTTACACTGAAGTTTGATGCTTTGCAATAGCAGCAGATTGGTGAGAAATTGTCGGCCACGCAAGTGAAGAATGAGGCGATGGTGGAATCGACGTAGTTGAATAAGTAGAACTTCCGGTCATCGATTTATCGATAAAAATATCATCGAATGATTCCGATTCATCACAGCTTTCTCCTCCAGAACTACTTTCGGTTGCATCCGAATCATACTTAGATTCCAAATGCCGAAGATTGTAACGCCAAGAATCGATTGTCGTCAACAATTTTTCTCGATTCTCTCTAAGCAGTCTCGGAGATCTCGATTTAGACGAAGAAGATTCTTTAGGCTGGAAATGAATTTGCTGTTGTTGAACATCAATATTTGATGCCTGATTGGAAAGGATGAGGTCAGATTGCAATCGGTTGGCTTGCTTATTATTGATTGATGGCTGAAAAAGCGATGAATCTGAAAAATTTTGATTACCACAAGTTAGTTTTATGTCTGATTTGGAAGGTTGTATTAGTGAATGATCTGATCTCATTTTTAGCTCATTCTGTGAAATCATGAATGGAGATTGATGGTGATGATGACAATCCGAAGATAAAACTCCCGCCATTGTTGTTGGTCCGGTCATGCCATAATCAAGATTCATGAAATTGGAGAAATCCAATTCAAATCGTTGACAATGGACCCCGTTAAGTCGTTGATTTTCGGCAACAAACAGCTTCATTTGTTTTGATAAATTTTTATGGGTATATTGTAACTGTAATCGACGAATTCGATGTTTCATATCAGCGTTGAATTTGCGCATATTTTGCTGCTTACTTAGGAGATCATTGCAAATGGATTTTTGTTTTTCTGATTCTTGTTTCTCAAGTGCTAGTTTTTCCTCTTCTTTTTTCTGTGCGATTATGGTTGATGCCTCATGACTGTTTGAAACATTGGTACTTATGGTTCCAATATTAATGTCAAAACCACCCAATAATGACTGTGATGAAGAGGGTGGAGAAGGTAGAAAACTAGCCAATGTGGGCTCTAACGGTTCAATCGTATGGTCACCATCACATTTGTCCGATAGCTGACGATGATGATCATCATCAATGGGCATCATTGCATCATCAAGAACAACATTTTGAAAACATGTTATCGATTGTTGATGTGATGGTTGATTTGAAGATAATGATGACGATGAACATTCAATTTTAGAATCACAAGAATTTTGAACTAGACTATTGTTGTTGTTGCTTTGAATCATTGTTAATCGGTTGTTGGTGGTGCTTGTCGATTCCACATCTTGAGAAATTTGGTCTGTCCTCACATGTCGTAACTCGTCACTATTGATTGTTTTATGATTCACTGTCGTTGACGCTAACGAAATGGTGGTCGTAATCTGAGGTAGAATGTGACTTTCATTGCTGCTATTGGTTAAAATGGACATTTTTGAGCCATTTTTTTCATTTGATAATTGATCAACGGATGAGGCCATAGTGCTGGTCCAGTCTTGATGACTGGATGTTGCTGAGTCTACATCATCACTACCATCACCATTTTCTAAAATTTTAAAATCTGATCCATCACGACGTGCATGTGGAAATAGAAGGAAATTTGCATTGTCGGGGCTACTTAGGATTCCCATTCTTATCGGTGTGGTTGTTGTTGTCGTAGCTAACGAATGATCAATCGACACTGTCGTTGATAGATTACGAAGGAGTGAATTTGAGGTTGTTGTCGATGTCGACGAAGACGATGATGATATAATCGATAAACCGGTAGTCGTCGTAGATGGATTCGTTATTGTTGTCGTTGCTGGATCAAGATTTAGTCGATGATCGTGACCGTTCGAAAGCCCGTTATTCATATTAGTGCTTGAATTGCTCAATGTTTGGATCGAAGAAGAATTCGATGCCGAAGATCTTTCCTGATTATTGGGGTTGGTTACCGCCAAATCGTCGGCGTCGAAAATCGTATTGATATTTCCGAGCCTTGCACTTTCGTTAGATTGATCTAATTTTATGATTGACTGATTTGCGAACGATATTTTCGTTTGCGGATGATGAATAAATGTGGCTGACGTGTTCGTTGTATTCGTATTGTCTTTTACTTTATCCACAGTACTTATATTCAATAATTCGTGATTTTGAATAGGAAAATTGAATGGTATAATAGCGCTCGAACACGTCATTGCAATGTTGATAATTTGATGCGATATTCATCAATCAATATAATTCTAATGGTCAATTTTAACAAAAATATAAATCAAAAACAAATAAAGGGTTACTCAAATTGTATTTCGAATGGATCAAATATTAATTTGAAGAAACCTACCAAATGGATAACGAAAAAAAATATGACATGACAACATGGTCATCAGCAATGACAATAAGACGAAATTGATGAATATAAATTCAGCAATCATGTTCTATCATGAATTCCAAATCAATTGACACCATCATCATCATTATGATGATGAAGAGAGGGCACAGATTATTGCACCCAGAACATGACAGTGACTTGGATTATTTGTTGTTTGTTGGAAAAATCGAATTTGTATATTGTAGTCGTTATTTGTTGTAAATTGTGATAATTAAATGATGATGATGAAACACGATGAATTATGATGAAATTTCATGTAAGAAAAAGTAAAAATAGAAAATGAATGATGTAGATAACCTATGTCAAAGATTCTGATCATTTAATCGATAAAAATAGGTGCAATTGGATGTTGGAACGGTCCTGTTGTTTCTTCACAATCATTATTTTGGCAACCATCAACACAAACACATTAACACACACGGATCTTATTCTCGGATGAATGTTGGGAAAGAATTTACTATTTACATTAACAAATGATAATATGATGAGGTTTACGATTACAAAATAAACGCAACAATTCGTTGTCAAAATTGTAATCAAACAGCAATGGAAAATGAACAGAATATTAAATATCAATGGAATCACCCAATTAATCAATAAGATTACACAAAATTTTAGTAAAATTGGCCAAATTAATGAAAAACAATCGAGCCATTAAACATAACGTGATGATAATTTTTACACACAGGCGGTGATAACAAATTAGCAAACAAAAAAATCTGGTTGAAAATGAGACAACGAACGGTAAGGAACCAAAATGAAACGATACGTATAGGCCAAATTAAAGCGGCGTTGTTGGTCTTGTTCTACAGTTTTTTCTTTTCTTTTGTCGTCGCATCACAGTAAAGTGAGTTTGAGTGAGCCAACGAATAAAGCATTCGCTAAATAGAATCCTCGACTATCGTGATGGTTTCTCACAAACACGATGATGGTGAGAAGAGAGGAGAAAAGTATGATGATCGCCCATAATACGGGAGGGAATATTGAATGTAAAGGGGCTGATAGACTTATGAAATTGAATAAACAATGATGGCGGTTGGTGGACGCGACAGGAAAAATCAAGCACAAGTCTTTCAATTGCAAATACAAAAGCAAAGAAAAAAACGCCATTTACTCAAGCTAATATGAATGCTGCCATAATCATCTATTATGGTGTAACAAACACAAAATACACACACACACACACATTCGCCTCCACAAACACAGAAATATAGTAAAAAAATGCGCAGTCGTATTTCAGATTTTAATTTATTGATTTGTCAATAGGTGGCCAGAATGTATAGTGGTAGTGGCATATTATTGAGTAAATTAGAGGGAGTGTTCATTGCTAATAAAATTGTCAATGATTGTTGTTGGCAACAGCCATGGCATTATCAAGTCGAATGGCGACTTTTTTTTTGTAAGTGGTAGCAGTCAATCAACATACAACGACATCTGTTATTGATAATGGATAATATAGCCGGTAAGAATATAAAATTTTATGATTTGAATCCTAAAATACTTAAATTAATTAAATGATTTTATGAGAGAAAATAATTCGCTTAGATCAACTAAAAATTTAGCAAAACAAAATGATAAATGGCATTCAAAATTAGAAAATTTTCAATTGTTTAAAAAGGGAAATTTTTCGTTTATAATATGAATTGGAGGCTATTTAGACCCAATATGTTTGAATTCGGATAGAAATAAATTCTGACCTCATGTGTTTTTGATTTTAATTCATTTTTTTCGCATTCCGATTGATACATAGTTTTATTTTGGTTATCTGTAAATGCAGGAGCGAATTGTTCCATTTCATCCCAAAAAAGGAATGCCTCATATCTTCTAAGTGAGTTTTTGATAACGACAAACTTTTTTGTTGTTTGTATTTGCACATTTCATCATATTTGGTTCCAACACTCATGATTTGTAAAACGAATTAGATGATTGTATAAATAAAATATGAGTTTTATTAATCTTGCATTTCCATCATTAACGAATCTAAATTCACAAGTATGAGTGATATTTCTTCCTATAACTTGAATTGATTCATTTGATTTTATTTAGGTTCTACCCTCAATTTCACATATTTCATCGGTATTGAAATGCAAAACATACACATCGCCATTAGGCACTGGAAAGCAGAAAAATGTTGTCATCAATAGCGACAAATTACCAGTTAGCAGCGAATCATTTTCGGTTGCTAATGATAAACTGTCGACATCAAGCGCCTCAGCTGTCATCGCAACACTTATCGATGAAAAGCAATTTAATTTTGTGATCGAAAAATTTTTCCGACCATCATTCAATGCAAAAAGTAATCGATTCAAAATTGATTTCATAGCCAATTTGCTTTCATCATCATCCAACGATTCCCAGAATGCATTCAAACAGCCTTATAGGATCGTTTACAATTCGAAAAAAGATACTTTACGCATAAATAATCATCGATTTAAACTTTTCGCTAGCCAAACCGCTGATATCCTCAATAATGTTGTTTGTTTAAATGATCAACAACAGAGACGAAATTTTAATACAAAAACACACTCACAACGTTATACCGGAATCGGCAGCTCTCTTAATCGACGATATTTGGACAATCGAAATTCTTTTAATCTGAAACTTGGCTCTATATTTAAAAAAGATGCTCCACTTGAAACTGAAAAGCTTAAAACCTTAATCAATGATGAAAAATTGACCGAAGAAGAACGTCAACGGATCAAGGTTGGTTCGTGCAAATAAATTTTTCATTCTACAGACTTTAACGATTGTCATAATCGTAGATTGCATTTGCTGAAGGATATTCGGCTGCTGATCCAAAACATTCACAATCTCGAAAGTTGCGTGTGTTCAATGTGTTCAGAGATTTATTGGGCATAATTCTTATACTGGCTATACTTGTATCATTTATGGGTGAGACATTCGGTATTTATTTCTTTTTAGTTGTAGTTTGCAAATATTTCATTTTTTTCTTGTGTTTATTGTTTCGTTTTTGTATTGTTCCCGATTTCTAATTATTCCATTTTATTTGATTTATAGGTGGTACGTTTCGTCGAGTATTGTTCGGCGATACCAATGAAGTTTTACAGGAAGAAATTGACGTTACTTTTAACGATGTCAAAGGAGTTGATGAAGCTAAACAAGAACTTCAAGAAATTGTCGAATTCCTCAAGAATCCAGAAAAATTTTCATCACTTGGTGGAAAATTACCTAAAGGTGTTTTGTTAGTTGGACCTCCTGGTACTGGAAAAACATTGCTTGCTCGTGCGGTAGCTGGTGAAGCTGGTGTTCCTTTTTTTCATGCTGCAGGTCCAGAATTCGATGAGATACTTGTCGGTCAAGGTGCCAAACGTGTTCGAGACTTGTTTGCAACAGCCAAACAAAAAGCACCTTGTGTAATTTTTATAGATGAAATAGATTCTGTTGGCGCCAAACGAACTAATTCTGTATTGCATCCATACGCCAACCAGACTATAAATCAGTTGTTGACTGAAATGGATGGATTTCGACAAAACGAAGGTGTAATCGTATTAGGCGCTACAAATCGCCGTGACGATTTAGATAAGGCACTCATTCGACCCGGACGTTTTGATGTCGAGATTCAAGTTTCCTTACCAGATTTTGAAGGGCGCAAAGAGATAATCCAGTTGTACTTGGGAAAAATCAAGTATGCTTCGGATGTCGATTTAGATGTGTTGGCCCGTGGAACTGTTGGTTTTACCGGTGCCGATCTTGAGAATCTGATCAATCAAGCTGCATTGAGAGCGGTTATTGATGGTCTAAGTGATGTGCCTATGGAATATATAGAAAATTCTCGCGATAAGGTTCTGATGGGCCCTGAAAAGAAGAATCGAATTCCTGACGAAGAAGCAAATAAAATAACTGCTTATCATGAAGCTGGTCATGCTCTTGTTTCTTATTACACTAAAGATTCACATCCACTGCATAAGGTTACCATTATACCTCGAGGTCCATCGCTTGGTCATACAGCCTATATACCAGAAAAAGAATCCTATCATGTAACACGAAGTCAAATGTTGGCTACTATGGATACTTTAATGGGTGGTCGTGTGGCTGAAGAACTTATCTTTGGTTTAGAACGTATCACTACAGGTGCATCTAGTGATTTGAAAAAAGCAACCAAAATGGCAACAAGTATGGTTAAAGATTTGGGAATGTCCGAAAAGGTAGGATGCCTCTGATGCATTTTTCGTAAAACCTTTGAATTTTTTTTTCTAATCCGATAGGTCGGATTACGAACTTTTGATGAGGAACATAATTCATTGGTGGTAGTCAATGAATTATCCAATTCAACATCCGAACTTATTGACAATGAAATCAAACGAATTCTTCAGGTAACTTTTTTTTCCAATTGTATATAATTTAATTCTTTTTAATATAATGATAAACCTTTAAAAACAGGAATCATATGATCGAGCCAAAAACATATTGAAATCGCATAGTCAACAACATGCGAAATTGGCCGAAGCCCTGTTGAAACATGAAACTTTGAATGCGGAGGAAATTAAACAATTGTTGGCCAATTAAATCTTATCTATCAAGAAGTACACAAAAATAAAACAAATCACAATATTTTTTCATTCAAATAATCTGATGGAAACAAATAATTTCCCTGTGTGTGTGTGTGTGTTTTAAGCTGTAAAATTGTATAATTTTGTGATATAAAAAAAAATATAGAAAAACTAAATGCTTGTTTGTCGGGCTGGATGTGTGCAAGCATAGTTGAATTCGACCAAGGATTATGTTCTGAAAAAAAAGATAGAAATTTTGTTGCTCCAATAATAAAAATAATGTTAATGATAAAAAAATAAAATTAACTAATTGATCACAATTTTCACGATTTTGATTGATTAATAGTATGTTTGTTTGTTTTTTTTGGTCTGGCGAATTAAATCATTTGATCATTGTAACTGCAATTAGAGTTTCTATTTTTTACGGTTGAGAACCATATCGCACAAAGTCAGTAATGCCTGTTTTTCTGGAGTATCTCTTAGGTTGGAAATGTGTCGTGCTGCTTCATCGGCATGTTGCTGTGCCAACATTCTTGTATGATTTAGACCATCACTCTAATGAATGATAATGATTTCAATCATTTTAAAAGCAAAAAAATATTTACAAATTCTTACCTTCATTACAGCATCGTATGTTTTTTCTACATCACCAGGTTCGGAAAATCGACGTATAATCATTTCATTTAGTTCGGGAAATTTTTCACATGCAAATAAAACTGGAGCTGTAGCTAGACCAAGTTTCAGATCATTAGCGGCAGGTTTCCCTAATTCTGCTTGGCTAGATACAAAATCTAGCATGTCGTCAACCAATTGGAATGCAATGCCAAGATTCTTGCCATATTCAAAAGCTGCTTTCTGTAGTTCATCATCGGCAGTAGCCAGATAGGTCACTGCTTTACAGGTGTAAGCAATAAGACTGGCAGTCTTTTTGAACGTTTTCTGTATGTAATGCGAGAAACGTTCCTTTTCTTCTTTTTTTGATCCCATTTGCATGAATTCACCCAAAACTAGGTCGACAATTGCCTGGTTTGGATATGGACGAATCATTTCGATTGTCGAAATGGAATATATAAAAAAAACTTACCTCAGATAGTGTCGATATAACATTAGGATTATTCAGACGAGCCAACATTTGTGAACCCTTTGATATGACAAAATCGCCAGCAAAAATTGATTTCTTTTGACCCCACAGTACATTGACCGATGGCTTACCACGACGAGTATCTGCCGAATCGATAACATCGTCGTGTATTAGGCTGGCAGTGTGTATCATTTCGATAATAAGGGCAACTCGTTTTTGTGAATTGAGCAAATCAGAATTACCAGTCATGTGAAAGTTTATCGCACGTGCAATCAATATAACTATTAATGGTCGTATCGCTTTGCCTTGGCCATCGAAATAATATGTAGATATTTGCTCCAATTCGGGCATTTCATTCTTTAATTCTTCCTTAATATCTGTATATAGGTTATCAAGATCATTCTGAGCTAATTTGAATGGATCAATCTTTCTACTGCCCGAATGTTGTTGCTGATCAGTATCGAGCTGTTGCTGTTGTGATGATAATGGCATCCCACTAGTAAATAAGGTTCGCTTTGAATGTCGATGATGATAATCATGATGGTCATAAAATAGCCCATCCAATGAAGCTAATGAATTCTAAGCCAATTAAAAAGAACGAAAATGAATTCGTGAATCAAATGTAATGAATATTTAAGCTATCGAATGAATAAATTTTGTTTGCCATTAATCAGATTGATCGGGCGACCGACACAATTTTCATCAAACATCCATTCTCATTAAAGCCTATAAATTTTTGTTACATTTTTGGTTTTGTTCGGTTAATGCCTCCGGTCAATTCAATTCAGGTGATCATTAAGATTACATTGATCAATAGTTGGACATTGTAAAAAGCAGTTCGACCACTTTTTTCACCATTATATTTTGAATTCAAGGGATGGTGATCTGGCGAAACGAACAACGCTCATAACTATGTATGTCAAAAAAAACTTGTTCGAAAGAAGTAAAAGTCAAAATATCTTGGTCGATCGGCCAAAATGATAATCGAAATTTCTAAATTGTTCAATGTTGGTTTGTTTTTTCTTTCATGATGATTTTGGCAAACATTTTTGAAATTAATGCTCAAATTTCATTAAATTTGTTAGTTGTGTATTGAGAAATCAATTTTGATTATCATTTATATTCAAATGAAATCGAATGGTAACTTACCGGATGTTTGGACCAACATTTGAATGGTAATGGTAGTTTGGTGGTGATCGTTGATAATGAGCGATGTGGATGGCCGTTTCGAAAACATCCACTTTTGTTGATTAATATTTGCCACATGGATCGAACATGATGATGATGATGATAAATTGCCATTCTTATGAACGATTTTTTTTTTGATTTTAAAATAAAAAAAAATTCTCAAATAAAATAGCCGATTCGGCTACTTTTATTTCTTTCGGAACAAACTTGAAGAAAGTTTTGAATTGCTAGAACACAGGCTATGATTTACATTATCTCGATAGCAGAACAAACAATTTTACCCGGCTAAAATGTTTCGCAAAAACAATCCAAAACATATGAATGGAACGAAACGCAATGAAAACAAAACAAAACAATTTAATCGCAAGATGGCGTTTTTCAATAAAATTTTCACGATTGATTCTTTTGATTCTTGAAAAAAACTGAATAGAATTGCATTCATTTGTTCGACAAAAAGTTTGTCAATCTTTTCGTCGAATTGAAGTTAACGATCCGATGATTTCGAGTGGGAAAAACCTACTGGACTGTTGAACATGTACGGGTCTCTTTTTTTTCAACATCGGTTGGACTGGTTATTTATGTTTTTTATTTTATTTTCATTCATTTCGTTGGTCCGACCACCATCAATTTACATTTACATTCATAATCTCTCAAATATTTCTTAGGAAAAATGACTTTTTCAAGTGGTGGAACAAAATGTAGCTCAGTAACCAGCACCACCTAAACGATTTAAAGTTAGCCAAAAATGGCTAGTTTTCTCTTTTTTTCCGATTTAGATTATCAACATCATCAAATATCAATGGTACATCAAAAGAAATGATGTTTGAGATTTTGAATGGTCATCATTTTTAACGATAATAATATAGGGTTAAAAATAATTTTTCTCCTTCTTCGGCCGTTCATTCAGGCAAGTTTTTAGAGAGTTAACGATGCTTTTTTTTCTTTCATCACAACTTCAATCAATTCAAATCTTTATTAAAATTAAATTGTTTAAAAAAACAAAAATAATCAAAGTGAAAATAATGATGACTTGTTTTAACCTGTTGGTTAACAATCGAATGAGCCACTTTGATGCCAATATATTGTTGATAACGGATGTTTGAAAATTTTGTCAAATATTATGCATTTCTCGAATACAATTGTGTCGTTGTCCTACAATTGTCGGACTTGAGTTACCAATTCACTTCAAATGTTCAGGTGCTTTTTTCATTGGTGACTATAAGACATTTAATGAGACACTATTCAAATTGTATTGGTAAATACTTACCGAATCACAATGACAAAGTTCACCACCATCCGATGGATGTTTCCAACAAATATAATGACAATATTTTTTCAGATCATTTAAACTATCGAAACGTATTGCTGTTGGTGCTTCTTTACTTGTGTGTATAGCAAAAACCAAGATGATGACCACCATACACAGAATTATCTGTGTGGCAAATAAATAGCGACGATTTTTAAGCATTTGTAATTTATAATTTTGTTAGGATAGGAATTGACAATTGAATGATTATATTTTCAATGACGTTTTTTCAGTATTTATACTAAATTTATCTATGGGCGATACTTGGTTACAAATAGAACAAAATACTCATCATTAAATGACAATAGAATGGGAAAAACATTGATTTTGATGTCGATATCAAAATTTTGACTTTTGATTTGATAAAGTTTTAATCTGATATATACAAGAAATGGTATTATTCCATTATTAAAAATTATATAATCAAAATTTTATTTTCAAGAAAAACATATTGATTCAATGCTTTTATGTGTTGATTGAGGGTATTATCCAGTAATAGTTATCGGAAAACTTATTTTCTTGTTTTGATCCAATCAGATTGAAAAAAATAAATGATTTTCAAGTGTTTGATTGACAAATTTAAGTTAACAACAGATATATCTTTAATCTATGATTCCAAGGAAAACTATTCGATTGTCAAAGTAATTTTCGATTTGATTAAAATCCAAACCATAAATAGATATATTGGTTGTTTAGGCAAATTGTGCAAAGATTAAAAGAAATAATGATTAGCAACTGACAAAAACAATCTTTTTTATTTTGACCAATAGACATTAAAAACCATCAAGGTACTTTGTTGACGGAAAAACTTTCTTCCTTAATCAACAAAAACAACAACAAACAATAAGACTCTTTATACTATTTAAGAGTAAACAGAAACTTGTTGCACATGTACCGTTCAATATTAATCAAAGTCCATGAAACCAGATCACAGTTCATTAAGTAGTTTTTTTTTGCTAATAATATTACAAATAATCAATCAATTTGTTGTTATTGATGATGACAAACAAGATACAAATCAACAAAATGTATAACAAAACAAGGGAAGCAACAAAAACAATAAAAGTACTTATGGGATAATTGGATGATTATAAGATTGAAATAATTAAATAGGCGTTTAGAAAGGTGTTTTTAGATTTCGAAATTCAATGATGACAAATTTTGAAATCTTTATTCGCCTATTTCGAATAAGATGTATTAGATGTTAATGGCAAAATAGATAAAATTAGATACACAAAAAAAACTGGGTGTACAATGATAAGGCTGAAAATGATGGTGATGATAATAATGATGATGATAATGATGATGATGAATAAGATAATCAAAAGGCCACTTTATGAATAAACCTTTTGCTTATTTTAGCTTTTCACTGGTAAGCAATCATAAAGTATCTGTCTAGTAGGTTCATTCAGATGATCGGGAAATTTTATGTCAAAATTAACAATCAAATCACCACGTTTGCTTGTATCTTTTTGAAATGGCAGACCTTCACCTGGTATTCGCTTCTGTGTAGTTGGTTTGATCACATCTTTCATCTGTATGGGAATTGTACCACCAGAAAGTGTTGGAACTTTAATCTTACACCCACATAATGCCTGTAAGAGAATATGAATAGAATGAGGTTAAAAATAACAAGACAATTTACAAATTCATCGACATACATCACGTAGATAGACTTTAGCTGTATAGATGATATTTGAACCATCACGCTTGAAATGAGTATGAGGCTTATCGCGAATGATAAAGACAATATCGGCTGGAATTGATGACGACGTGTGATCACCTTCACGTTGAAAAGTGACCTTCGTACCTGCTTTCCAGCCAGGCATCACATTGATGGTTAATACTTTGTCCTCTTTTTTGTATGTTTTACCATCCGGTTGCAAAACTTTACGACTGATTTTCATCTTTTTAACGCAACCATTTAGTATCTCTTCTAATGATAGATACAGATCATGTTCGATAGGGGGATCCTGTTTACGAGGCTGTTTTCTTTCGTTACCCGGTGAACCATGTGTAAAAGATTGGGAACGAAATGCATTCGAACTACGACCAGGTCCACCGAACGAAAAAAATGGATCGTCCATATCTTCGAATCCATTGAAAAAAGAAAATCCTGGACCTAGGAAGGAAGTTGGATGATGATGATGGTGATGATGAACTTTTTGAATGAACAACAATCAAATCGATATTAATCGGCATTTGCATTAGTCAAAAGCAGAGATAAATATAAAAGCAAACAAACAAAAAAACATAATTAATCGAATGAGGATCATAAATCAGTGTCATCGAACGTATGTGCAATACTATCATATATCTAACTTATATTTATCGGAATCTTAATTCTATTTAACCATTGCGTGTTGTCTCCTGATTGAGAGAGTTTGTTTTATTAATAACAACCTATATCATAGAGTGAGAGAATCCTTATTGCCACTGTTGTTTGTCACTTGTTTGTTCATGGTAAAAAATTCAAGATTACAAGAATAACAAATGGTATGGAATTCAAATATTCATCATCAAAGTTTTACCTCGAAGAGATTATATTTAGCCTATTCATATTCTCCATATAGTGTGCATGTATCTATGAGTGACATCAATTTAGTGCAATCCTGAATTAGCAAAGATTTCTGTATTTGCTTGGGATTTTTCACACAAAATATACTACGTATCAAAAATCTATCGAAACTTTGAACATTTGGATTAATGTTTTGGCTGATTATCGGCAAAAATACATCTATGGTTAAAAGCAAAAAAGAAGCAAACAAATGAAGAAAAATAAGAACCTGAATGACTATTTCCACCAAGACCACCGAAATTGAAGAACAAATCGAATGGATTATCTGTTCCAAAAAATTGAGCAAATGTTGCTCGTGGATCACCATGAAACGTATAGGTGAAATTAGCTGCATTTCCATTCGAATTAAAACCACTTGAGCTCATACCGCCATCATTACGAAGGCCTTCTTCGCCGAATTGATCATAAATGTCACGTTTTTTCTTATCTGATAACACTTCATATGCTTCGGCAATCAATTTGAATTTCTCTTCTGCTTCCGGTGATTTATTCTTATCCGGATGATATTTAAGCGCTAATTTGCGATACGCTTTTTTAATCTCATCTTCTGAAGCTCCACGATTGATTTGTAAAATATTATAATAATCTTTACCCATTTCATTCAAATGGGATATTATGGTTTTCTTATCTTCTTACTCAATAAAAATCGAAAACACTTGTCGTTGGAACACAATTAGACCCGAGCTAATTAAAGATGACAAGTAACCAATATCAAAGTTAGGTGGGATGAGATATTTTTTTAAGATTGAGCCTGCGGTTTTAAACACAAAAAAAACCATATACAATATTTCAATACTTGTCGATAGATGCTCGTTTGGTTTAGCGAATAACAGCAATTTGATGTTGTTGCCGTTGTTCACTGTTATGTTGATGACATTGAATGAAAGAACTAAGAAGTTGAAGGGATTTAATAATCCAGAATTCAAGAATCGAAGTTAATGTGTTGGTTATAAATGTGAATAACAACGCATTTTTTTCTATAGACGACGAAAATTTCGACAAAGATGAACAAATAAAGGAATTGAAGGAGCCTACTGCCACCACTACGATCACAACCACAAACGATGCTTGATGATGAAATATCTTGCTTCTGCTATTTATTAGTATTCATATGAGTTGTTGTGGTTGAGCTTTTTAACTGCAGAATGGATGATATTTTGAAGTGAAAGCCGCATTCATTTTACATATACACGGAATCGATTTTTGTTCGATCCTTGAATTGAATTCATGCGAAAGTAAGTATCCAAATGTTGAGTTACCAAGTTTTTTTCTGAGTAAGAAGACAATTGTAATGAAAGAAGACGTCCAGGTGATAAGAATCGTTTCGGTTACGATTTGTAATAATATCAATTTACAATCGTAGGTTGACTAACACTAAAACCAAAACATACCGACAAAAGACATGCGTTTTGATGAAAAAAAGAAATTAAAGATTCATTTCGAATGACAATAATCAAAAACTATTCAATTCGATTTATCATAGTAAGACGGTTTGTCTTAATTTTTTTTCAGTTAGGTTGTTGTTTTAACCAAAGATAGGATCGAATATCACGGAACGACTGTTTCAATCTGAATCAAATTTACAATTGAATATTTATTATGAATACATGGATGATGTGATGAAAATCAGCTGCCAAAAAAGTCGTAAAACCATTGAACAATGATGTTCGTTGGAAAAATTCATTCTCTCTAAATTAATGGATTGTAATATATCATCATCATCATCATCATCATATGTAATAAACGTCTACTTTATACTTATGTCATGTATTGTGGGCCATCACAAATTCCACTAATGTTAGTTAGTTGTGTTTTTATGATAGCACCTGTTCCAAAAATTAGTCAATTTAGATTGACTTATGGATAGATGGATGAGTGATTCATGACAGTAATCAAATCAACCTTGCCCTGCCCAACTTTCCCTTTATTTTGAGATGAATTGTCATGCATGATGACCAAAAATGGCACTGAAAATATTTTGAACCCATTTGTTTTGTTGAATCCAAAACGTTCAACTTTTTGATGTCCGATACAAATAAGTCTAATTATGGTTGTCCTAACAAAAGCCTTATCTGGACGATGACTTTTGTTTGAGAAAAAAAAACTTTAAATCTATTAAATTGACACCTATTAAATTTTTTTTTCAAATGATCATCATTCAATAACGACATTGACAATGATTTAATAGTTTAAACTAAAACGAGGAAAAACTTTTCTAATGGAAACATTTTTATGAAATTATCAGTTATAGACAGATATGCATATCAATAGCATATAGTACCAATGCATAGAAATTAATTCAAAATGATTCAATGAAAAAAAAATTATGTCAATCAAATTATTGAGTGATTATCTTGTTTTGCGAGTTTGCCCAACAATGCTCAAAAAGCTGAACACGACATTTACACTGAAACATAACACATTATGCATAGCTCATACGAGTGATTGAGTTTTTTTCCTCATCATTGTTATATGCTCATATATACCGACAATATTTGCCAACGGCAAGTTATTGATAAAAAAAAAACATTCACATCATTCGATCAAACATTGTCGTCATCAGTTTACTGTTTAAATATATTAGATTTTCATTATTGATTCTGAATGCTTGTATTTCAATTCAAATTTCATTCAGGTTTTCCTCTAAATCAGCGAGTAGCAATTTATTCAATCATTATTTAAAAATCGTGTACCCTGAAATCACTGTCGAGTTTTTTTCTGATCAAATTCGTTTATTTAAAAATTAAAAAAAAAAATGGAAATCGATATACTCAAGCCGGGTTCCGAAACAAAAATATTGACATTGAAAGATGTAAAAGCGACGGCAACAGTTAAAGAGATAAAATCATTAATCTATCGCGAAAGTATGTGTTGATATTAGTCATTTTGTCATCATTATTTTCATCAATCATTTTTCCTTAAACAATTTATAGAACGCGCATTGTATCCGGAACGTCAATCACTTCGATTGGATTCCAGTAAGTTTGTTCGTTTGATGTTTTGATGTAATTTCTCATCACAAATATTATATTTTTGCAGGAGGAAAATCTTTGGAAGATAATGCTACACTAGACTCTTTGAATTTGAATCGTGGTCGTGTTCTTTATCTGAAAGATTTGGGTCCACAAATCGGTTGGCGTACAGTATTCTTGGCCGAATATGCTGGTCCACTGATCTGCTACATGATTCCATTCTTTCGACCATATATAATTTATGGTCAAAATGCAAGCCTACCAATGAGTTATGTTGTTAAGTAAGCAAATCGAATTGTTAAAAGAACTGAAATAACCTATTATTGTTTAGAATCGCTGCCTTTTGTTGGACATTACACTATGTTAAACGTTTATATGAGACAGTATTTGTACATCGATTTTCACATTCAACCATGCCGATTATGAATCTATTCAAAAATTGTACTTACTACTGGGGCTTTGCATTTTTCATTGGCTATTACGTTAATCATCCATTGTACACTGAACCATCATTTGGTGCCATTCAAGTGTACATCGGTTTCATTTCGTTTCTTGTAAATTTTTTTTATTGACGAAAATTTATTCTGATCTTAATTTTTGATTTTTTTTCAGCTAAACGAGTATGGTAACTTTTCCATACATTGTGCTCTTCGTGATTTGCGACCACCTGGCACAACCGAAAGAAAAATTCCGATGCCGACAAAGAATCCTTTTACATTTCTTTTCAACTATGTATCCTGTCCAAACTATGCTTATGAATGGTATGCATGGGCATCATTTTCCATTATGACTCAATGTCTTCCGGCTGCAATATTCACCGTCGCTGGTTTCTATCAGATGGCTATCTGGGCATTGGGCAAACATCGTAATTACAAAAAAGAATTTCCAAACTATCCACGACGTCGTAAAGCTATTGTTCCATTTTTGCTCTAATTTGTTCATAAGATTTTGAGAAAATACAAAACTGAACCAGTGCATACAAGCGATAATAATTATGAAAAATTTTATTAAAAACCTTTTTTTACTCTTCACTATTAATTTAAACATTGTAAGTTTATTGCGAACAACGTATAAACTGGTCATTGATTTTTCAGCTGCATAGGCGATGAGTCATCCCAAATATGTTTTTACGAATTTACGATCCTTGTTGTTGCCTTGTTTGGATTCAATCATTTTTTTTTGTTTAGACATGCACGCTAATGATATAGTATCAGTTAAATCTAATCACATTTTTTAGCATTGTTTCAAAATTTCAATTTCACCAACATCTTCACATTGGTTTCATATTGTTTAATTAGAACATGTCGTGCAGTGAAGATATACGGCGTTTGAAAAATAAACTATCATTAGATTTCAATCAGCCTCGGTCGTCAAAAAAAGAGAAAGCATGTCAATTAACAACACCAGGTAAGTGAATACTTGTTCCGATGTTTTGGCATAAATGGAACATTTATCAATTATTTATATCGTCATTGTAGATTTAGACAAACTTGCTTTGTCGACGCCTCAAATGGCCGAATATCTGAAAACTATTCCACCCGTAGGACCATTACCAACATTCACACGAAATTCTGATGATGAAAAACAGCGAATGTTAGAAATGTGGTCGAATCAAGCACATATGAATAATTCCAATTTTACCATAGCAAATAATGAAATCGAAACGAATACGACCACAACCAATATAGATGAACATGATTCTAAATTTTTTGAAAAAGGTCAGTATTTGAAATAATAATGAATTCAAACTAAATTTCCGTATAGAATCTGAATCATCCGCTAGCAAAAATAACTCCAAAAACAGTAAAGGATTCCAGCCAATCAACATGCAAGATCAGGAACAAGCTAAATTGGAACGGAAACGACTTCGAAATCGAATTGCTGCATCGAAATGTCGTCAACGAAAACTTGAACGCATACAATGTCTGCAGAAAAAAGTCGATGAATACAATGACAAGATCAATGCATTGCAAAGATTTGAAACTTTGCTCAAAGATGTCAATAATCAATTGTCTGTGCAGATTACGAAACATCGAGATCGGGGATGTGACCTGTGATTAGATGAAAATTTTAATTAATCGACGACAATTTATATGTACAAAGACCATTATCTAATTTTTATTTAAATATTTATAAATATATTTTCAATAAATGCAATAAAAATTTTATTTTCGCATAATAATCATGATGATGAGATCGTTAGTGAATAATTTTACAAAAAGATGAAATATGTACTATATATTACAGCGATAATAATAATTTAAAATCTCATACGACTATCGTCGTGATCATAACGGTAAAAACGGAATCGAGAACATTAACTATCGGTTATGGATGGCCGTAAATCCATATCACAGAATAGGTATTAATCGTGGCCAAAATTCATCGAATAGTTTAATAGATTCTGGAATGAATAAAGTGTTCCCATTTTATTTTAAATAATACTGGCTGGCAGTTTGTTGAAGTTCTCTATATAATTCAAATTCAATGCTATATTTTCATTATTGTTACTGTTTTGATGATTATTGTTATTCACAGCATTTTTGGGAGCTAATGATGTTTTCAATTGATTATCATCAAATTGATTAGAATTGGAATTTTGTTGATTCAATAACTCTTCGATTTCTTTATGACCAGCAATTTTGGCATAAAAAAGGGCCGTCTTGCCTTCTATGTCCATTGCTTTCTCATTGACATTATTCTATAGGATTTATATGGAATTAGTATTTAACTCAAAGTTTAGTATTAAATACTTGCCCAAATAAGAAGTTGAGTTATTTCCAAACATCCTCGGCTTGCTGCTAAATGCAATAAAGTTTTCTTATCTTTCGCAAAAATTTGCGACAAATTTAAATTCTGAAAAGATGCATGCGCCAGTAAATGGACAATCTGTTTTATGTCCATTTTCATGACACTATTAATAAGTTGTGTTTGAATAGGTGTTTTTTGATCATCAAGAGGAGCCAGAAATTCACGTCGCTCATATTTAGCTCGAATAAAACGTTCTTTTTCTTCATGTCTTGAAGTAGGTGTCGGTTTAGTTTTACTTTTCAGTTGATATTCCCAGATTTCATTAACAGCAGTATTCCCAAGGCCCAACATCACAGACACATGACTAGACCTGAGAAAAGAATTTATCATATAAGTCAAACAAAATTGACATTTAATAAACTTACGGCCAAACATCAAGTCCAAGTGATCGAACTTTTGATATATGTGTCCCAAGATTTCGATGTATGCCCGAACATTCGATGCAAATAAGGGAGCCAAGATTTAATGATGCCCAATCTGGATCTATCGGAAAAAAAGTTTTGGTTCATATTTTCCCGTTTAAATTATTCATATTAAAAAATGATAAGTTACTTACTTGGCGCTTCACAATCAACACAATATTTATTACCCGGTACGGTACGAATCGTGTGAATGGCAGAATCATCAACACTATTTACATTATGCAATTTAGACTTATCATATTCTGAATTCTGAAGACTAGACAGTATTTGTTGTTCGATAGCCGCTATCCATTCTTCACGTTCATCTGCATTGCTTGCATTAAAATGCCATTGTTTGTTGTCCAATGATACAATGACAAATTCATTGCCATCCGAATTATCGTCACCAATTTCACCATTTTTTGCACCTGGATTTTTTATTTTTCGACTTTGTTTTTTACCACTACTGGGGTCATATTTAGGATTGGTGCTGGGAATTCGACGTTCACCATAATCTGATAAGAAATATTTTATATTTCACCATAAAAAATAAAATGATATAAATGACATACTTCGATTCGAATCGACACTATTGAAAGCAGCGGGTGAATTAGCTGAAAGTGGCCGTGCACCACATCGAGGTTTTTGCCCCGGTATTTTCACTGTCGTATGTTTGAGAGGTATATTTTTACCATGAACATCGTCCATATAATCATGCAATGTTGGATGATAAGTGAGACAGCCATCAGTGGTCAGTGTGACATATTTCTTTTTCCAGTCTTTATTCAATGTTTTTTTACTCTTTTTGTAGAGGTAACCTTGTTTGATCTTCAAAACCAATCAGTTTATAAAAATAGTATTTCTAAAGATTATTTTCTAAAAATTTTAACCTACCGGAATGGTGCGACCGCTACCAACTTCACCATTTTTATATTTATCATCATTTTTGGTTTTGTTTGACAACGGTGTGAAAAGATTTGATTTCCGTCGATTTTTACGATTTGTATTGGGTGTCTGTTGAGTGGACACCTGTTGATTTTTGAATGTTGCTTCATGCACTGATGTAGATGGTGATGGAGGCACAGGTGTCGGTGAATCTGGCACCTTAAAATCGTTATCGTTGCTGTTAGTATTATTATTGTTATATTTAAGTGATACATTGCGTTTCGATGAGATTGGTTCAGCAGCTATTGATCGCTGCGGTTTCTTTTCGGTCATCGGATGATTACTAGTATACAATGCAGTCAGCTTTGGTTTCTCGCCAATGATGGCCGGTTTTTTCATTACAAGATTATGTAATACACTTGATGATGCAATTGAGGATTTGATATGGTCGAGATTATTTTCAGTTATATTCGTTTCTACAGATGATGGTGATGAATTTTGTGGTTGTACTTTTCCATTTATTATATTAAGATTGACTGATGTCAGAGGTGGAGATGATGCACCCGTTAGAATTGGTTGTGCTTTATTTTGATATGATTGCTGTTGTGATAAAGTGGAAAAATTTTTATTCACAAGCGGTTGACTGGCTGGCGTTGCTGGACGACTATTGATGTTTTCTGCGTTCCGATTCTGTATGATTCGATGACAAGCTGTCGTAGAGGAAATAAAAAGTTCTATCTAAGTTGAATTAAGCCAAAATTTGTAACCTACCAGTTTGAAATATTTTATCTACATTTGAACCATACGTGGCACATGCTTCATAATAGACACAACGTTTCAATTCTTGGGCCAATTTTCGTGCTCTTGATTCATCGATGACTCGAGGATTTGTATCACTGATGGCATCTTGGGTACCGACCAATAGAATTGGTATATCATTATTCGATCTTAGGTGAAACATTCGTGTGTAATAATTCATTATGGATTGAAAACTAGCTTCATTTTCTAGACTAAATACGAAAATGACAGCGTCGACCCAGCAGCTAAGCTATATAAAAAATGAGAAATTAGCAACAGTTAATTCATGGCAAAAAAGTGAAATCGATTTTAAGAGACGCTTGAGTATACATAAAAAAAGGTTTTAAAAGATGAATGACATAAAATAAATTTTGAAAAAAAAGCTTGACTAACCTGCATTTCAGGTGGACCACCTTCATCTCGAATTAATAAAAGATAACTTTGACCATCAATGATAACTTCTTTTTTAAATCTTCCACCTTCGGGCGATTCATCTTGTAAATATGATCCAGTGAGATATCTATGGACTAGGGCAGATTTTCCTGAAGTATAAGTGCCAACAACACCAATTCGTAAATCTGGAACTGAACGACTTAGCGTCCATTCTTGGCTATTAACAAATGAATCTATTGATAACAAATTGAAAAATAAATAAATAAATATCAATGAGGAATAACTTAACAAAAAAAAAATTATATTTCAAAAAAAGTTTTTTTCAAAGAAAATGAATGAATACAAAGAATGCAATCAAAATTTTTTGTTGATGTCGATGTAGTTGCCGGTGAAATTAATGGCATGTTGAACATTGAACCAACGCCAATCATTCGTTTGCCTAAATTGATTAGAGATTCTTTTTTTAATTCATTTGTTGAAATATGAAACACAAATTTGTCAACATTGAAACAAAACAAAGGACCATAATTTTACAATAAAATACAACAACAAAATTCTAGAATTGATCATTTTAAAAATGATCCGATAAATACAAACCATAGTTTTGGTGTTGTTGTAGTTGAGAAAGTTTCCATTTTTTCGAACGTCGTGACAAACGAAATGATCGCCTATCGAAGGAGAAAGGCGATGAAAGTGGCATTTGAAAAAAAAACAAAATGGCAAAAGTCAAATCAAAACTGGAAACTAAATTTTTTCCCTTGTTTACCACAATTGATAATTGAAAATAATGAAATTCAAACAACAATAATCACACAAATACAAAGACATTATCATGATGATCATTGATGCAAATTGTTAGCCGGAATGCAATATAAAAATGCCATAGAATCATATAATTATTTATGGTCTTTCGATTCGAATGATACATTTAGGTTTGTTTGTTCATTTGTTAGATTTGATGCTAGAAAACGAACTGATCATATAACATAGAGTAGATAGAAGAAAATTCAAAAAACCAAGGAAAATAATTCACTCAAAACGATCGGATCTAGTTTCGAATTGAAAGATTTTCACGCTTGTTGCTTGGGTGTTCACAATATTTTATGATAAGAAGTTGAGGGAAAATTTTCTTTCTGTTTTTGTAATGTGACACCAATCAAAAAGATACATGAATCAATCAATCAAATCGGATTCCATGCTTGTTTACTGTTGTCGCGGTTCGAATGATTTATTTTATTTTGGAGTTATATTGGTGAATAAATTTTCATTTGTAATGAGAGTGACTGATATTGGATAATGATGAAGATCATCATTTCAAAAAGAGGAAAAAAAGATCGAAACATTTCATCGGGATTTCATAATTTGATGATGATGATGCATCACATACAGTTATTTACGACCAAATAACCAAATTTGAAAAGGGGAAAACCGGGACCATTCAGAAAACAGGCATGTTTGACACGTTGATTTTTTCTGTATATGTTCCAAATGAAATGCCGCTATCCATTATTTTTGACCAACAGACGACGACGAAAAAAAATAGACCCGTGGGTTTGGGACAAATGTTTTTTTTTTGATGTTTTCTATTAACTCTCAATCAGAGCGTTATTTTTTGTTCATCAAACAATCGAATCAACAGTATGCAGGAGAAAATAACAATGAAAAATGGCACGCGATAGATTCTCAAATCCTTCATTTGACATGATCATTTATTATCGAAAGAAAATTGTTTTTAAAAAAAATGAATGAATGAATGAAAGATAATAATCGATCATCAGAAATTAGTCGTTTGTTTTATTTGGATCGAATTATTAAGTTTCCTTTTTTTTTTGGATGTATGGTATTTACGCATCAATGATTTGGTTAATCACAACTTTTGGAACTGTTAGAGTTATGTTAGTGAAGTCAAATTCTTTTCTTTCTTTTTTTTTTGATTCAACTCACAAATGATAGAAAAAAAGTAAATTAACGCGTTCGCTACCAGCGACGCATATATGCGTCGTTTATTTGCTGTAGTTCTATGTGTTTTTCGAAATCTCCGGTAGCGAACGCGTTAATGACTAGCCTATTATTTTTTCGAATAATGATAAAGAATTGGAATTGAACTCAGACACACACACACACACACACACATTGGATTGATAATCATTGATATATCACTGGTATACCAGATACCAGATGTGTAATTATGATTATAAAATATTGATCCAATGAAATATAAAAATATAATGTTATCAATAGATATTCGTAGAGGTGATAAATAGATATTGAACGTGGGTGCCAAATGGACCAGAAACTTTATGTGTGATGCATAAGGATGGATAGAAAGAGAGAGAGAGAGAGAGAGAGAGAGAGAGAGGAGAAAAAGTCGTTAACGTTCCAAGTTATAACGTATACCTAGAGGTATCCTTATCATAGGATAAGCGATAGTGATGAACAAGCTTGATCATTATATAATTATCAAATAATTTGGATTCAATCTCAAAATAGTGAGTGACGATCAATTTGTTCTTTGTGAATGAATATTTTAAATTTATTTATTTTTTTTAGGCAACCTAGCGATGTCACCTGCTCATTATTGCGTGCATATCATTAAAAATTTCCTAAACGACAAACAAACAAATTGGTTTGTTAATTGTTGACAACGAACAATAATAATTTTTGAACATCTGGTAACATTCATTATCATATTTCATAATTTCATTATCAACAACAAAAAAAATGACAATTCCAAAAACTTTCGATAGTAATGAATCAGTGATTGTTTTTGTTTTTTGACCAGCAAAAAATAAAGATTTCCTTACCTTCAATACAGACAACATGATCACGAACACGTTGGGCAATAAGTTGACCATCAGCACCGCCAATCAATTCAAGAAGATCATAAATAGCATATATGGATGGATGAACACTTTCGAATCGTTGGATTTCCTGTCTAATAGCCAGGGAATTATTGTAATAACATGTTGATGATGTTAAAGATGATGGACCACAACCACCAAATGATGATGATGATACAATACTTGTACTTGATGATGGCCGTGTTTGAGACGTGGCTGGAATATTCTCATTCAATGATTCTCGACTCATCGTTTTTCGGTCGATAAATGATTCCATCGAACAAAAATGAATGGTGATGAGAACGGATCATAAAAAATGCTCAATTGATAGATAGATTTCACTTGGCTCAAGTTTTGTCTTCGTTGTTGTTGGCACACACATACATACAACAACAACACAGGTGCAGGTGTGCATCGATAACATTCATCAATTTGACAATACCTAAACACACAGCCAACACTACAATAATTTTCAAAATTGATTTCCAATGATATCGATGATTAAGATTGTAAATAGAATGAAATCATTCATATTTCGATATAATAAAATTGGTTGTCATGCTGAGAATCACTTGGTTTTTTCTAAAAAAATCGAAATTCAAACACATCGTGGATATATCCAACAAAATGTATTCTACCTTCACTGTTGTCGATAATTTAGAATTCTAGAATGTTTTATTCAATTTGTTTTGTTTTGATTTTTTTTCGTTCATTTTGATTTAAATTATTACAACAACAACAAAAACTAATCAGATGAAATCCACAGGTATTTTTTCCGGGTAATAAAAAGGTTGTAGTATTTAGTGATTGTTGGATTAATTAATTTTCTTTTTTGATTTTTAATAATTATTGTTTGTTTTGTTTTTTTTATCGTTGATATTGTTGTCGTTGTTGTTGTTGTTTGTGTGTGCTTTGGTATATAGTTTTCATTTTTGGATAGATTGGATTCAATATACTCGTCAATGTTGGGACTATGTCTCACTCTCTCTGTCTCGCTCTTAATATTGCGCTCAATTTTTTCTCAAGATTTTTGATTAGCTCATAGATGATGTAATCCATGTGTTTTTTCTGTTTGTTGTTTTTTTTTACAAATTGATTATATTGGATATTTAAATTTTATCATTTTACTCGTAAATAATCATGGCTACATCATCTAAAAAATTATCACAACAAGAATTACGACAATTGATGCGAGAAAAAGTACAAAGTAAAAAAGATATACGTATTGATTCACCATTAGCACGATATGATGATCGTGGACAACTTTGGTGTCGTATTTGTAATCAGATTATCAATACTGAATTTCTTTGGTCAACACATTTGATTGGAAAATCACATAAAAAGGTATTTGATTATTTTGTTATTATTATTTTTTGGGCTAACAAATTTTTTTAAATAGAAAATTGAAGAATTGAAGCAAAAATCTAAATCTACATCGACGAAAGAATCACCATCGTTAACGAGTGGTCCACTAAAAAGATCTCTACCTGTTGAAAATATTGATACTATTACATCGAATAAAATAAAAAAATCCTCTGACAATAAAGATGATATTGAAAATAACAAATCTGTTACAGCTTCAAACGTGATATTGGATTCATCATTACCAAAAGATTTTTTTGACAATGAAACCAAAAAAGTTGAAGCGGAAACGAATGAATCATCACAATTACCAAAAGGATTTTTCGATGATCCACAAGTTGAACAAAAAGTTCGAAAAATTCCACGTGATCAAACGCTAGAAAATCAGTTTGAATTGTTTCGAAAAGAAATAGCCGAAGAGTCAATAGTTTCACAGAATCTGATGGAAGAAGAATTCGAAGATTTAGAAAAGGAAAAAACGCTCACAGAAATTGATGAACAAATTGAAAAATGGGTCAAAGTGGATGAAATTCAGAAGAAAATCGAAAAGATTCATGAAAAACATGAAAGTTTAGAAATGAAAGATAACAGTGATAATTCTAATAATCATGACGACGATGATGATGATGATGATGATGATGATCAAATCGATTTTAATGATATAAATTTTTGGCGAAACAAAGTTGTTTTCCGTTAATAAAGTTTTTTAAATTATTTTTTTTTATACAAAAATTTCATACAATTATATAAATTGAAATTTTCAAAATTTCGAAATACAGATTTATATTAAATAAAAAGATGGCGCTGCTTTCAATTTTCCATGATAATTATCATCTGGATTGATAGCTGTTGTGAACACATGTAAAAAATTTGTCAAAATTTTGAATTAAAAGTGGATATTTGATAAAATCAAGATAATAATATTATATGGTATTTTTTTTGAACTGTAACAATGCTATTTTTTTCATTCTTCAAAACATTAGTCGGCAAAGATGTTGTCGTCGAGCTCAAAAATGATTTGGCCATTGCCGGAACGTTACATGCTGTCGATCAATATCTTAATTTCAAATTGACTGATATAACCGTTTTGGATAGTCAAAAATATCCATACATGATATCAGTGAAAAATTGTTTCATCCGTGGATCGGTCGTTCGTTATGTTCAATTACCATCCGATGATGTCGATGTAACATTGTTACAAGATGCTACCCGTAAAGAAGCTTCGGCTAAATAAATTTAAAAAAAAAACAATGGAAAATATTGGCTACTTTCTCAACTGGATTTTTTTTAATCATCATGTTAAATACATCCTCATTATTAATAAAATAAAATAAATGTTTAAAATTTTAAAATGGTAAATCAACCAATTTTAAATTGCTAGTCATTCCATTTTTGTTCCTTGTTTTTTATAATATCTTCGTCGTACATCTTTCAATGAATCAAAAGCCAACTTTGAATTGAAATTCTCTCCTAAAATGTTGGCGATGATGCAATCCTGGACGAAGCCTTGTAGTTTATGAGTCCAATAACCATAAGTACGGGATTCTATTCCAATCGTTTTCATGGCATGTTGAACGTATGTTTTTGGACTTGGTACCATCAATGATGTACGTCGAATTTTACTCATTTTGGTCGATACATAGGCTGGCAATACACTTTGAATGATGATTCCTTTGTCAGCATATTCCATTTGTAACGCACGTGATAAGAAATCGACAAAAATTTTCGATGCATTATAAATCGACAACAAAGGCATCGGATATGAAGCCGAATATGATGACAGATTGATAACCACACCACGGCCACGGCGTTCCATTTTCGGTAACACTAATTCGACCATACGCATCACAGACATTATGTTGCAATTCACAATAGAATTCATCAATTTTTTTGCTTCAGGTATTTTGGTAAAATATTCTGGATATTCATATGAAATACCCACATTGTTGACCAAGATATGAATATCATCCAATTCACCAAGTTCTTTCTCAATTTTATCATAAATATCCGTTTGAACAAAATCAACGGCAATAGTTCGAATTTCTGAACATTTGGGCGCTTCTGCTTTAATTTCATCTTTTGTACGATCTAATTTTTCTTGATTACGACTGATTAAACAGACAGAATAGCCCATACGAGCAAATTCTTTTGCATATGCCAATCCAATGCCATCAGTAGCACCAGTTACAACAGCCCATGTCGATGGTCCTGGACACCATTTAACACCAAATCCTAAGGCTGAACCAAGGCAACATGTCCAAATGCCTTTGATTATCTTGAACAATATCCATAAGATTAAGATGAGCAATGAGATTGAACCGATCATTTCGTAGAACGATGTCATGATTGATGAAATATTAATTAATTATTGATGAAAAAGGAAATTTTTTCGAATGTAACTGTTGGAAAAAGTAAACAACATCAGCTAATGATGGAATGATCGTGGTCAGTTAAAAGAAAACGATGTTGATGACGTTCATCGGCAAATTATACCATCAGACTGGTTTTTATTCATTCAATACAATAATGACCGTGTGTTTAAATACAGCATGTAACATAAGTGATCATACCATTAAAATTCATAATCAAGATAAAAGTCTTTTTTTTTCTCGCTAACAAACCATTTTGTTGGCGTCACAGATAAAATAGTAGCAAAACGAACAACGTTTGTTTTTTCTTTGTCAACAAATTAGTTATAATGATTATGCTCACACGCACATCATAATTCGAGTATACTGAATCAATAGGGAAAATTTTGAAAAGAATTATAAATCTAAAGTTTTTTCCCAATTAAATTCGCTTTAAGGAAATTAACAAAACAAAAAAAATTGATTTTTGTAACTGCTCAGTTGAACAACTGATGCTGTTTAGTTTTTCTCTTTAAAAATTTTTTGTCAAATACGAAACGTATACGTAAAAATGACCATGTTTCAATACAGCACCTAATGTACGATATACGATGATTGTTGTATCGAACAACCATAAGTACACTCATAAGTAGTCATTTTGAAAATTTTCAATGTAACAGACATTTTCATGCATAAATCAATGTCATTTCCTTTGTTTTTAGATATGTTTTACTATCAATCAACAAAATTCCAGAAATCGTCGACATAGTTAATATTAGGCGATATCCGTTTTCGATATATTATTGGTACATACGTAACCAATAATCATCAAATCAGTATAGGTTTTAAGCTGAAGTTTTCTGAACTTTAATTCATGAATATATTTGATAGTTTTTATGAGGAAAAATTTAATCCGACTGTTTGTTTTACTTCGTTAATGGTTTTTTCTGCTATTTTAATGGCATTTAAACTGCCATCTTTGAGCACCGTTTCTAGATAATCACGATTATTTCGGCAATCAATAATTCGCATTCTTATTGGCCGCAAATATTCAGCCAATCGATCACCAAGTTCAACTTTGAATTCGAATGTTGATTTGCCATCGAAATGGTGACAAACCTGTTCGATAGTCATATCACTAATCAAAGAATAAATCTGTACAAGGTTAGCAACACCAGGTCGATTTTCAGGATCATATGTTATTTCGGATTTCATATCTGTAACAGCTTTGCGTATTTTTCTAACAATTTCGTCCGAAGTATCGGTTAATTCAATGCGAGATTTATTGTCCGCCTCTGATTTGGACATTTTTTGTTCAGGCGCTCGTAAACTCTTGATTCTTCCAGCACCACTTTTTGATACAAGTTCCGTTGGAATGGGAAAAACTTTTCTTTTAAATGTATTGTTAAATTTGGCGCTTAAATGTTTTGTCAGATTGATATGGGCCAATTGATCATCACCGACTGGTATGTGTGTTCCCTTGTACAGTAGAATGTCAGCCGTTTGTAACACTGGATAAAGAAAAAGGCCTGTTGGTGGATCTTTGAAACTGGTACTTTTTTCCTAAATAAAATTTAAAGGATTATTGAATCAAAATCATGGATTTTATTCTGTGACTAACTTTGAATTGTGGAAAACGATATAGTTGAGGCAAGGTAGTCAACGTCGTAAGGATCCAACAAAGATATCCATGATAGGGAATAGAAGATTGTTTGAAAAGTAAACAACGATTAGTATCAATGCCGCATCCAATCAGTACTGCTGTAATTTCAAGTACGTTTTCACGCAATTTATCTGGATTGTTTGACGTTGTTAAAGAATGTAAATCGACAATCTGGAATATCGGTGGCAAATATTTTGGCTTATATTCGATACTATCATTATCTGTTTGTCTTTCCAGATCAATCAAAGGGGGTAATAGTTGAGGTTCTTGAAGATCGACCCATTGTTTTATGGCACCGAAATAATTGCCTAAATGAATCGAACCGGTCGGTTGAATTCCGGATAGAATCCGATGGTCATAATGTATTTGAAAAGATGAAATTTTGAATGAATTTATCACAGTTATCCATGATTTTTGACGAGATAAAAGTTTCCATACCATTTGTCTGACTAAATGAATTTTTTTTTCAAGAATTTCCAATAATATTGCTATTTATTTTCAAATAAAGATTCGAATAAAATTCTTTCATGCATGCATGTGATTCGACTTTGTTCATAAACAATGTAAACATTTGTCCTTTCCCGAACTTTACTCGGACTTTTAGAAAAAAACATCGCATATTTTTTTACGGAAGTGACTTTAATGTCAATTTTGGAAAATACAAAGTATTCGAAAATTCGGATCAAACTGGTTAGATGTTTAATTTAAAATCTTTGAAACAAAAGGGACTATAAACTTTATACTCAAGAAAAAAAATTGGTATGTGTGCAATATTTCATAATTTATTTGAATATATAAATAATGAATTTCATTCGACAAACATTTCAATCATATGTGAATCTTTTCATCTGTCATCTTGACCTTTGAAATATCAATCATTTTTATTTGTCGATGAGCAATATCTTTTCTTGTTTTTTTTTACATTGCATTCATTTAATTCGGTAGAAATGTTGTTTATTTGTGTGAATGTGAATAGAGAGAAATATGCACGCGTGCGTTAAAAATATTTTTTTAATGCATAAAAATAGTACAATCATCACATTTTATTGAGCGTTGAAAAAAAATGAAAAACAACATTTTTTCTTTTTTTCTTAATTTTTTTTCGTGATATAAAAAGATTTTTGTTCGTTTAGCCATTTCAATCACATAGCTTTTTAGTGCGAAAGTCGGCATTCTTGATCGACATCGATTTTTTCTCTTTTTTTTTGAATTAGTGAAAAAATCGTTTCGTTTGAGCATTTGTTTTCATAGGTTTTCTTAATTTTTTTTTCACGAATCAAATAGAAACCATCGAATAATAAACTCCATCCAAATGATTCTTAATCGAGCCGGCAACGTTGCTTTTCGAGCGTCGATTGCTACACAAGTAAGATAAAATAAATTGTTTCAAAAAGCTTTTATAATAAAAATTTTTCCAATTTTCCTAATAGACCAAAAAATCATCAAATCGCGTATTCATTCCATCGGCCATAATTCTGACCATCACAGGTTTTGGTGTATCATTATTTGGTCTCCATCGTCTTGATGATTCAAGAAAGCATGTTTTCTACTTAAATTCGAATAAACCATGAACGAATTATGCTATGGACACAGATTGATGGACAAAAAGAAATCATACCATAGAATTGGCCTGCAAAAACTACTATCACAACATCATGACCATCAACTGTATAAATCTAGTATTAGCTTAATTTAAGATAATTTTTTTTCGCTATTTTCAAATTGTTTTTTTGTTTTCAAATTGTGTAATGTAATAATTGATTTCAACAAAGAAAAAAAAAATATTTAATAACGACAGGCCATAACAATTGACATTAAATTTTTTGTTTCTCATTATTTCAATGAAGCATTTGAACAAATTTTTTTTTCAATTCTCAAAAAGTCTTAAATATATTTTCCATTATGTGATGAGCAGTGATTATTTTATTTATTTGTTTATGTATAGTTTTGAGCAACAACGACAACAAAAAAAAGCAAAAAGTTTTGTCTCATTCTATTCTGTTTGTAAGGTGAAAAGATTCCGGTATTGGCACTTGATTTTAATTGGCTAACCGAATTTTAGATTGTAATTTCCATTCGATTTGATTTCCTATGAATTTTTACTTGCGATGATGAAGATGGTGTCGACGATGATGTTACCAATTGTGTTGTACTATGATTTTTAAATACCAAGACCAATGTTTCCTTTCCAGTGTAGATCTGAAATTCGGGTGATATTTCTATAATAGGTCCTTTGCTTGATGTATTTTGAATAACCAAATATAGTTTGGTAATCAATTCGATTAAATGTACAGATTCTAATATCAATGCTCGAGTATTGATACCTTGTTGATCCTAATGTCGATAAAATTTTAAAAACAATGTTTTTATATTTTTTTTTTTGTCAACAAGTTAAATGTAATTCTAAAATGTGGCGCGATTTGTTTTCTTACCGTTAGGATGTGTATGACGAGTATATTATCCATATACGGACTGGTTGATATCTTGTATATCGAACTAAGTTGAACATTTTGATTGATTTGCATGGTTTTGCCATCCAATACGATAAACGATGTAGTTGTAATAACCATCACTTTATGAATGAACTGTTCCTTTGGTAATATTAAGAAAATAGTTTATTTTTCAAATATCATGAGATATTTTAAGTAGATACCTTTCCACATCGTTTAGTTATTTTGCTGACCAGATCGGCAAATACAACATATACATCTCCTAATGTTGGTAACAATCGTTTCCATTTAACATTTTGTCTTAAACGGATATAATCACCACGAAATGGATGTGCAACTGAACTCAAATATGATGCCTTTCGATTCTTAAACAACATCATAGCTGTAACTTTTTCACGCATTCTATTACGATTGTTTTGATCAAAAAAACGTCGATACCGTTGACACTGAAATGGCATTGTTCTAATGAATTAAAGTCCAAAATATCATTATTACAATCTCTTACCCTCCATTTGTGGTGCAATTTTCGAAGCATTTCAGATGTTTGTCGCATGGACCGTGGTGCAGAAGGCCATCCATGATCGATTGGTGATGGTGAAGGCAAATGTCGATAAAGCCAAAGTAGATAACGTCGACGCTAATTTAAACATAAGAATTTAATGATAATCTTTTTGATCTGTTGTACCATACCTTCCATCTTCTGAAACATCGGGATATTTTGATTTGACTAACAATCATGCGACAAAATTTTCTCATCTGTAACCATTTTCTTACGTTTTTCTGTATGATCACTGCTATTTTGTCTAGTTTGATGATACGAAGTTCTTCGAGTTCAACAAACTATTATTTGTTTTGGTTAATATTATGAATACCATATGATTTCCAATCAACAATAAAATAAAATAACTTACAGTTTTTAAATGTTTAATAAAAACTTTTGTCTTTCCAAATTTGAAATCGTTTAGGCTAGTTTTAAGGAAATTATTGTGTTGAATAAAGGTGAAAACGCCGTTGACAACGGAACCTTTCCAATAAGGCCATGTCAACCGAGAAAGAATTCGAAAACGTTTAAAGAATAGGCTATATTTTTCACAATAAACATAACCACGACGTAAAAATTCGCCATGTTCGATAATGAAATGACTTGACAATTGTTTATAAACGTATTCATCATCGAATATATTGGGCATCTTCAATCGATTTGGTTTAATGCACATTACATAATGTATCTCTTTGTTATTTAGTTTGGCAATCATTGATTCGATTGCAATGGAAAATTGATTTGCCAAAGTGATTGGCTTTCTTAGGCATTTTTTTAAAGGGTTACCTTCGGGAAATAATTTTTGCAACATTTGATGATTAGATTCGAAGAAAAATTGTGACCAATTCCTATTTAAATGTTCGGCATTTTTTTCAATGAAACCATTTATACTGTACACCGCCTGCATGGAAATATGACAAATTATTACAAGCGAACATCTAATTATCCAATACAAACATTTTCATTAAAATGACGAATGCCAAAACAAAGTTGAGGAACGGATTGAGCTGAAATGTCACCGGTAGAAACGCGACGGCGATATGGAAGACTGTGAAGGAAATATCCATTACCATCATTGTCCAAATGAACAGGATTATTGATCTGTATGTAATGCAAATCTTTACCACATTGTTCATTCAATTCTTTCATGAAAATTTCTTCACGAAAATAAATTGATTTTGATGACGCTATATTCAATATGGAGAATATTCCTGTTCGAGGCTAAAAGAATTAATTCAAAAATTAGCCAAAAAATCTATACAAACGTAATGAAAATAATTACTCGATCAATGAAATGACAGATTGGATCATTTGTTGAAAGATTCAATTCCGTCCAACCAATATCTTCGCGCAAATATTCTTCTTGCTTTTGACGAAAATTGGTGTCAATGAAAATTTGAACAATTTTTTCATCCAAATAATTGGCCAGTAGTTGTTCGAAAAAATTAATCTTTTTTGTGAAAATCATATTAGCATATGATAATTTCAAATGTTAATTGAAACTTACATAATAATTTTCAAAACCGAAAAAATCATACAGGGACAAATTATTTCGACTTAGATTCAATGATGGCTTAGTCTGTCAAAAGAAATCAAAAAAAATTGTTGTTATTTATTGTCTGTTGTGAATATCAAAATACCTTGATTGATTCATTAATTTTTTCAATGATCCACGTAAACAAACGAAAATACAGAGCTTTACACAAAGTATTTCGTATTTTGGTTGCTGAATTAGCCGATAATTCAGTGATAAACATTTCCGATTGATTTTTAACCATTTTATGAGTAAATGATTTAAGAAATATGGCCGAATCCAAATTAAACATATCACATATTTCATGAATTTCTAGAAATCAAATTTGCAATTATTATAAATTCTATTCAACTATATGAATTTTATATTTTAAAAAATACCATAATCATTAAAGATGGTACAACCTTCCGTACTATCGATATTGGCTTTTCGTAAAAATTGAACATTTCCAAGTTTCAATATGAAGGCTAATATTTGTAAAATTTCGATAATTTCGTTGGCAGTGAATCCGAGCAATTGTAATGTCGACTATTGATCAAAATAATACAATGATTTGGCTAATGTTCATTGATTCTATAACTATAACATACCTTAGTTTTTTGGAATTCATTAACATGATGTTGACCATTGTTAGCATATTGATCTGATGGTCGATCTTTAAGTAGATGATAAGTTTCAATGTTTCGTTTTAATTTAAGATATTCTTTAAATAATAATTAAAATTAATGAATTTGAATTCAATACATTAATGGAATATTTTTTTAATTACTTAATAAATTAGGTCCAGCACCTCCAATAAGCTGGTAAAATATATGAAAATTGTATCCATAGATTTCGTGTTTAGAAACACGAGTTTTTTCGATAAAATCTTTCGTTTAAAATAGAAAAATCAAAAACGGATCATAGAATATATAACAGTAATTGGCTAATAATTTATCACTTACAATCATCTATTTGTCCACCTAATGGATCGCCCAGAAAATCAAAATCAACTTCAAGAGTATAAAACTGGATATTGTCAAAAAGATAAAAATTGTATGAAATCAAATGCAAAATTTTAATCAAAACTTACTAAACGAGTCGAATTAGTATTGTTTTCGGTGTTGGCATTTCCGAATGCTAAATTTTAAAAATTCATAATTAGACAGGAAAAGTTTTATGTTATAACCATTAGATGTCGTTGATGTTATTGATACAAACCTTCAAGAACAATTGGAATCGAATTGAATCGGGTTTTGATTTGATTTAATTCACAACGTTCACTTGAACCATTGATGAAATAATTCAATGCAAACTTGAATGATTCTGTTTATATTGAACATTGAACATTGAAAGGATAAAATATATTGAATAAAAATTGAGAGAAAAGAAAACCTGAAAAACAACGAACCTGTCTTTCCAGATCCGGATACTATTGCCAACAAAAAAAAAAGTGATGATGAACAAAAAAAAACGTTATATTCAAGTAAAATAAAAGAGTAAAAAAGATGTTTATTAAATCGAATTTGAATGAATGGAATGGACATGAATGGCGATCGGTCAAACAAACAAAAAAAATAACTTACCACCTGAACAAATTATACATTGATCGGTATTACGTTCCTTGAGACAGTGTAGAACAAACTCACATAATGCATAGCTATTTAATATTTTTGTGGAAAAAAATGTGTTGTATGAATTTGGAGAGAAGAGAGAGAGAAAGAGAAAAAAACAGGTTACCTCCATCATCATAATAATTGACAAGACAAAGTATGAATGAATAAAATGCCAATAACATTAAGGGTCCTGATTGATGAATTTATATAGGGATTGTATCGATAATATTTAAAAAAATTTATCGGAACTTACATGTGTGGTGGCAGTGACAATATGTTATGATGTTCATAGGCAGCAATCACTTCGGCCGAATACAATGGCAGTGATTCGTATGGATTGATGGCTATCACAGTGGATTCAATGCATGTCTAAATGAAATACATATCAAAAAGAGATGTTATAAGTAATTCTTTTTATCAACAAAAAAAAACTTACATAGATTTTTTTATTTAAAAAACGAACTTTAAGATTCTGTAGAAAAGAATCATTGCGAAGAAAATCATCTAAACGAGTTGCATCGGGATATCCGATTTCATTACCAAACAATAAACTATTACTACTACTACAACGGCTCGATGTTCCTTGTTGTGTTGAATCTAAATTCCATTGTTGTTGTTGTTGTTGTTGATTATTCGAATGATGATAACGACCATTCGATGATGTTGTTCGTTCAGGTACGATGATTATCCTTGATGGATCTGAATATTGTTGACCAAGTTTGATCAACTTTAACGACATTTCAATCAATCAATCATTCAATGCTGATAATGATGATGATGATAATAATAAGTTAACAATTGTTCATTGTAAATATTTGATTATGGCAGATTTATGATATTTATAAATTGAAAGAAGATGATAATGCACACAAATTATTCATTTAATGTGTTTAGATTGAGCAATTAATTCATTAAGTGATATTATTAATTTTGGCGGTGATTGTGGTAATTATTATAATCTCTTTCTTTTTCCTTAGCCATCAAATTCATCTTTTCATTCTTTCTACTCCAGAAACCTTCGACACACACATACACTGATTTGTACCATAAACAAAAAAACATGCATAAAATATTGAAAGTCACTAGGAATTTTGTAAGAATAAAATGAATTCTGAATACTGAATAATTCACAAATTAAATCAATGAAAACATTTGTGTTTGTGTGTGTGTGTGTGTGTTCCGCGTATGCTTTAATTTATCAATGAAAAATCTTATATTTTGTTTATCATCATTCTAAACGTTCCAAAATAATATTTCAATCGACCGACATCGATCACACATAGAGAATATAAACTAACCAACAGGGTTAGTAGGTTACGATGTGTGCAAAATAAAAATAAAAAGAAGGAAAAATAAAAGGAAACCACTAGGCATTAGTTTTTTTTCGCTCATGTCCGCATCATCAATTGTGTATATAGAGATTCTATATTGGTATATAGTCAGATTGAGATGCTGATGAATGATGATGCTTTCACTAAAATTTTATTTCAGTAATTCATAAATATAATTCTAAAACAGTCATTCATTTGTTCATCATTTTTTCGAATCAAAAAAAAAAGAAGAAGACCAAAAAATTAAACAGTTTATCAAATTGAAGATGAGATGCGCTGGATGTTTTTGATTAATAAAAAAAAATAAGCAGCAGGTGTTTTTTTTATATATTTGATTTCCATCATTTTCATTGACCAATCCTGTCAATTTGTTGCTGTTACTTAAATTCAATTATTATTATCCATTTATTCAAAATGAATTGTTTGTTTGTTTGTATCCATGTTTATTTTCTTAATTTACATTTTGTTTTTCTGAACAACAACAACAACAACATTGTCAATTGTTTTGATAATGTTTCGTGAATGTAAATGTTGGATGCGTGTTTGTTGGTGTGTCGAATGATATTTCGTGAGTCACGTGAAGTTATTATTAAAAATAATTTTGATAATGACCAGAATTTTTCTTTGAATATTTTTTTATATTCGATTGGCGATATTTTTTTGAACAACTGACCTTGCGTTGGCGAAATGAATTTCTGTAATTTTTTTTTGTTTTTTTTCTCTCTTTTCGTTTTCATTATTACAGAATTGGCTTGATCTTGATATTGATATCATATCTTTGAAATTTGATTCATTCTCTTGATTGATTGATTGATCGAAATCCGGTTCTCAATTGCATATTCATGCAGGAATAATATATGGTTATTTTTGGATGCTGTCACTGTTGCCGAAAGCATTTTCGTTCATATATCATTGATCTTGATTTTGAAATTTTTAATTACTCTTTTGGTGTTTAATGATCATAAACATGATCAATGATTATTAAATCAATGTTAATCGATTTTACTAAAATAATCCTATACATTGATTTTCTACAGTTATTTTTTCGCTATAGTAACAGCACGAAAAAACAAAATGCGAAACAAGTTTAGCATCATATCAGGCCAACGGAAAAAAACAACAACAACTTTAAATTAATTTGACTTGATTTGAACGATTTGCAATTTGTTGTCCCTAAATGGTCTTGCCATCCATAGTATTCAATCCAGGATTGGATCTCTCTATCAACAAGGTGTGGTGATTTGTGTAAAAAATTTTGATCCTTACAAGTCAAATCCATTTTCTTTTTGGAATTTCTCATTTTTATCATAGTTTTTGTTTTCATAGAGGATTTTATCATTTGTTATTTTGTTTATTGTTTCCGTTCATTGAAGTTTGATTTGTTTTTTCGCTGTTGTTGTTGTTGTTGGAAATCTAATTCATAATTTAATAATAGCCATACATTTTGCCGCCATATCCATTATCAAAATGATGATAATAATGTGCCATCAACCAAAGATTTTTATTGAATCAAATAAAATATAAAAAAGTCATAATTTTACAATGGTGATGATGATAATACCTGTCAACCTGTAATATTCCCATTATCACACAATGATTTGGCATTCAGAATTGAATTTCATTCATCTTGATTTGTTCATAATTTTTTTTTCATTTATTTATTTATCATCATCATCATCAAAAAAAACTATAACAAAAAAAAATCTTCACACATTTTATCATGTTTAAACGGCTTGATTGAATATTTTTTTTCTGCTTCTGCTGTTGTTGTTGTTGTTGTTGGTTAGTTGGATTCACATTGAATTGCCGGTTTAATGTTTTACGAATTTTCTACATTTTTTTTCTGTTTGTTTGACGTTTTCTACCCTATAATTATTCTTTCGTTTTTAATATATCAATGACATGATAAGGTGTGTAAGATAGTGTGGTGTGTAAGATAATTCTTTCACATTTTTTTTTGTTCTGGTATATAACTAAATAACAAAGATCTGGAAAAAAGATATCCGATAGAAAATAAGGATAATCATGTACTATCGTCTATGAATGTCATCGTTTCTCTTTGAAAAGAGAGAAGCTAAAACAAACGTTTGCATGTGTTGCATTGAAAAAGCAGTTCCTTTTCGTTTTGAGTATTTTTTTTTTAGTGAATGAGTTTCCAATATTGAATCCATCATTTCTTTCTTCATACTGCTGCTGCTGCTCGTTTGTTTGTCCGTTCTTTTTCTCTTGTTCTTCGGAATGCTCCCATCATTTTCTGCGGTTCTCCACCACCACCATCATCAACAACAACAGAGTATGCTGGCTATAGAGCAGCCAAAGAAAAAGAAAAATTATTTGTTTTTTCTGACTGCATTAATTCTCAGCATTGAACAGTATTAATACATCTATGGTGTTATGCATCTGTCCATATGAATAGAATTTTATTTTATTTTCTAAAAGTATTTTTAAATAAATTCTTGATAACAATATTCCTGATGATAATAAAAATCAATGTTCAATTCAATATGTTTATTTTGTTTAAAGAATTATTGTCATTATTACATCATCATCATTAGATGATTTATTTGATCTAATTGAAGAATATCTACAAGTGCTTTAGTATTCCAAAACCAATTCTTGTCGACAATCATTTTGTTGGTGTTTTTTTGTTGTTGTTCAATATAATTTTCATTACTTTACATACAGTGATTATTGTTCATTTTGATTCGTAAAGTTTTTTTGTCATTTTGTGATACTGGTGTCTGGCATAGGTAAATAGAATCTCCGAATAGAATGCTTCGCATCTGGAATAAAAATGAGATAAAAAGCACTTGTGGATATTCAATTGTGATGATGATGATATTTCATTGATGAACAAATTGAATTCAATGTGTGTTTTTTTTATCATCAGGAATTTTTTTTTTGTCAAATATTGTTGTTTGAAAAATCTAATAAATCTTTTAATTATCAACCCAAAAATAGATTGAAAAACTTTCATGTACAATCATAATACTGTTATCCAGAAAAATATTCCACCCAAACATTCGATACAATAAACGCCGACAATCAATAAATAATGGCTTCGATGCCATCCACAACGCTCGACAATTATCTTCCATTACTTTCGAGCCAAGATACAAAGAAAAAATTACAAATCGGTACCGATCTACTCAACTATTTAACCATCGAAGAAAATTCAATAGAATGTGAACATATTGGTGCATTTATTGATTCAATAATACATTGGTTAAATAATAGTAATTTTAAGGTATGTCTTTAAAAAAAACTGAAGAAGTTATTTTTAATTAACACGACACACTCTTAATAGAATTAACCTTTTTTTTTTGTTTATTTCTGCTTGATTTGTCGCTGTTTGTCGACATTAAATATGTTTATTCAGCAATAATATAATAACTTGAAAACAAATCTTTTTTTGATTCATCATTACACACCCATTTTTCTGACATTCTCTATGTAGGAAGGGTTATTTATAAATTCTATGTTAGAATTACCCATACTTCAATCAATGCTTCATAAGCTTTATGACAATTCTTGATCTTTCATAACTGTTTTTTTTCCTTGTTCATTCATTTTAGGTTGCTCAAAATGGTTTGGAAATCTTGGCACATTTGGCCATTCGTATGAAAGAGAATTTAAAACCATATTTATCATCAAGTAAGTAATTTGATTGTATTTATGTAGATTTTTTTCTGATTTTTACTTAAATTAGTTATCGGACCGTCTATTGATCGTCTTGGCGATGCAAAAGAATGTGTACGTGAACAAGCGAAAACTTTGCTCATCAAATTGATGAGTTTTGTTTCGACACCTCAGGTATGTTGAATTTTATTGCCTTGTTTTTTTTCCAATTATGAATTTCATTTGTTTTTATAATTCATCAATAGATAATATTGGAAAAATTAATGCCAGCATTTTCACATAAAAACTACAAAGTTCGTGAAGAAATTTGTCTATTTTTTCAAGAATGTCTTTTACGTTATGGTGTATTCGGATCGACTAACGGCCAACTATATGTGTCAAAATTTATTGCACCATTAATAAATCTAATGTCGGATCCAAATTCTCAAGTACGTGATACATCGATGACAACATTGGTCTCCGTATACAAACATGTTGGCGATCGATTACGTAACGAAATAATGCGAAAATATTCGAATCAGATGCCCGCACAAAAGTATGTATTAAACCTACAAATAATGACCAAAAAAGAAAAAGCATCTTCTAGAAACATCATTTCAATTCTATCATGATAAGCTATGCATGGTTTTTAACTAATAGAATGTAATGGTCGAATGAATCGTAAACCTTCAAAGTGATTTATATGTCAGGTTGTTTTTGTTATTATGATGAGTTAGAATTGTATTTTATAAAGAATTTTCACCAAGATTCATTCAAATTCGAACAATAGTAAATTGCACACAAAATATCTATTGTTTTTTTCGAAATGATTTTTTTCCGGTTGGTTGATAATGCACGTGCAAGATGCTATTTGAAATGTCAAAAAATAACTGAATATTTATAATATTTTGCTTTTCCATTTTAGGTTACAAACATTATTGGCTAAATTTGAAGAAATTGCTAACGCAGGCGAATCTATTACATTGATCAGCAACAACAATAATTGTGGCAGCAAAGCTGCAGTAGGTATGTCTTCAAAAATTTTTTAAAATAATCTATTCATTCTAATAAATGAAATGAAATGTGTGTACATTTATTGTTTATCATAAAAAATGATGATGATAATAATAGATAACATCAATGATGGTTGTTATGAGGATTTTATTTGGTTTAACTAATTATATTTCTCAATGTATTTGATAGTATTTTGACAGCTATTTATGTCAAGAGCACCTTGTTGAATTCGATTTAAATTGCTATCACGTTGATGACATTGACTATAGTTGACATCAGTCCTATTTAATTAATTAATTAAATTTATCATCAGTTAATGTATTTCGATCTAATAATCTAGATGGCGTTTTACGCTCCATTAAACCATGATCATACAGGTGTGTGTGTGTATGTGTGTCTGTCTAATTTAAGCTTTCACTATTTGAAAATCCTGTTATTATTTTGATCGATTACCTTTAATGACTTGATCATCAATTCATAATTATTTTTAATGTTTAATCATCATCATCATCATCATTATCCTGATCAATATTGGCAAAAAAAAGAAAGATTATTTTTCATTCATTTTTTTTCGATTTAGATTTAGATTTTGTTTTTTTGGGCTTTTGATATTCGGAACTAAGTTTAAAATCACGATATTGATGAAATAATTATCCAATTAGTTGAATTTTTATATATCCGGGTGGTAATTATTATTATGACTATGATCGTAGATGCGTTGATGGAAAAAAAAACATCGATTCATAACCGAACATGATACACCTGATCATTTTTGAAAAAGAATAAAAAAAAAATACTGGTTGTTTTTTTTCTGGCCAAATAATTGTTTCATATTTGATAATAATCTCAAAGGTGTTGGCTGTTTGGAGAAGAAAAAAGACACGCGTTTATCTTTTTCGTATTTTTTTTCTTTGTTGGTTATAGATAATGATGATGTTATTCAAATTATTTTTTTTGGGTTCGTTCATTCATTTATCTCTATGTGTGTGTGTGATGTTTATAGAAATTGCCATTTTTTCTTCGCAAAACAATCATTTATTTGAAGCCGTTATTATTCTTAGTTGTTGTTTTTTTTCTAATTTGTCGACAACCATTCATTCATTTGTTCGTTGGTTGATTGAGTTTATTCGAATGAAAAGATTTTTTTTTTGTCCATTTTCATTCTGTTGATGTTTTGTTTAGTTTTTATTTTTTGTTTTCATTGGTTGAACAATAAAAAAGAATGATTAACCAGGCAATATTCAACAGGTGATGATTTACTTTTACCTTTCAAATGATTTTATATTTATTTGATATTTTGACCTGTTGTCGGTTTTTTGTTCTTGTTTTTGTTTTGTTTTGTGGCCATTATTGTTTTTTATTATTATATTGCCATCGCCTTTTTATTGATTTTCGATTTTTTTCTTCTCTTTTTGTTTTCCAAAAAAAGATTTTTAATAACAATTACAACCTGTTCGAATGTGCTGTTTAAATTATTGCTTGTTTTTTTATCGATCATTATTATTATTGTTTGTGAATGGTAATTTTGCTTCATAAATCTAACTATTATGTTATCAATCAGATAATTGAGGTATACAATTGATTTGAATTGAATTGTCCTTGGATTTTATTCTTTATTATTATTGATCCAATCAATCAATATTTAATTTATATTGTGTTCAATCAATTTAATAGATATTTAGGTGATTTACTTGAATAATTTAGCAAAGTCTTTTTTTTCGAATAAAATCAATCAATTGATTGATTGATCGATCGATTGATATTCGCTATTGATAGAATATATCAACAAAAATCTTAACTGTAAATATTGTTTTTCAATCTGAATCCAGAAAAAAAATTTTATCAATCACATATGAAATTGAAATCCAGGTTTTTATTTTGATTCATTCAAAATTTGATATTGAATCCTTTTTTATAATTGTATAATCGTGTATTGAAAAAAAAGAAAGAGATGCACACATATGTTGATTCTTGATCGAATACAGGATCCTCTGGTTTTTTGTTTCTTGGTTATTATTGAACCAATTATTGCTCCTGTTCGAAGAAAAATAAATTATTGTTTAATCGTGCCGAAGAGGACGAATTCAACATTTGTTTTTTTTCTTTTTAGATAATTGCAATTTTTTTTATTTGACTCTCTTTACGATGATTGTAATTTCTTCGTTGATTAATAATGATCAATGTCTTTTTTAAATTGGAAAATGGGGAAAATAAAAAAAAATTTCAATTTGACCGAACGATGTTTTATGTTTGTTTGATTCATTATTGAACAATTTTTTCAGCAAGCAAATCGAATCTCTTTTTGCTACCATCATCATTATTTCAAATGTTTATTTATTATATTCGTGTCATATAATGAAAAAGTTGAATTTTTTCATGAGGGTGTATAATTTTCTACCCAAACGATCAATAAAAAACTTGCGTGCCATACACACACACACACACAATTCAATGAAATGATATTTTTATTAATATGAATAACCTTAATTATCCATTTGATGATGACACTTATTTATAAAATGAACAATCATACATTCAATTGTTGTTGATGATAATACTTGTACACACAAACACACACACATGCATAAATTACCTGCTGATGTGATAAGACTTGATTTTTTCACATCGTCATATCTGTATACACTACCAACATTATCTATTTAATTTCGATCCGACTTTGTTGTTGGTGTTTCATTAGAATAATTTCTTCTATTGACCGGGGTCCTTTATTTACAAATATGAAATTGTTTCAAATGTGTAAATAGTTAAGATTTTGTTGTTGTCTGAAAAATCTTGGATATGGTCACGCAAAGAATCAGGATATGTTTGTATCATAATTTTTTTTTTTGGAATATTATTCGAGACACTCGTATAATACTCATTGTGTATGTGTGTGTGTCAAAAATTTTCCGAATTTTTTATCGTTTCATCTTTTTTTTTCTCATGCAAACAAATATGTTTGAATGTCAAGTATCGTTGTCGTCGTCATCATCATCATAATAATAATGATAATGATAATAATGATGATTGCTATAAACGTTTTTTTTAATAAAAATCCTTGGCATATTCTTGTTATGTAGCATGTATAATATTATGCATTTAATGATGAAATTTTTAATTTATAACACTGGCGCCAAAGTGCCCATTTTTGTTTCTCTTTCAAAAAAAAATTCTTATTTATTATTTAGTTGTGTACGCATATATTATCCATATGCCGTTAGCTTTTTTTCCAAATAGTCTGCACTCTTTCAACATTATCTCATCAGCTGATACACGGTAACGGTTCAGTATCCTTCATTCATATATATACAGATAATGATAGTGTATCCAATGTATGTTGTTGTCAGTATCAGTATCTACTACTGCCATATTATGCGGCAGCTTTTTTACGTTTTTTTTGCCCATATGCAGCCGATTTGGCAAATTTAATTCAGTCTTTCAATAGTGTTTGTTTGTGTTGCTGTTGTGCAATTGTGTGTGTCTGTCTTTGATTCAACAAACAAAATACATAGAAAATATTTATTTATTTTTTTGCGGCTTCATGATATAATTTGATTTTAATAATAATCATGATAGAAAAATGATTGTCGATATGAATAACGATTCTATTGCTTGCATTTATAATGGTGGTGATGATTCTTTATGTGATTCATTCGTCATAATCAATAATAATGATGATGATGATGACGGTAGTTCAAACACAACTAATAATAATGAAAATACAAATCTTGATTCGGCATTATTCGATACCTCTGATTGCAGTTTTGATGATGAAATGGTAAAAAATCGAGCTGCCAGTTTTACAACTAATGGTGATGATTCTTTATGTAGTTCAAATAATGATAATGATAAATCAAATTCACCAATTTGGTCAGCTACATCTTCTGATTCGATGTTATCGACTAATAATGAATCGATACATACGGCAATTCTGCCCGAATCATCATCATCATCGTTAAATTCCAATTCAACATCAACATTAACTAAACGTAAATATTATAGCCATTCTGCAACCAATAGTCCATATATGAATCGTAAGAATCTAGTCTCAGAAAATGGTTCAATTATTTGGGATTCTGATTGGGATTGGATACAGATGTATGATAAAATGTTACGCATGACGTCCAATCAACGTCGAAAAATTGAACGTCAATGTAGTTGTGCATTAAGAAGAAATAACAATAATAATACTAATAACAATTATTACAACTATAATTCTTCTGATCATCTCTGGACAACATCTACTCTGTCAAGTCCTAGTCAACATTCTGCAAATCATCGTACAAATTTTTTAGGTATTGTTTATTATTTTGTCATATGATTTCTGGATCATCTCCAAGTTTTTTTCTTATTTTAAAATCATGTGATTGTGACATTGATTGAAAACTAATCCGACTGTTTTTTTTTTGTTGAAATATTTTCTAACTAAATTATTTGATTTGAATTTTTCAATTCTTCCAATGTCATTTTGTTTCGTGATATTCAGATTGTTTTGATAATTTTCCCATTGCAGCATATCTTTTTTTCGTTCATTTTGATCGATGCCAAACTCAAGTTCATTGCTCAAACTCATTTGGACTAGGCTATTTCATTTATTTCTATTCTGTTTGAGCCAAAAAAATGGGCTGTTCCAAAAGTTGAATATAATAATAATAATAATAATAATCGACCGGCCGGTTCCATTACTCTATTGAAATTTCCTGTTTCAGACTTGAAATATCATTTCTATATCAAATTCATGGAATAATATTCCAATTCTTCACTATATTTTCAAATTCATATTTATTGTATTGCAATAATTTTATACGAAGATCTAGTTTTGAATAAATAACTAAAACTATGCCATTGTGAATTTCTTCTACCTTTCCTTTTTTAATCTTTCATTTGTTTGTCTTTTTTTTACCTTGATGATTCGTAATGTTGTTGATTGTAATAATTTATTATTAGTATTATGATGATAATCATTGGCCAAATACTTGCAGCAATTTTATAATCATTCGTGATGATGATGATGATGATAATGATGATCATTATGCCCGTTGATACCGTTATAGTTGATGATGATGATGATGATAAAAAAAGAATTATACGATTAATGTGTTGATAAAGACATTAACATAGATTTGACTTGATGATATTCATCATTATCATCATCTTTATAGATTGAAATCTTTATGCAAATCAACATTATCATTGTTTATTGTCACGTCAAGTTTTTTTTGTTTGTTTTTTTGTTATTGACTTGGTGTGTTCTCAGGTGTAAGGTTAAACTTTTTTGGTTGAAGCAAAAAAAATTGAATAAAATAAGAATAAATAGTTTGTTCATGCACACAAGAAAGAAACACATTGAAGATGTTTGAATGTAAAGAATACATCATTCTATTTTTTCTCAGGTTTATATCTTAGAAATATTTCGAAGGAAAAAAACCGACAACGATGACATCAACCAATATGAAATCATTCAAGAAACCCAAGGTTTCGATGATCATCATAATACATTTGGTTGACATTGTCATTTATTTCCCCTTTCTCTTTGTGTTTTTTTCTTCTCTCCCTTTTTTTCATTTCATTTCATAAAATAATATTATCGCCTATTCAAGTAGTGGATTTTTTTCCTCATTCTATTGTTTTTTACTTCTATTTACCTGTATAATATACATACATTTCTTCATAATTTGTGTGTTTTTTTTCCATTTTTCTCCATTGTTTTTGTCATTGCAAAAATTATTGTTGTTTTTGTTTAATACCGAAAAAGATAGTTATGATGATGATAATTTTTTTCCTATATGAGCAAATAAATTGAATTTTGGAAAACATTGTTGTTGTTGTGTCCTAATGGCACTATCTCATTTCGATTTGGAAACCTTGACGCTGGTGACGTTGCGATTTTTTTTTTCTCTTAAACACTGGCTACTTGTAGTTATTGTTGCGCCATATTAATTTTCTTTCTTTTTTCTCACACATAATTTATCATTTACAATTATCATTAGCATCTTATTGATTATACGTAAATTTTTATCTTGCCGTATAATTTTTTGGAAAATTTTTACTTTGCACTTTTTTTATTTAATAAATAATATTTAGTCAGGTTAATTTCACTTTAACAGGTTGTTGTTGTTGTCATTATTGGGTGAATTTATTTAATCCCAATTGTAATAGATCCACTTGTATTAGATTGATAGATTGCTTGTGACATATCCACCAGAAAAAAAGTAGTAGATTTTGATCGGTGCCGACCGAAAAACATACACAAACACATAATACATATTATCGACATGGATAATGATTGCGATGATTTATCGGTTTCTCCCTTTCGATTGATTTTCTCTTTTTTTTCCCCGACAAAAGAAACAAAAAAAAATTGGTTTTCCTGTTTTCATCCAATTTTTTATTTATTTATTTATTTTCATTTGTTTATTCGCCATATCGAATCAATTTGAATATGCTCTAGATAATTTTTCATTATAATGGGTTTTCTTTTTTTGAAAGATGAAAAATTTTTTTTTCTGGAAAACTTTAAAATTTTATTTTTCTTTTCATCATCTTAATCATCTCATATTGATATGTTCTTGGGATGGACCTGGTGAAAGTTTAGTTTTTTTCGAAGAAAAATAAAACATTACATTGTATGGTGTATGTGTGTGTGTGTTATTATCATTGAAATAATTTGATATATTGACATCATTTTCTTTTGTTCCGTTTGTTATTTTTCTTCTTTCTATCTTTTATTGCCTTCGGCTTCTCAATCACATAGTTGTTTTTGTTGTTGTTGTTAACGTTTGCATATGTTTTTTCAATATAATTTCACCTGTTATTTTGTCATCGTAATTTTGTTGATTTTTTTTACGAGCACAGAAAAAAACGACAACAAAATTTGCATTTTTTAACAAAAAAAAAAAATGCTGCAGCAATAAGAATGTTTTGTTTTGTTTGTCGCTGTGTGTTGTCCATTTATGGGATACGAATGTCAATATTACATCCATAATATGATTTATTAAATCAAATGAATTGAATGTTTAGAAGAAAAAAAATGCCGAAATAAAATGAATGATGATAAAGTTACCATTGACGAGTTCAATGATTTCTAGTCATTTTTTTTGAATTCAATGTTTAACTGTTCACAATGACATACTCTGATTTTTTTTCTTTTTAAAATATGGAACCCACACACACATGCTTGTCAATCGCGATTGTAAAACAAATGTGTTAAACGATTTTTTTAGTTATGAAATAATAGTTTTTTTTCTCGCCCGGAACATTATACGCAATGAGGAAAAATTTGTCATTGAAAGAATTTTTTTTTAGCAAAAAGATGAATAATTTTTGAATTTTCAATGCAAGGACATTCGTATATTGAATTAGTCATCGAATTATTGTTGTTTAATATGATGAGCAATTTTTTGTTTCTCAAAATTTAGACATTTTTGGTTCAAATTTTTTATCCTGGCTATATATAAAGTTGACTAAATATTTAATTGATACTTTTAGTGGATAATATGTTTTTCGTTCTGTTTGATGTTATGGTAATGTCAGTTAACTGAATACTAAACAAATTAGTCAATAGAGAGGATCATATTGACTAGAATGACAATTTTTAGATTTTTATGCAGAAAGCGAAAGAGGTATATTTAATTTTTTTTTGAATCTATTATCGATTATTGGGAATGAAGCAAAAGGATTTGATGAGATCAATCAACTTTTTTTTCTATTCGAAACGTTGACTGGCATTTTTCAATTTCGAAAAAATTTCTTTTCCTTTAAAAAAATTCCATTTCACTTTTTTTCCATATAATTTATGGTTTTGATTATCAATCAATGGTATGATCATTTTGAATTCAATCAATTTCATCAATGGATCGATCGAATGAACAACATTTTATTTCGACTACAAGTTTTGTCAATTTGGGTGCTTCACTTGGGGTTTTGTGTGACACTAAAGCATTTGACTATGATGATGATGATGATGATAATAATAAGCACCTTCTGAAGCATTCACATGTGAAACAATTTGGGAGTTGTTTATTCACCATTGTTGACTGGTTCCGAAATTATCATCGTCTTGAGAGTAGAGGATCTCCATTTGATTCTCAGTTGATGATGATGACGGTTATTTATTACATTTTGTTGTTGAATGATTTATTTTTTATTTTTTTTTTGTTGTTCATTTTTATCCCGCATGATTTTTTTTGTCTTGTATGAAAAAAAATAACTTTTCATGTTATTTAGTACCCGAGTTGAAAAATCAACCATGTGCACCTAACTATCCAATATTGGTGGTGGTGGTGGTAGTGTTGATATATCCTATGAGTATCATTATATATTTTATATAGTGGAAAGAAATATTTGGTGTCAAACGATTATAACTATAGGATAGAATAGCTGTAACGAAATACCTGGTTGAAAACAGAACAAAAAAACAAACATGGTTTTTAATGATGATTGTCATTGTAATTATTATACATAAATTTCTAATAGCTGTCGGAAACAAATTATTTGATTCGTTAAATCGATTATGATGAATCTATGGTAATAATGACAGATTGTTGCTTGTTTCCTTGTCTGGCATAGATTTTGTTTCATTGATTTTGTTTTCTTTTTTTTACATACAAAACTAGAACTTTTTTGCTATATGTGTGCATATGAATTATTATTAAATGCTCTATATTACATTTCTTTCCTTTTATTTTATTACCTTTTATAGTATCAAAAAATCGTTCAAATTTAACATCTTCACCAAATTCGACAATTACTAATACAAATAATAATAATATTAATGATTCAGCCAACAATGATGAAGTCGATTTCAAGGTATGTTTTCGAAATATATTCATTTAAATATGGCTATCGATATTGATGGAATTTTTTTTTCGCTCGAAACAGAAAGTCAATTCATTCAAAAGGGCAACGTCGGCACCGCCGGTCAAAAGAAATGCTATCCTCAATAAATTACCACCAAGCAATTCAAGTATGTATTAATTTTTATAATGAAAATGATTGAATAAATCATTTTATCAATTTATTTCGTTTAGAATCATCGGGTGCTGCTGATGAAGAAATGTTTATGAATGCATTCGAAGATGTTTCTAGAATACAGATATTTTCTGTCAAAGATTTGGAACAAGAATTGAATCGAATACGTGATACATGTTCGAATCCAAATACGGAATGGGAGAAACGTATCGAATGTTTAAGAAAATTTCGCTCACTATTAATTGCTGGCGCAGCCGATTATGAAGAATTTTATCAGTATCTTAAACCTCTCGAAGTGCCATTTCAAACATCAGTCAAGGATCTAAGATCGCAGGTCGTTCGAGAGGCTTGTATATCAATCGCCTATTTGTCTCAGCGCATCGGAAACAAGTTAGTTACACTGAACAACAAAAATTTTAATTGATCGATTTATCATTTGCGCTTTTCATTTATAGATGTGATAGATTTGCCGAAGCACTGCTTCCATCTTTGATCGATTCGATACAAAACAGTGCCAAAATTATGTCAAGCTCAGCAGTGGTTGCTATCCGCTTTGTCATTCAGCATACCCATACAAGTCGATTAGTTCCAATAATTACTTACAATGTATCTTCGAAATCAAAAGAAATCCGCAAAGCATGCTGCGAGTTTCTTGATCAACTATTACATACATGGCCACCTAATTGTCTAGAGAGACATGTTGGAACTCTCAGTGAAGCAATCAAAAAAGGAATGAGCGATGCTGATCCAGAAGCACGAGCATTGGCGAGAAAAGCATTCTGGGGATTTGCCGATAAATTCAAGGCCGAATCTGATTATTTGCTTAGTTCATTAGATTCTAGTAAACAAAGAATGTTACAAGGTGAACAAATGTCCAATTGGAGTTCGACAAATTCTCTCAATAAAGCTACAACTTATTCACGACCATTGACTAATCGAACTAATTCAGTTTCGACAAATGGATCAATTGAAAGCATCAATCGTCATTTTAGTAATAATTTGATTGCAAAACGTTCCGCAATTCCTGTTCATTCATCTTCACCACGTAACAATTTATCACGTAAATATTGTCTTATCTTATTTTTTAAAATGAAAATTATGCTTAATTTAAAACCTAACTGTCAAGCATTTACATGTTTGATCACAAAAAAGCGATATAGATGTTGATAATCTATTCAGATTAACACATACTGGTTGATGCTTTTATATTTTATTTTATTTTTGTTTTAATTTATTTTCATTTCTAATCAAAATTATTAATTTATAGCTTTAAATCGAACACCCGTAAAAGCAACTAGTGCTATAGATATTGATGCACAACGGCGAGCTAGAGCTAAAGCTAATGTTTATACCAATCATCATCTTCATCATAATAATAATAATAATCAACAACATCAACCCATAACAACAAAAACATTGCTTAATTCAGTCTATAGTTTACGTATGTAGTTGTTTGGTTTTGTTTCTTTTTGTTTCGTTTTATTCTTTTCATTCTCTTTCAATCTCATACCATTAAATAAAATGTTTTTTACTTTGAAAAATAATTTCAAACTATCTCTATTTCTATTGATGCTATTCAATCTACATTGGTTATTGTTCTCAATTTGTTTTATCAAAATTCACCGTTTTTTATTTGTTTTTCTTGTTAGACCATAATACTAAAAAGAATGATAATGTTACTGATGGCTGCAGTATTAACACAGCAGGTTCAGCCATGCGAACACCGGCCCGACGAAATCGTCAGGTATCAAAATCACAGCCAGGAAGTCGTTCAGCATCGCCATCATCACGTCTAAATGCATTCTGTAGTAACTCTGGCACCGGTAGCAGCATTCCTCATTCTCGTTACCAAACACCATCGTCGACGAGAACAAAAAGAACTAGTATCACTAGTCGTGATCAAAGTCCAGCCAGCCGTACTAATAATAGTAGTCATTCACAACGATTCGAAAGAAAGTTGAGCTCCAGCTCGACAGCTAGTCGAACGAAAAGTCATCTTACCAGTTCCGATCTGGATCTAGCTCATAACAATAGGATATTACGGCCAAACGAACATGAACAAATGATCGAAAATGCTTTCCTAATGCATGCGACGCATAGGAAAAAATTCTTTGATGAACAATCGGATGAAAGTGATGCTTCCAGGTATGTTTGACCGATTCATTTTCTTATAATATACTATTTTCGTAATCCATGAAAATAGCATCTGTTCTGATACATCGTTTGCAAATTATGGAGTTCGTAAAGCCGAAGACATTGGTAAGATATTGGAAAATCTTTCCAGTACCCATTGGTCCGATAGAAAAGATGGTCTACTTGGTCTGAACAATTTTCTCCGATATACAGATGAAAGATTAAATTCTTTTCAATTGAAACGAATTACAGACATTTTTACAAGAATGTTGGTCGATCCTCATACTAAAGTAAGTAATTTGTAAGCGTTGAATTTTAGGTGTTAAATTTTAACATGTTATTTACTTTTTAAGGCATTTTCATTATTTCTTAATACACTGAACGAATTGATTCACATATACAAGAATGACCTGAATTCCTGGCTTTACATTCTGATGACAAGATTGTTCCTAAAAGCTGGTAGTGATACTTTGGGTTCCATACAGACGCGTATCCTTAAGACATTTGAATTGATACGTGAATCGTTCCCTATTGACCATCAATTCAATGTGATCATGCGATTGTTGAGTGATCAAACACAAACTTTAAATACTAAAGTCAAGATTGCCGTTTTACAATATCTTTCCAAGCTTATTTTCCTGATGGATTCTTCAGATTTCACTTATGATCGTCCCAACAATCACGACATTCAAACGGCATTGGTCAAAATTGTTTCATGGACAGCCGATATAAAAAGTTCTGATTTAAGAAAAATTTCTCAGGATACTATCGTCGATTTGTACAATCTAAATTCGAACGAAATGACACTATATCTAAATCAACTTCGTAAAACGTAAGTTATAAACAAGCATATGTTATCTATTTGCGAAATTTCATTGTTTGATTTCAGTTATCAAGATGCAGCCTTGCAGATCATTCAACATAAACATAAAACCCGTCTCAGTCAATCACCAGCATCGAATGTGATGCAAACCCCTTATATTATCAAGAATGTTGCGTCTGGTGTTCATTCTCACAACATTAGTGGTGATAGAATTTACTTTGATTCGAATGATCACCTCAATCCAGCAGATATTTATGATTCGCTGAAAAAAACTTCGGATGAAATTCAAAAATATAGCTTCAGCTTGGATGCTGACCAAATGACATCATCTACGAGTTCATCACCGTTCGTCAATAACGGACCTGCTAATAGCAATCATAATGGCAACAATAGTGAAAACCATCGACGTGTCGATGCTATATCGAATGTATCGCTTGATTCAGGAATAAGTCCCAATTCGACTTTGAAACATGATTCGACATTAGCATTCAGGTCTTTCAAATTGTTGGATAATAGCTTCAATTCTAGTATGGTCAATTCATCTAATAATACGGCCAATGGGTTTTCCGATTCACCACATTCAGTCACCAATGGTCATCAACACTTTGATAGTTTTGTTGCCGATTTCAATGTTTCTTCATCCGATGATGAAAATTATCAACAAAACCTTGCATTAATGACTCAATTTGTAAAAGATTCATCACCCGAAGAAGTTGCAACAAAATGTAAAGATATTTACCAATCGTTACTAACACGACTGCATAACGAAAAGAATTCCCGAACTAAAACATTGATTATTATATGCATGGGACAAATTTTGTTCAAAACAGCTAAATCATCATTTGATGATTTGGTCGAATCAACGTTACAAACATTGATGGAAATCATTTGCAAAGATGAAGATAAAGAAGTTGTGAAAAATGCTGAAGCAACGGCCAATTACGCCATTTATAACTTTGATCCGAGAACAAGTTTTAAAATTTTACAATCATATATCAATCACGAAGAAAGTGCATTGAGTATCATTGCTATTAAATTGTTGACTAAGGTACGTTATTGCCACATCATAATTTAATTGCAATTAACATTCGAATGATTTTTTTCCGTTCTTATAGTTGGTTGAGCTAAACGACAAAGAAATCGTCTTAGAATTATTGCCAGAATTAATGCCACCATTGCTTCAGGTAAGCTTTGCACAATCCAGATCAATATTTGATTTTGATTTTATTTTCTCTGAAAACATCCACATAGGCTTATGATAACAAAGAAAGTGCCGTAAGAAAAACAGCAGTATTCTGTATGGTGGCGATCTATGGTTCGGTTGGTGAACAGATGCAATCATATTTGACCAGTTTAAGCCGTAGCAAAATGAAGTTGTTAAAACTTTATATCGATCGCTCATTTCAGACATCATCCGGAAATAATCTTTGATGGTCAAAAATTTAAACGTGATTTTCCATGATTATGTATCTATAAACCCTCGCTTTTCATTTTTATTTATTTTTGAGAACGATGATTTATGTGCCATCACAAACATACACAGACTTGAAATTAAAAGAATTTTTATGAAAAATGTTTAACCAATTGATTTTGTAATACCATTCATTCAATTCGGTGGTTTATTGGGCTTGCAAAACTATGCACACAATCAGACAAATACAAGTTGATGATTGCTTTGTAAAAAAAATTATTTTTTTCCATTTTTCTTCATTCATTTATTCGATGATTATAATTATTGAAAAGCCTTATCATTTTTTTTTTGTTGAATAAAAAATTCTTTTAACTTATGTCTGTTTGAAATTAATTTCTACATCTGCGACAAATAGCTATGAACTATGCAAAAAAAAATGCACACCATTCTTTGTGTTTGCTGATCACATATAATGTGTATGTTGGTTGTTTATGCACCATATCTTTTTAAAAAAATACATTTAAAAGGTGTTTACATCTTTGAAAAAGTGGTGTGCACACTTCTTTTCTCTTGGCGGCTTTTTAAAATTGATATGATTTTTGGAGGGAAAATGACAATGCTTGTTTTATTCCAAATTTATTGCTGAATGATTATTAAATTTGAATTCTGGATTAAACTTTGTTTTAAATCTCTTTTTCTCTCAATGAAAGATGCCTCAATCAATCGATGAAAAATATAGGAAAATTGAAAAAATCGGCGAAGGATCATACGGCATTGTGTACAAGGCAATCGATAAAAATAATGATAGCCTTGTTGCGTTGAAAAAAATTCGGCTGAATTCGTGAGTAATTTATTTATTTATTCATTTCTTTATTCATAATGATCGTTTATTATTAATGGCCAGTGATTCTGAAGGTGTTCCATCGACTACCATCCGAGAAATATCGTTGCTGAAATCGCTCAAACATAAAAATGTTGTTAGGTATGTTCATATTCATTGATTGATTAGCAATTTTGATTAGAATTTTTTATCATTTTATAGTCTCATCGACGTTATCCAATGTGATAATAGTTTATATCTGGTTTTTGAGTACCTAAATCAAGATCTTAAAAAATTACTTGACAATACAACCACAAATGGTCTTCCACCTAAATTGATCAAGAGTTATGTTTGGCAATTGTTACAAGGAATTTACTATTGTCATGCAAATGAAGTTATTCATCGAGATATGAAACCACAGAATCTTCTGGTGGACATCAATGGTTATATCAAAATTGGTGATTTTGGTCTAGGACGATCGATTATGATACCTATGCGAATATATACGCATGAAGTTGTCACATTGTGGTATCGATCACCAGAAATTCTTCTTGGTACAAATTACTATGGTTTTTCTGTCGATATATGGAGCATTGGCTGTATATTTGCTGAAATGTCCAACAAAAAGGCTCTTTTTCCTGGCGACAGTGAAATTGATCAATTATATAGGATATTTCGAACCTTAGGTACACCAGATGAAAAGACGTGGCCCGATGTTGTCAAGTTATGCGATTACAAACCGAATTTTCCCAAATGGAAACGTCAGAATTTCAAAGAATTGTTACCATATCTTGATGATAATGCTATCGATTTGTTAGATCGTTTGTTAACATATGATCCAAATTTACGCATACCTGCATTGAAAGCATTAAATCATAAATATTTTCACGATGTATCTGATTGTTTGCCAAAAGATTATGTAAATTTAGAAAGTCATTAATTTTATTGAATTTTTTTTAAAAACAAATGCATCAAATCGAATTTTATATGGATGATGATGAATGCTTTGGTTAAAGTAAAGAATGAGTATATGAATATGTTCAAAGCTATTGAATATTGTTTATGAATGATTATTTTTTTTCAAATATTAAATAAAATATGGATGATAGCCTTTGTACTTATAATGAATGGCTATTGTTTAGATATTAAAATTTAAAGTTCAGTTTTTCCTGGACTGGTTGACGAATGGAACATTCGGGTGAAACCAGTTGCATAACCAAGTGTGAGAAAGAATGCCAATGTTGTGATGCCATGCGACAACAAGAAACCAAATGTGCGATATTTCGGATGGATAGTGTAACCAATAAGAAACAGGATTCGACCAGCAACGAAACAAAAGACAATATAGGGAATGAAATACATGTATTCCGAATGGATATAAACTGCCAATGACAGTTGACAAATGACATTCATAAATGTCTGTTCGAATGTATTGGTCAATATTCGAACCGATTTTTCTATATAACCATCATGACCACTCAATGGATTGATGGCACCAGTTTGAATTCGGTTCATGATAACATTCAGTACGCATAAATACATTGGAATCATGGTGAATGGTTGCATTTGTAACGTATACACCAGACGATCTAATTTAAAATATTAGATTAGACAGATATTCTAGGATTCATTTTAAAGCCTGTACTCACCGGTTATTGAGATCATTCTTGGCGGATGGACAATCGATTTGTGAAATTTGAGAAATGTAAATGTCATGACCACAAAAATCAACAAGCTGACAGCAACATTAATCATAGCAAATTTCATCGGTATCTCATCCGATTGTGACCGATTACTGGCCATTTTTCGGCCTTGCATTCGAGTCATTGGTGCTTTGGCTGATGACATTTTCTTAAGAATTTGATATAAATTATTGGTGATAATTTTAATTTGAATAAATTCAGGATTTAAAAATAGAGTCGATAAACCGAGAGCTGCACTTGGAAACAAAGCCAGTCCAATTTCAAAATGATTGAATAAAAATGTCGGGTAGCACCGTACTCAAACACAATCTCCCCTCTGTAAAATAATATATGCGCATCACACTGGGTCTATCTGCTTTATAGCCGAAATCCGAACCAACAAAGATGCACCTCCCTCCTTTTTGCATTTTTCCAACGGTCGAATTTTATTTCGCATCAATGCCACTTGATGGCACAATTGTCATCTTATTCCATTTTTTTGGAAATTCTTACAAATTGGATGATAGAATAAATGAAAAAAATATTTAAAAACTAAAACATTATTAGTTTTTGTAAAATTAATTATCAAGAGAATTTCCTAATTTGACAAAATACAAAAGAATGATTCGAATTGATTTTGTTAATCTAGTCATTTAAACCCTTTCTAAATTAACAGCTTTTTTCGATTTGATGGAGATTGAACAAAAACGAAACAATGATAATTTTTTTTTGCAATTCACACGATCATATGTTCACCTGTTTATGGCTCTTCAAAATGATACATCTCTTTGAACAAAGAGAGAATTCATTTCAAGATAGCCTTTACTAATCGTAACCATTGTATAACATATAATTTGTCGAAATTCCTACTGTATTGCCATTTTTTAAACTAAACTTTTTTAATCAAACAAAAAAAATTTTCTGATCAAAGTTGAAAAAAAATCTGTTCCATTCAATATGATCATCGTATCGGTTACCGCAAATTACAGTGATCATTCATTTTTGATATTCCCTCATTTTATTTGTCAAAAAGGCAAACAATAAACTTTTGCGAGATTGATTGTCATATATGAAACAAATGGTCGAACCCGCGTCAAAACCAATAGCGTACAGAATCAAACAAACAAAAAAAAAATTCTTGCGCCATTCAAGAATCAATTGTACGGTTTAATAAGCTGTTCAATGTCATTATTGAAGTCATTTGTAATGGGATTAAATTGTCCACACACTCCAAATAAGCGATCCGTCTTCTTCCGATCACTATTTTAACCGAATTGAATATTTGATCACACAAACTCACATAGTAAACGATCTTGGGTAAATAATAATACGGTCCTGTGATTACACGTTTAAACAGTTTTTGAATTTAGTTTTTGGATTTTTTTTTGTTACCCGAAAAATTTTCAACAACATCTGATATAGAGAAAATACACTTTCGATGTCTCAATAGTGTATTTTTTATCCAAATACGAATAAAGTTAACATGCAAATTTATACTAATCTGCATTTTGATTTGGCATCTCATACCAAAAAAAAAATTCTTATGATTAGGAGGATGAAATCGTTTTTTTCCTGTTTTTCCTGTTTCTGTTCATTCAAATTATGTCATTAATTAAAGGTTATGACAAGTATAAAGTAAGTGAAATAGAAAAAAAAATCTGAATAATCGTTTCAATGATCACCGCCTTTCCATTGTCAACATCTATCAACGTTTTTTTTTTTGGATGAATCATGAATCAAGTTCAACGAAGAAACTAGAAAGACTTGCATAAAATGATCACATTGAGTTATTCAAAAATTGATAGTCTCAATCTGTCATAACTATCTATCAATTTGCAATTGGATTTCCATTTTTCAATTTTTATTATAAAAAATTGGAAAAAATTAAGTTGCCAGAAACAAAGATTTCTTTCTTTCTTTCTTTTTTTTTTGTTACCAATAAAAGATCCTAATTACAGAGAACGATTTAATATCATTGAATTTAATGATAATATCAATTATATAACTACTAGAAGCTATATCATTAACACCCAAAGTTTACACTTGACATTTTCAATAAAGCATCATTTCAGAAAATTCTGACATTTGGAAGATGAAAATTGCAAAGAATTTTGTCTTTAATTTTGTTTTTGATTCATTTCTTTCTTTGATATTTTGCTGTTTCCAAACTTTCCAAAAAAAAAAAATGTGAAAGTTGAATGAGAAAAAAATGAATTATGAATTTTTTTTTTTGCCTTATCTGCCTTGAAAATACCATATGAAAAATAAATCGGTCGCCGCCATCACCCTTTGCCATTTAATAATAAAATGGCCTAAATCTTAGTTCCAAGCATTTAAATTGCCAAACGCCAAACACATTTTCTGGTCAACATAATGATGGAGGATTTTTCAGATTATTTCACTATGATGTTGATGTTGATGGCGATCATTTTGATGATGTTCATGATGCTATTTTTGGAACAAAGTCCATATTGGCCTCGGTTTTAATGTCAAACATTATGTCGAATTTTTTTTCCGACATTTTTTTGCTGTTTGAGTCGATCGGAAGTCAGTGATTACGTTTGCGAAAACAAATCTGCTATTGAAACCATTTACGTTTTTTTTCCTTCAAAATGAAATTTTCAATTTTTCGAATATTGTGCGTCAACTCTGTCGTTCGAATAACGATGATGAAGGCGTGCCTTGACATCATCTTGGCACAATATGATTGGCTGTTTAGGATATAGCTATTTTCTTTTGTATTTGAACAAGTTCTGGGATATGTTCTGGAATGATGCGAACATTGTTATTCGCTTTGTATCAAACTGTATCATCCCTCAAAATGTGCGTATGCGCATTCATTTGTTCCAACATTTATTCAATTCATTCGTTAGTTTGTTTTTTTTATCTTTGTTTATGAATGGACCATCATGGATCTAATATAATATCCTGTTCATTTGGTGTTTCAATTCAATCATTTCTTAGATTCGAAAGCGAATATCGTACCAAAGACTAATCATAGTCTAGTTACGAATCGAGGACCGAATTTTTATTCGGTCATCGATGAATTTGTTAAATTTTTGTTTAGTTTTTGTTTGTTATCTTTGTTATTTTTATTGTTGATCATTGTCAATAGATTTATCCAATTGTTGACCATTTTTAACATCAAATATTTATGGTAAAATTTATTGAAATTTATCATAAATGTTGATTTCAAAAGCATAATTTCATCGAAATTTTTTTGTTATCATTGTCAATTTGTTACCATATCATCCAATATGCAAAACTGTAACGATTCGAATACGACTGGTTCGTCGGTCGATCTGAGCAAAATCTATCATTCAGGTATGGTTTACTATTTAATTATTTCTATTTTTTTTCCAAAATGATTATTTTTTGGATAAAAAAAATCAATAAAGTTTGATGATGTGTGAACATCATTTTTTGTAACCTTATATTTCATGTTGAGATTAATTTTCAAGTCAAAAAAGATCGGTCGAATTAGTTTCAAATACCAGATTCATTCCCATTTGGGACCATGCCACACAAGCTTTCATATCTCATGTAAACCTAATGAATGACTGGTTTCGATGATGATGATGATGATAATGATGGTTATTATCTTACATACTTATATGATAAACCAGTCATTCGATCAACAAAATTTTTGTTAAACAAAAAAAAAACTTTGGAAGTTTATTGTTTGTCAATGTCTATTACAATAAATTTCAATTAGATTCAATGAGAATGATTTTTATTATATCACATTGGTCTCAATATCTAATGATTTTTTGGTTACAAAAATTAATCAATATAATACATATGGCTTTGAAAATTAACTTCGATCGATGATTTGTGTGTGACTGATGCTATTGATAAAAACAAACAAAATGATTCTGTAACACTATTTGTTTTTTTTCTATATTTAGATATTTTTCCGATGAAAGAAAATTCTTCATTATCTACCAGAGAATTTTTACAACGAGTGATCGATATTTGTCTTGAATTTATTGACGAATCAAATGATCGATCACAGCCAATATTACGTTATTATGATCCTGAAGAAATGAAAATGAAGTTTAATTTTGATATTGGCGAAGAACCATTAAATCTGGAACAAATTGTCCGTGATTGTGCACAAGCACTTTACTATCAAGTTCGAACTGGTAAGTTTTTTTTTGTGGATATTCTTTTGTTATTGAGTTTTTCATTTTCATTTGTTATTTGATACATACATAACATCCATACGAATATAATTAGTCCATCATTATGGAATCCATAATTTTCGATTTGTTCTGTTTTTGTCATTTTATCTATATCATTAGCGAAGGCTGTCCAATGAAATGATTGTTTTTTGTTTTTTTGCTTCTATAGGTTTCATTGGACTGTAAATGTCATTTTCTCCATATGGATAGAAAGATAAAATATGAAATGTTATGTGGGAAATATGAAACAAATATAATATGAATTTGATGATTTGTAATTTATGTATTGGTGAATTTTTGGCTTTTTATTATTCTTTACGATGATATTCTATGATCGAAGGTTAATGTCGGTTTTTTTTTGGTGAATTTTGTTCCCATTTTAATTGTTTATATTTTGATGGCCATTCGAGTGAAAATTAAATATATGATCAATTATATGGCCATATGAACAAGGCTATGATATGGTATGTGTCAGCAAAAGAAAGATAGAATGAAAAAAATAATAATAATAAATAAATATCATTCCCGTATGAAATCATCGAAAATGATGGCAGCAAGTGTCGAAAACAATTTTCGCGTTCGTTAGGCTTACATTTCTCAAACTTACAAAATATTGAACAGAACAGTAACTCCTGATTCTTTCTCCATCTCTCTCTCTCTCTTTCTCTCCCGAATTGCGCACAGATTTTTTCGATTGATGCTACCCTAAATTATAAGTTAAATTTTGTGCACACGTTCACCAAATGTTGGTTCGTTTTTTTTTCTTCTTTCTTTTGTTGTTGGATGGTTCGATTCATCGAACCTAGAAGAGAACGAAAAAAAAAACAAATTCCGTGGTTATCGACCATAGGCAATTGCCAGAATATACTATTCGTTGTTATAAACATACAATACACGCACACACAAAAAAAACGTATTCATTTTGGTTCATAGTTTTTCAATTTCTATCGCCTTTTCGTTTCGGAAATTCATCCATTCGTATATAAATGATTTTCCTTTTGACTTGTTCTTGTTTCCCAAGCTGTTTGCTATTTTTTTTCTCTCTCGTTGATGTTATTTGAGAACAGTAAACTAAAGCCGACATTTTTTTTTGCATTCTCTTGCTTTTCCCCCTTATTCTATTTGTTCAGATTTACTGTTATTCGTTATTTTTCATTGTTTTTATAAACTATTTCGTTTATATCAATATATCGTATGTAATATATACGTCATTCCAGCCAATCATCCAGCCAGCAAGATTTTCAATTATAGCCAATTTGTTTAATGTCATCATAAGTTCTATAGACAATTCAACAAAAAAAAAGAAAAGAATCTAGTCTAGATATAATCGTAATGTAATGTTGTTGTTGTTGTTGTAATCAGCGATTCACTTCAAGCGGAAGTTATCCTAGACTTATACACAGACATGAAAAAATACAACACAAATCCAATATGGAATTTTCGGATCATGTTATAGAGCAGAAGAAAAAAAAATAATTATACATTAAATCCTAACATTATTTTGTTTGTATCATATAATTTTTGAAAAACTCAGACAATTGTGAAAATGTTTGAGATTTGAGTCAAAAAAAAATGGAATTTTGTTTTTTCTTTTGCAAAAAAAATGTTGATGAATTCGAATGGATCCAAAACAAATTCTTTCATAATACAGTAAACTATCGATTTTTTTTTCTACAACAAAAAAAAAACAGATATTAATAGAATCAAATTATTTTTTCAAAGCAATTTCATTCACATTTTCAAAAAAAAATCTATAATAAAATATTAAGTTCAACAAAAAAAATCTATAAGCAGCTTATTGCTTATTCTAAGATTTGTTGATGTTGTTGTTGTTTTTTCACCAAAAAAGAAAGCAAAAGTTTGGTCGGTTTTTTGTTTCATCAATCTTTTTTCTGTCACACTTTTTTTTTGTTAATATTCTGTATTGCTTATTCGATAAGAATGTCCATAATTTTGAAAAAAAGTGTTCAAATTTCCTATGTGCAAAATATGAAATTTGATGACTAGAGTTTCAAACTGAAACAAAAATTGGAATGGAATGGAATAACGTTCATCAAAGCGAATAATCATTCGGGCCCACCATATTTATTTACAATGGTAGTATATTATTGATATAAAAAAAAAGAATTATAGAATCTCAAGTATCTAACTATATATTTCATTCCTAAAGAGATTTTATTTCACATTGACTATAAAATAATTCTTACACTAGCCTAAAAAAACTATCAAACATTATCATCATCACCACTAACATTTCGTATCATCAATGTAGATGATTATTTTATTTTTGTTGTAAATAAAAGAAGAATGATGATGGCTGCAATATGACGCTCAAATTGTTTTGATGAGAATCATTTCAGTTTGAAATGGTAGAAAAAAAATGAATTATGTTGCATGTCAAAAACGTGTCATGAACGTACGCTTGATACCATTCATTCAGCATCGTTATTATTATAAATATTATGGGAGAAAAGAAAAGCCTGAAAATGTGTAAAATCTGTAATTAATTTGTTCGTTATAAAATGAAACATTATTTTTTTCTCTCGGTGGCTGATATATTTGTTTATACAAATTATCATCAATAATGACATTTCAAAAAAGGTTGTTTTTTATTAATATATGAACCAAATATCTTCAATGTTGTTGTTTTTTTTTCTTTTAGTCAATATTGGATGCATATTTCTTTCCATAGTATGAAATCTTTGAAAACTATTATGTTTAACGATGCGAATTCCATTCATATTTTTCTATAAAGCAATAATGGTTATATGTGATTCAAATAACATTTATTTTTATCATTATGTTGCAACTGACTGATGATCCAACCAGAAAAAAATCGAGATTGTAATTTTTCTTCTTTTTTTTGCCATTGAATTCCAGAGAATTGAATACAGTAAAATATGTGTGTTCGGTAATTCATCGTTTTGACGTGAACCGAAAGAATTTATAAAATTCTCATTCTGATGTTAGCCCCCCATCACATATTTTGTTGTTGTTATTGTTAAAAACATTGAATGAAAGAATGTTTCCACATTCAACCATAATCGACAATTAATTTTGAAAAGATTAGTAGCGGTAGCTTAGATCCAAAAAACGCAGAGACCAATTTCATCAAAATCTAACAAAACACAGAAAGAAAAAAACACAAAGTTGAATTTTGAATAGCTGTTCTAAAAAAAACTTGGAGTTTCACAAAACCCCGAATACACAACGTTTAGAATTGTTATTGTTTTTTCGGAAAAAATATAGAAAATTTTCTGCTTCAATTCAATTCAAAGTAGGGATTACCCATACACATTCTACGATTATTCTTATATGTGCCATAAATAAGGTATATCATATGCGCTTCGATGAATTTTTATCATTATTATCATAAGGATCATTGATTGAAATTTTGAATGACATTTGATTTGATATTCTACTTGAATGTTTCAAAAATGCCAAGGTTCATCTATTAGACAACTTGAAATTTGTTTGTTTTTATTATTTAAAAAAATGATTGTAAATGACAATTGAAAGCAAGTGTTACTCTATTTCAAATCAAGATTAATTGAAGGACAATTGTCAAAACAAAAACAAACAAACGAAAAAATTCTTTTCAAAACAAATGTGTCAAACATTTCAGAATCAGAATCATATTTTTGTTTCTTTTTTTTCAGGAAAAATAAATTTTGTTTAGGTTTTCTAAACGAATTCAATGGTTTTTTTTCAATTTTCGATTGTTCATTATGATAAGATTTATTTGTACCGAAATCTATTCATGTTTGTGGTTGTTTTTTTTTTCAAAATTGGATTATTCGAAATAAAAACATCAAAATATAAAATTATCAGGAAACCACAACAACAATATAGCTACCGGGCACGATTTCCCAGCAAGCAAATAATACGTATTTAGCTGAATGGCTGGTTGAAATACCGAACCGGAAATTGCCAAAAACAAGCTTTTTTTTGTTGTTGTTGAAATGACATTATAGAAGCAGTGAATAAATGTTATATATGGTTTGGTTTAGCTGCCATTGCTGATAAGAAACTTACGTAATGTTTTACTGTTCATTTTGTGTATGTGTTTGTGTTTGTATTTCATTTTTGATTATGTTGATGATGAGATTCTTTTAACCATATAATAATAATGAATACATGGGAAGTGAGAAAAAAAAATAATAATAAAAATGACATTTTTTTCCACAGTTTGACACAAAAAAAAATCATCATCATCAAACAGTATAGCGGTTGACATAATCACAATAGCATCATTGTAATTAGTAACAAGAAAAAAAAACCAAAATCCATTATGATTGTGAACAACACAAGCAGCCCACATTTTCGGAAATATTTTGTTCACAATTTTTCTTTCTATATAATATCGTAGGGTATATTTTGGGTAACATTATATTTTCAATTAAAGATGTATATAGATAGTAGTTGATTCAAACGTGTGTACGTAAATGTAATGTTTATGATAAATAGACAAATCCTTGATGATTTGCGCTTTGATTCAAGATTTTTGTTTTCGAGCTATGGAATTTTGTCGATAAGAAATAATAAAAAACGATTACAACAACAACAACAACAAAAAATAACTGATTTCTGATTCGTTTGATTGCGAATATCTTTTAAATGTCACATAAATAATATTAAATGGATGTATTTAAAAAAAGAAAAGAAAATCAAATTTATGAGCAATATGAACAAACAAAAATTGTTTATATTCGAAATGATTCAATTAGATTTTATAAGAATTCAGTTTTTTTTCCTGAATGAATTTCTCAGAATCTAAACATTCGTTTTAGATAAATCTATTGAAAACAACAAAAAAAACAAAACAAAATGCATAGATTTGGTTCACTTATTTCCGTCATCATCATCATTTTGGCACGTGTACACATATATTCTCAATGGACTATAGCTGTTTAAATCATATCAGTAAACAACAATTACAAACAGACATACTAACAAACAGAAACAAGAATCGTTTGCCTGTTCGAAACATGATTTCGACTTTTTACCCCAAAAAGGTTAATGCCAAAAACGCGTCATTTGTAAATAAGTAATAGCAAAGAAGCGAAAAAAAAATCTCTTACAATAATAAAGTTCTGGCTTAAGAGATTTACTTTATAATTCTGGATTTCATTGAGAATACATACAGATCGAACACATATCTACAATGTGAACGATTTTTGTTATTGGAATTCAATTTATTACTGACATACCGATTCGATTGATTTTGACTTTTTTTTCTGATTATGATGTATTTTTCATTTTATTCTATAAAGCTCATCCTCATTATTTCAATCAACTATCATGTGGATTGGATATTGTTTCATTGGCCGGTGAATGGTTGACAGCTGCAGCTAATACAAACATGTAAGTTTTTTTCAGGATTTGAAATCGATGGAATGTGTCATGAATTCATTCATTCATTCATGAATTTTTTTTTCTTGATTCTGATTTTGATAGGTTTACCTATGAAATAGCTCCGGTATTCATCTTAATGGAACATGAAGTGTTGAAAAAAATGCGACAAATCATCGGATTCAATGATGGTGATTCCATTTTAGCACCAGGTCTGTTTGTCCAACAAAGTTTTCTTTTTGACATGAATTTTTATTCTGTTTGACAATAAAATAAAATAGGAGGTGCCATCTCCAATCTATACGCTGTAATCGCATCTCGACAGCAAATGTTTCCAGAATATAAAACCAAAGGACTGAATGCTTTACCCCAACAGCTGGTGCTTTTCACATCCGAACATGTAAGTCATTTTCAAATCCATATTTTTCACTGGAATCTCTTTTCATGTGTATTTTCTCTCGATGATGAGTGTGTTTGTAACATACGGACATAATGTCTGTTTGGACGACAGCTTGTTATTCGGCATATTTTTCAGCAATAACAAAACAAGAAAAATACTATTACGTAATTGTTAGAGGATATATACGTGCCAAATTGCCTTCGTTAGCATTTTTTTCCAATGATTTAGATTTCAATATAAACATACATGTTTAATTTATTTTCAAACATGAGTATAGACACATATATTATTCGGTTCAAGAATATCATTGTGTTTGGGCTTATTTTTCAACACAATTATTCGATTTTCAAAGTTTTTATTATAACAATCATCAAAACATTAAATGATGAAATTTTTTTTTTCTTAAATCAATATAAATAGAGTCATTATTCAATCAAAAGTGCTGGATCGGTTTGCGGATTTGGTACTGATAATGTTATTGAAGTACCATGCGATGAAAAAGGTAAAATGATTCCATCGGAGCTTGAAAGATTAGTAAAAGCTCAATATGAAATGGGAAACCGGCCATATTTTGTCAATTGTACCTGTGGTACAACTGTTCTTGGTTCATTCGATCCAATCAATCCAATTGCTGACATTTGTGAAAAGTATAATCTTTGGCTTCATGTTGATGTAAGTTCCGCTATTTTTTTCTCACGTCAATTATAATTACCAGACTTGATTTTTTGACTGATAGGCAGCCTGGGGCGGTGGATTATTGCTTTCATCAAAACAAAGACATAAACTACATGGAATCGAAAGAGCTCGTTCGGTTACTTGGAATCCTCATAAATTGATGGGTACATTGCTTCAATGTTCTACTATTCATTTTAAACAAGATGTATGATTTATTTTGTGAATATCATTTTCAGTTGAATTACTTAGAATTATCATAAATATTGTAGGGATTGTTGCTGGAAACAAATCAAATGTGTGCTGATTATCTATTTCAACAGGATAAACATTATGATATCACCTATGACACTGGCGATAAAGTAATTCAATGTGGTCGACATAATGATATTTTTAAATTATGGCTTATGTGGCGTTCTAAAGGCGATAAAGGATATGAACGTCATATTGATCATCTGTTTGAAATGACCGAGTATGTTGTTTATGTAAATTGTGAACTGCTAATCATTTTTTCTTCTTATTAGCTACATGGTAAAAGGCATCAAAGCAAGGGGTGATAAATTTCACATGGTTTTAGAAAATCCAGAATGTGTCAATGTAAGCTTTTGGTATGTTCCAAACCGTCTTCGAGGTATTCCTCATAATGAAGAAAGAATCAAAGAATTGGGTAGAGTAAGTATCATGGAATTAACATTTAAAAAAAATTTAATCTAAATCTGTTGAAACATTGATTTACAGATTACACCCATTTTGAAAGCACGAATGATGCACAAAGGAACATTAATGATTAGCTATCAACCATTGGGCGATATACCAAATTTTTTTCGCAATATAATATCAAATTCCGGTGTTCAGAAAAAAGATGTTGATTTTTTGCTTGACGAATTGGATCGTCTTGGTCACGATCTTTAAATCAATTCAATTACTAGTTTACTATTATCTCTTATACTCTTATTTCTCATTCAAACCTTGATTTTTTCGCAAGTCTTCTATTAGCAATTATTATAGAAATGTGTTGCAGTGAAAAATATTCGATTATACATTCACCATTTCATCGATAGTTTTAGTAATCATCATTATATTCATTACAACACAAAGCAATATTCATGGATTGCATATGTCAATCAAACTAAACCAGAATAAAAATCACGAAAGATGATATTCAATGACAAAATCACGTCATGTCTTCCAAATCGAATCCGAACAAATTCGTTCAATTCGAAATATTCTTTCGATAAATCTTCCAAAACAAAACAAAAACAAATCACATATCATATTGTACACGCTAATCAACTCATCCTTAGTTAATTCACCCTTAGCAACAATTAATGATGACAATTCATCAAAAAAAATTTTTTTTCTTGGAATCTTCCCACAAAAAATGAAATGACCGTGCCAAAGAATATGAAAAAACATATCATTTTTTTCATCGAAACGCTACAAAAAAACCCTTATTCAAAAATTAATTATTCTCTATCTCTCTCTCTTACTAATGCGTCTGTTTGTATTTCCGTACCATCGTTTGTTGTTGTTTTTTTCCCACCAAATTTTGTTTTCAAAAAAAACTCAAATTCAATATTGTTTTTATTTTGTATGAATTTATTTTACAAACAATTAAATTCATCTCATTCCAGCGCCAGAAACTCTCCATTCGATAAAACAAAAGATCATCACTGATTTAATTGATTGTTTGCCCGAATTTCAACAAAAATCTTCTTGTCCGTGCGAATTGAAAATTGTTTTTTCTAAACATTAGTATTGTTCTTTTTCTTTTTTTTTTGAATTTTATTTTTGAATTATTGTGATTAGATGATGATCCTTTTTTCGGATCCTGTTTGCTCTTGATAATCTGATTGATAATTAATATAATTTCAGCAACAAACAAAAAATTAATGAATTTCCATTTAGTATCAAAACAATGGATAATTAATTTTGATTGAATTAAATAATAATAATTGTGTTTGAATTGATGTTTGTCTCTTAAAATTTTTATTTAAAAAAAAAATTCCATTTGTGCAATTAATTAAAAAAGAATTGTAGCAAAAGTGGCGCTGTCTGTGGATATTGAATGTTAAACAAAATCGAATAAAAAATTTTGAAACATTATTTTTTCGAAATTAGAGGGCGACACTGAATTTGAGATTATATCACGATTCCATGTGGTCAATGGACAAAAACTTAGTTTATTGGAAATTGGAAATACAAAAAACATTATGAAAAAAGAAAGAAAACTGCATGTTGTGTTACATGCTATGATGATGCTTGTAAACTAAAAATGATGATATTAATAATGTTTGTTGTGTTTACAAAAGGTACATGTATGCGATGTAAAGAGGATGAACAAAACGATTTTGGCGCGATTTGACCATCATTTAGTTTGACGATTGGCGCGCTCTGGTACTTTCAAATTTTGGATATTTCTACTTTTGGTTGCAGTCGAGCACTTTTGCTTCAAATCTGTTGTTTTTAAATGTCGCATGATGGTTCGGCGAGAAATGGTTCGTTCCGACCCTGAAGCTGCGAATTCGGCATTCAGGCATTTGGCTATTTTGCGGGTTCCAATCCCGACATTATCACGCAAAGTAGATTCAACGATCTTTTTAACAGAATTTGTGACTTTTGTCGGTCGGCCTGACCGGTTTTTATCAAGAATTGTGTCCCGATTTAACCAGCGATAGACAGTTGGATACGATATACCGAGTCGGCGAGAAATTTCGACCTTGGAAACGCCATCTTCGAATAGTTGACGAATTTTTACTCGGAGAGCAATTTTTTCTTGTTGTTGTTTTGTAGGAGTTTTCATGGTTCACAAAACCAAAGAAAATTTTTCAATTAATCAAAAAAACAAATCAAAAACAAAACCGACAGAAAATTCAAAACAGCTGTCTCCATATACAGCGTGACTTAGGCGCCTCCCTGTAGTGAAAAAAATAACATTCAACTGGTTGTCGAATCCGAATGTTCGAATTTCTAATTTTTCAAATCCAAAAGATATCAATTAACAAAATAAGAATTTTAATTTTTAATCATTCCACAATTTTTTTAAAATGATGATTTACGAATAAAACAATCTAAATATAATTATTATTATCATATATGACTTAGAATGAAAATCAAATTCACAAACACGAATGCCTTTAGACAAACCTATTTATCATCAGTGTTTTTTGTTATTTTGTTTTTTTAGAGGGTAAATTGTAACACAAAATGGGTTATATTCGTGTGTGTATGTGTGTTTTAGGCGAACAATACGGTGCATATAATTTTTTTCATATAAAAATGATGTATCATGAAAATTATTGTTATTGTGAAGAAGAATTAGAACGAAAATCACAATCAAATTAGATTCATGAATGAAGATTAAAATGGTTGAATCTTTACAAAAGTATCACTACTACCGTTTAATAGGTCAGAACTACCCGTATTTGTTGGATCATCGTTTATTGTCGTTGTATTGTTGCTTATTGAATGTGGTTTAACTTGATCTTGTTGCGGTAAGTTTAATGAAATGGTTGCGAATTGTGAAGAATCATTGGTGACAGAAAAATTAGAATGCTTTGTTTCAGATGAGATCAAATTGGCTGATAATTTTGACTGATCGCAATTATCATGAGACTCTTCTTGTGACTTTAGATTTCTTGTTGCATTTATCAACGTTGATGGTGATGATGGACATAATGGATGTGGACGTTGCTTATTTTTGTTAATCATCCAGATCGAATCGAAATGAAATTTTCCGCGAACAAAATTCAAGAACCGATTTTGATTCTTTAAAAATCTAAACGAATATTGACGCTGATGTGATGCGGAATCACGATATTTATTTACATCTTTGATACGAATAAATTCTGGCTGCGGAGAATCACCATCTGTATTCACAGCTTCAGCTGAATTGACATAATTTTGTACGAATGGAATTGGCATAGGTGCAGTTGATGATCGAATTAATGATCTGTTTTCCATTGAATCATGGCCATTGTGATGTGTGATTTCATTGGAATCGAGATTCATGTCAATAATAGTATCGAAATTGATATCGGATTGATGAGAAGTTTGATTTTTGAATTTAAGTCCTTGTTCAAGAATTTCATTATCATGTTCATCAATTTCATTGATCAATAAGTTGCGTTCTAGGCACGGATTACGTGCATGATATGGCTGTATAGGTAATGTCAATTTATTGGATGATTGATTCAAATTATTTATATTAAAATTCTTTTCAACGAAATTCGAAGAATGATGTAAGCGTTTAGTGTTATTCAACGATCTTTGTTGATGATGAAAATAATGCTTATGATGAGGATGATGTAGAAGATGATGGTGATTATTGAATTTATCGTGTAAGGAATTTTCGAATTTGTTTATGTAGCATATATTTGAATATTCATTTGGCATGATAATTGATTGATTGTTGCTGTTTTCTAATTGACTTTTTGTTTGCCTCTTTTTCTTCGAGACAAAATTCCAATGTAGATTTTCTTTTTCAGATTCGATCGATACTTTTTGATTATTAATCCTGTTCTCTATATCGACGTTATTCGAATTTTCTTGTAATAAAGCTGCAATAACATAACAACTGGATAATGTTTCCATTTTGTGTCGCTTCCACAATGTTGGTAATTCACTGATACGTTCATCAATACAAAGCGAAGTAAGTCGTGCTTCTGGTTCATGATCCCAACATTCAGTAATAGTTTCCTTTAACAATCGAATGGCAAAATTCGAATCTTTCCAAATGTCTGGAAAAAGAGGACGAGCTTTGTGCTTATTGACCAACAATCGCATCTGATCCAACGTAGGCGTGAGACCAACTTCATATTCGTATGGTAGCTTATATGCTGGTACGTCGATTCCTTGATATAAATCGGTACATCTGCTTGCAATTTCCCATAATATAAGACCTAGGGAGTAAACATCTGCTTGTTTCAATAACGATTCTGTTGGTCGTAAATTGATTGAAGCATCCAATATTTCTGGAGCTAGATATCTAGTTAAGCCGGATCGCAATTCATCATCAATTGTTAACGATGGTCGATAGCTAGAATTTGGTAGAAAACGGACTGCAAATTGAAAATCACAGATCATACAGGTTCCGTCGGCTTTGACAACTACGTTAGCTGAACAAAGATCACAGTGAGCTATACTGGGTTTGATTTTACCATCGTCATGAATTTCAGTATGGAGATAGGCAAGACCTTTTACTAATGATTTGAATAATTCACACATTCGCGTCCAATCGAATGTATGCTCAGCCAGATATGTTTGCAATGATCCATAATGACCATATTCGATGACTAAACAATGTTCAATTTGTCCATCATCAGCTATTCGATCGATGTTATGAAAAAAGTTGGACAAATTCGCATGATTCATCAATGGTAATGAATATATCTGAGATTCATTGGTCCATAAATGTTTACGGTTTGAATCCGAACAGACTTTGATGACAACAGTCATGTCATTGAATTTTCCTTTCCAAATGGTTCCATATTTACCATGTCCGATGGTTTCAATAAAACACAGGTTTTCTGGAAGAAAATCTTTGGAAATTTTTTGTATTGATGATCGGTTATATTGATTATGGGCATTTTGATTTTGATAAGTATTTGACGATTCAAGCAAATGCAAAGAATCAGTAGTAGTTTTTTGTTGTTTGGTCATTTTTTTGTTGACATAGATCGATTTAACAAACTTGGTCGAAATTATCGTGAATACAAAGAATACCATACAGACAAATGACAAAAAGATGAAATAAATCGTGGTCTCCTTAGAAAAATTGTTTTCTAAATAAAGATTAGCATGTTAAATAGATAAACATCGAACAAGAATTGAATTTCTCACCATCTAAAGAGTTCGAATCTAGAAGCATTAAATCATCCCCAGAATTGACCAGTTCATTTCCGATAAGATGAATAGAGTAATCGATGTTGCATATATCACCAGAACAGCAACAAAAACTTGTATAATTATCATTATTTAGGGAAGTTACATTGTTTTTCAAAGAAAATATGCATTGTTGGCGATCACAATTTAAAAAATCGTGTAGAGACAAGTCATCTGCACATCCTATTTGTTGTTTGTACATGGATAAAATGTTAATGATCATGAATGGTTGCGAAAAATAAAAATCAAAGATAATATTACATACCACTAGTAATCAATCGATATCGATTGACGTTTGCTAAATCAAATGGATCATAAAACCATAATGCAAAACAATGGGTTGAACAGGAAATGATTGCCGCACCGTATTCATTATCACTACTTTCATGATCGACACCAATGGGTTTTTTCACTAAATGTTTTTGGCCGAAGACATCATCGACATTATGCTGTCGAATGTTATCGTAATAATTTTCAAATGGAAAGAATTTATTCAATGTTGATTTTGAAGAGGGTTTATAGTATGCACATTTTAAAGCATTTGAGATACCTTGATAATAGTCAAATCAAAAAGAAAATAGAAAATTATAGAAAATAGAAAATAGAAAATTATAAAGTTTATTTATTAGTTTTAATGATGATATTAATTCATTAATTAATTATTCGTTTATCAATGATAATTACATCAACAACAAACAAACAAACAAAAAAATACCTGAAAAGTAATAAAAGAAGATGACTGAATAAAACGCCCAAACTAAATAGAACATAATGTTAATGATGATAAAGGATGGATAAGTTGAAAATGATCATTAATAAAACACAATTGTCTTTTCAGAATGATCATCGATAAAATCGATTCAGTGTGTAGGTGTTAAAGCTTTTGTCAATTTTTTGAATACATAAAATTTTAGTTTATTCTTCTTTTTTCTTCCCATTGGTGTTAACGTTTTCTATCCAAATGTATGTTTGTCATCTTTTTCTACAATCGGAAAGAGAAAAAACAAGAAAAATTGAAAATTTATTATTTATTTTTTTTTAAATTCCAAATTCGAATTTATTAACTTTTCAATGTCCTAACAAAAATGACGTTCTATAGAACCAATGAAAAATTGATGAATTCTTGATTGAAGTAAAAAAAAAATTAATCTCATCTTTCAGAAATGAAACAAAGGTCATTTACATCAAACTACAAATGAAAATTTATTTCTGTACTTTCAACAGAATATTCTTGATCATTAGTGTAATTAGAAGAATCAAACAATTAATCGGATTAAAATTTTTTTTTTGTGATTACAATATAAAGTTTATTTTATCGGACATTACCATTTTTTTTTTGTTTATTCATTCTTTTATTCAATTTACTTCATTAGATCAATTAAATAATCATTGTTGAATAAAAATTTCGAGAGAAAAAATCTCCAGGATCACAAAAAGATTTTTGATGAATTGATCAAATTGAAAAGAATAAAAATAAAAACAATATTTCAATACAAAAAAAAAGTTGATGATAATAAATCACAAAATACGATGGATGAAGAAAATTGTAATTATCATTATGAAATCTTTGTTCATACATGAATTCATCTTGTTTAGTTCACATTCAATTGATTTTCATGAATTGCACACAAACGATGATAAATTCAGTTATTATTATGGTCATTTTTATATTTTTATTTTTCATTTCATGACACACACAGTAACAGATCTAACTAGAATGCCAACCGAAAACAAAAACAAAACAAAATTTTCATCTTTATTTATCATTTTCTGGATTGTAGGTATAATTTTTGTTTTAATCACTGAAAGACATCATTAAGCCATTGAATGAATAAATTGGCCATAATTATAAAACAAGTATTGGAATGAAATTCAACTAAAAGTTGAATAAAAAATAAATAAACCAGCATGCCATGCATGAAACATTATAAATACACAATCGAGTAGAATCTTTTACCATCAAATTGATCAAAAATGCTATGAGAGATGTGATGCTTTCATTCACATTCGAATAGGCAGTGTATCCATTCATTCATTCGTCGATTCATTCAAGTCAGCCAACAGAAGAGACATAGACAGACAGACAGTCTGCACTGAAAAAAAAGATAAAGCCAGACACCGACATTCGTCGAGACATTGGACACATTTTTTTGTATAAATATGAATATATTTGGTTGGGTAAATTAATACTCTACCACTGTATGCTTACAACAATATCAATGGTGTAAACATTTTAGCTTTTAACCATGGTTCTTTTTTGGTTTGAATTCAATTTCGGCATCATTCTACTATATAGATTTGAATAGAATAGTTCAAAGGCAGTGGTTCTGATTTCAAAAAAGGGAAGATTCGATTCGAATCTTTAGCTTTCACTCAGCTGGTCAGCTTTTTATGTGTGTATGTCTGTTGTCAGGATGTTTGGTTCGTTTGGTTCTTTCTCATAATGTAATATTATAAAATGAAAAGATTTTTTATTCACTAAACTAGAATAGGAAAAAAAATTTAAGAGAAAACAAAGAGAAAATCAAAACGACTAAAACAAGATGGACAGACCAAGAATCCTGTCGAATGATTATCATTTTAAGTGTCGCTGCCCAGTAACAGCAACATCGACCAACACTAACTATAACTTCTTTGTTGTTCATCATCCATTATACATTCGTATGATCCGGTTGTATGTATGATCTCATTTCATTACTTCAGGATGATCAGTCTAACAAACAAATCATTGCTGGACATTCAAACAACTTTACCATACACATATTGAATCACAGTGTGATAGACCTTGAAGATTTCAAGAAAATTGAACAGAAACCAACAAGAAAAGCCTGAAATGATTTTTGAAAAAAAGAAAGCAATGAAATTTCTTTTTCCATGTTTTTTAACATGAAAAATCTATTTGATTTTTTTATTCCAACATTTCTGTCGTATTCATTGGAATTGATCCCCATATTTTGATTGAATTGCATATAACAAATTGGATAGAATTTCGATCTAGGAAAACCGCTATATGATGTGAATATGCGTATGTCTGACAGGTTCCTTTCTTTTGCTCCAGATATGGTGATGATAATCACACTTTAAATATAGAGAGAAAAAAAACCATTTTGTTCGGTTCGGTCGGTCGGGCACAAATTGTATACCGGGAAAATTTTCCCGTGTGTATAGCAACCGTCATTGAAAAAAAGCCAGTTTTTATCTTTTGCTTTGTTCATTTTAAGAATTTTTTTCCCCTTCATTGATTGCCTGATATGATCATTGTTGTTGGTTGTCGCTGTATGTATTGGATGTATCTCCCGCATCATCATCACCATCATCATAATCATTATGATGATAAGCATTCAATGCAAAACATCACTATCAATTTGTTTTAATCCTTTTTTATAATTCTGTAGGCTGCAAAAAAATGTTGTTTCTTTCAATTCATTTTATTGGTGTTTAAAAAAAATTTTAAAAAAAAATTATCAACCCGGATCGATCAAAGTTATATTTACAACTTTTCCAATGTATTTGAAAATCAACTTGGCTGGGTTATATTATAATCGACTCAACAACAACAAAGAACCATACAAAATGATCCATACAAAGACATATATAAACAGACATAGACAGACAGACAGAATGAATTCTTCTTCATTTCTTAAACTTTTAACATTTTTATACACACACACAAAACACATCAGTGAAAACGTGCCATCAAGAATAACCAATTGATTGATCATGCGTATTGTTTCAGAATCAGAATAATAAACGTATTTCAACATTCACAACAGGGGAATGAAATCATCAGCATCATATATATAGAGAGAAAAAATGGTTGATAACAGTAGGGTGGTGGCGTTGGTGAAAAAGGAATGATCGTCCTTGACAAAGTCTGGCTGTCTGGATTGCCCATCCATGTCTAGCCATACATAACAAAAGTCAGACAGTCTCTCTCTCATTCTATGTGTCTTTGTATCATCCGTGATATAATCATTGGAATTAGGCATGTTACCAGTATACTGTGTGAAAGTATGAAGTTTTTTTAGGTACGCATCATAGCCACCAAAAATAATAAGAAAAAAAAGAGGCTTATATAATACAAAATGCTGTCTGAAAAAAAATCGATCATGATGATCGCAAAAATGGCAAAGTAATAACCGAAAAAGAAAAAGAAAACCTTGATTTCAGAATTGGTTGGTAGTTTTTTTTCATTGTATCATAAATTTTGTTTTTTTTGTTGTTGAAATAGTAACGGCATCTAAAAATCTACTGATCTAATTGAAAAACAAGAATATGAAGAAAAAAATGAAAATTTTGTAGAAATATTTATTATTTTTCAAAGAAGAATACATCGAAGTAAAATGAAATATCAGTGACATCACATTTAGAATTTACAAATGAATCATTTATTTTTTTCGGGAAAATTTTTTTTCATCAATAGCTTTAGTGTGTGCGTGTGAATTAAATGAAATGAGTCCATCGACCATTATTATCATAAATTTAGCAGGATTTGATTTTTTTTTGTTTTTGTTTATCATGTAGTTTGTTGTTTTTTTTTGGCTCGTCTAGTTGGCGATATGCATGCATGGAACAATTTCGAATTAATGATTGTAATCGATCAATGTCTGGCTGATTTTTTATTTTTCTTTTTTTTTGTCGCTGATTGAATTTCCCGAATAGAAGAAATCTTTATGGAAAAAAATATGATTGAATCCTTGTGATGTCGTTTTTCTTCTTTTTTTTCGACTGTCTGTCGGTGGCCAAACGAAGAAAAAACAACGAAAAAAAAAAGACAAAACAAACCAACAACAAAAATAAATAAAAATTTTGTAATCAGCAGACAGGGGGGAGAAAGAGAGGAAAGAAAAATATATTTTATCCAAATATTAATAACCGATAACACAGAGTGCAAAACATATATATGAATTCAATGACAATAGATTTTACGTCATATATTACATATATCATTCATAGTTATAGCTGGAAACCAAAAGTTTTTTTTTTGTTTTTGTTTTGAAGAATTTTGTTTCATTCAAGATTCTTGCTCGTTGATGTGTCCTAATAATAATTAGCTAATAGATTTTGCGTTACAGACATTGAGTTCGAATAGCTGACTAGCATATTATATGAGTGTGTGTGTGTGTGTGTTTATATGCAATCGATTATGATGACTATAACATCATTATCATCATCATAACAATAGATTTGATGGTCATTGATGCGGCGAATTTCATTCTATTTTATTTTATTTGTAAACAATAAAAGTATAAGTTTGAAAATAAAACAAACTTTGTGATTATTTCATTATAATTTATTTTTATAACGTGTATAGCATATAAAATATGATCATTGATCTTTTACAATTGTTTGAGATAAGTTTGGAAAAATTTCCATTCCATTCTGGACAAAATAAATTCTTATCGAAATTTTTTATTTTATTTTTCACATTTATTTGCTGATTTGATCAATCATTGTTCGAATTTTTTCCTGTAACATTCGATGATGGCTACCAACGGTTGATGATGAACATTTTGTTTGAATGAAATTAAGTGCTTCAATATCTTTCTTATCAAAAGCAAATTTGGCTGCATCTTCCAGATTCCTATTGAATAAAAGGACAATAAAACAATGAAAAGTAAAATAAATGGAAATATAGCAAATTGAAAAAATGGAATTAATTGAAAAAGTGGCTTTTATTTAAACACAAGAAAAAAACTTTTTTTCAGGATTATAACAAAGTGCTTTGTCACTATACTTCATGAAAATTAATGTCAGGATCAATGAATTTATACCAACAACTTACCCAGTTTTTATATAATATTTAATCTTATTTTCATCACGAATTTTCGGCAAATATTTTTGTGCTTCATAACGATTTTGACGTTGAATACATACGTCAACAAATGGCTATGATCGAAGCGAAAAAAATGAACAAAAAGTTAATAACAGGATCAGACAATCGGATCAAATAAGCTAGATAACAAGTTTAAAGTGAACAAAATATTGCCAAGACATTACCTCATAACCAATTGGTGATTTTTTTGCTTTAGAAAGCCGTTCAATCTCTGACCATTCATCAATTTCGGCTAATGTAATCAAACGTAGATAATAATAACGCTTATCAGACACTTTAAATTCTTTTCTTAATTCATCACTTAATTTATATTCACGACGTTGTAATAATAATCGCATCGTATCCTGTAAGGAAAGATCGAAGAACTTTAGTCCAGTCGGTGTTGCTGATGCAAATTTATCCTCCAATTTCAATTGATATTTCAATAAACGAGAATATTCCTCTGAATGTGTGGTTAAGAAATCATTTCGAGATTTTTTAAATGTATCCAATGCCGAACTAACAAGGCTCATTTTAGATTTTCGTTCATTGGCCGTCATTGACAATGGCGGTGTTAGACAACATTGTTCTAAATAGGTAAGACCTTCGGCAATCAGATCATTCTCTTGAAAGTATATATTTTGTAGCTGATCTTGATCAGCTTGTTTACAATACTAGGAAAATTTAATTATTAACAATTCATCAAATGATTAAATAAAATGAAAAAGACTGATACCTTTTGATAAAGACTATAGGCTACTGGATATTCACGTAATCCAAGATAAAATTGTTCCGAAGTTTGAATTTTTTTAAAGCTCAATACCACCATATAAATTAGATATGTATTGCCACTTTCAATTGCACGTTGCAATGCTCGTCTATATTCTTTTAATTTGAGCAATAAAGGAACCTGATCAGTTGCTTTCAATTCATAATCTAGTAATCGTATCGCTAAATTTTTTCGTCCATATTCGATCGCTTTGTTTGCTATTTCAGCAAACGATACACCAGAATTTGGAGAAATTTTTTGTGCAATTTGATTGGCTATCTTTTCCTCATCAATATCTTGTTGCCGAATTTTATAGAATGCCCATCTTGTCAGTATTTTAATGCTGCCGTCTTCCGGCACTATTTTCAAATATTCGGCCAATTTTAAAGCAAGAAAAAAATAATGTCTTTCGGTCAGACGATCAATGAGAGAATCGATTTTTAATTTTTCGAATTGGCAATGAGTTAATGGTATACCAACGTCTGGTTTTCGTATTGCATTCAATATTCGCAATTCTTGGCAAACTCGTACAAACTTATTGTTGTCCACATTCGATGTAAAGCATTTGCCAAATGAAGCTGCACGTAGCAACATTTTTTGTGTAGCTACATCGAATTCATGACAAGCCGTTTCCAGACACATATCAACGGCCATTTCCATTTCATTTTTTTCTTGAATCAAACGGATATAATCATCCACTTTGTGATTCTGTTGATCAAATAGCTTGCTGGCTTCCAACAAGTTTGAAGCGCTCGAAACTGAGCCAATTTTGAAAATATCAACAGCAGCTCGATCAACTTTGGTAATTATTTCTTGAAATGAATTATCAACGACTCGAATACAATCAATCTCTTGTATCATATGCACATGACCATATGTTGGATATTTGAGCCAATTTCGATCCATATCGACTAGAAATAATAGATTGGCCCAATGAGCAGCAACCACATCGTTACCACACCATGCCAGTTGTTTTGGTTTAGTTTTACTTTCTGTATCGAACATGCTATAATAGGTGGATATATCATTGGCAGTTGATGCCAGATATAATTTTCCAGTTTCGGTAAATAAAACAATTTGGCTATAATCGAAAGAAACACGAATACAGGTGACAGTTTCTTTGTTTTGTTCACCATCAAACGGATTGATGGAAGTACAGCTTAGATCTTGTGATTTAAGAATAATCAATTCTTTGTGATGCGAAACGATAAGTTTCGTGTCAGCATCGAAAGATATTATATCCCAGCATAAAGGTCTTTCATTCAGATATGGAATCTCGGCTAGACGTCGCAGTTTCAAATGATACAGATTATTATAAAGATAAAAACTTAACGACTGTGTCATTATGGCCACACCGGTTCTGTTGATCGTTGTAAAAATTTTGCATTCTACTATCTTCGAATCGCGTATTTCTTGTTCCAGTGTCAATGTACTGATATGTTGTCCGAATAGATCATATAAAGAAATGAACCCGTTAGCATGAACACAGACCAAATCTTCTTTATGTGACCAACCGATATCGACGATATCCACGTCTTTTATGGTCAAAGTAGACAATTGATCACCCATTGCCGTATAAATTTCAATCAACCTATAGTTGACTTTTCGCATAGGAAGTTCTTTTCGCAATAAAGCTGATCATAAAGAGAAGCGAAAAACAAATAATTTTTCTGCAAGATTAAGAATCACTCACCAATGGGACCACCATAGGAAGCGGCAAAAATATCGTATTCGTCTAAGGAAATTTTTGCACCCCATTGTAATTGACAGAATTCTTGTTTTTTATAAACTTGTTGACCTAATGAATCCCAATTGGCAGTAGGCAACGCCATGATCACAGATTATACTATTTATGGGGCCGATTGATTCTTCTGACAGAATAGCTTATGGGAAATTTTTCAGAATGTAAACCTCAAAAGTTTGAGTAATTTTTCGGAAATTTTATTTCAAATTGAATTGGTATATAAAAAATAGAGAAATTGATGAATTATATTTAAAAAATGTAATAAAATGATAGATTTCGTTGAAAAATTTTTCGTCATGGATTAAAAAATGGAATCTCATTTTGGCAGTCTTAGATCTTTGAAGTAATCATGATTCAAGGCTTGGCATGCACCAATACGTTTTGAATGGTTAAAGATGAGCATTTCCTGTAATTTGTGATCGAGTTGAATATTTGTTGAATTAAAAAAAAAATAAACTCACTTTGAACAGATTTCTGCCATCAGAACAAACATCTTTCATGATGTTATCAAGATTTCGTCGTTTGAAATTAGAAAAATTACTCAATGGTAGTACTGAATCATTGGGCCATTCGCTAGGATCAGGTGAACCGATGATGTCGAAAATTTTACACAATTGATCAGTCTCTGATTGTCCACAGAACAATGGTTTTCTGTTATAAAGCTCAGCAAATATGCAGCCACAGCTCCAAATATCAACTGGGGTACCATAGGTTGTAGTAAGTAGAACTTCGGGAGCACGATACCAAAGGGTAACAACCACAGCTGTCAATCTTTGAGCCTGTATGTAGATTCGTGCCAAGCCAAAATCGGCTAGTTTAACCTGACCACGATTAGTGATTAATATATTGGCCGGTTTTATATCACGATGAACAATCCGATTCGAATGAAGAAAATCGACACCAGTCATAATCTGGAACATTAGATCCTAATCGATTAGGAAATAAAAATTTTGCAATAAAAACTACACAATCAACATACTTAATTCTTACTTTAATTTTGTCTAAACCAAGACCAGGTGCAGGGCATCTTTGTAAATAGGATGATAGATCTTGTTCGATGTGTTCGAATACCAAGAACAGGGTAAATTGTTTCTCAAGTTCAAAATTGTTACCATGACAAATGTCCAAAAGTCTTTGTTGATTAAAATTAAAATTAAAATTTTTACAGAGCGTAAATATGCCATTACTTGATAATGAAACTCACTTGACAACATTAGGATGATCAAAAGATTGTAACTGTTTGAGTACGGAAATTTCGCGCACAATGCTTACTGGTACACCGATTTCAGTCGTTGGGATGCGAATTTTTTTCAAAGCAACAAATCGACCTTCATTTTGACGATCTGCGGCTTTATAAACCGTTCCATAGGCCCCGGAACCAATCAGAGCAATTTGTTCGTATTTGATTTTCATATCATTCGTTGAGTTATGCTATTAGGATGAGAAAGGTAATATGTTTATCGAACATGCACAGAACGATTAGTAACAGAACCAAATTCCTTAGTCTAACTATAGCCTAGAAATTAGTGAATTTGGATTTGTTAATGATCATTCGCTGTTATGTATACGCTTGTCATTTAAAATTGTACTAGTTAGTCTAAAAATATATTTTTTTAATAAAGAACCGAAGCTGTAAAACAATGTTCTTGAATAAAAGTAACAGGAACATAAGAAATAGTTTAATCACATTTTTAATCGACGACAAAAAAATTGCTTTTCAGTCTCAATTACACTAATTCAATTATCACTTTACACTTGACATCTTTCTGGTTCCGATTCTAATTTGTATCACATCCTAATTAAATGACAACAATATTTCATACGTTTATATCAGTTTTATAATCATCATTTGTCTTATTGTTGTGGTCAATGGTAGACAAAATTTCTTCAGTGACGACATGTTCTCGTTGTTTTAATTTGATTTGATTTTCATCTTTTGATTTTTCCAAGTTAGCCATCGGTTATTTTGAAGGCAGTAGTAACAAAACAATATTTATTCTAGACAATTCAAAAAACGAAACAATGAAATATTCAACAAGTTATAAAATGCATACAGTGCTAAAATAAGAATGAATGGTTACTTGGAACACAATAGCATTGAAACCACTACAGTCGAAATAGAACAGAATAATTAATGATTAATGATGCTATTTTAGCGCGCGTTCGCTAAAAAAATAAATTCTTTACTCATATTCTCTTCAATTTGTTAAAAATTATTTCTTTTATTTTATTATACACGATTATAATTACAAATAAATGACAATGATAATATTACACAACGTGAGAAAAAACCCTGAACCGAAACCATCCAACTAGAAAAAAATTCCCGTTCGGTGAAGGTTTGCAAAACAAATGAGCTTGGTCATAATGAGACAATATATGATGATGATAATGATGATGATGATGGCAATAAATGAGAAAAAATGAAAAATCCAAATAATAAATTAATCGAATAAATCAATTAATATTTGAAACAACAATGTCCAATGAATATGGTGTGTCTCGGGCGTGTAGTTAGTTGTATATGAGAGAAAAAAGAATAGACGAGGAGATTGAGAAGTGTTGCTACAAAGTAGATAAATATCACAAGTATTAGATGAGAGAATTAGGTGGAGAATGAACAAATCAAACACGTCTCCATAAATTCGTTCAAAAGAATTTGTGGACGAATAAATTTTATATCATCTATATGATAGACGATACAAATAAAGTGGACATAATACCGATCCACGCTATGCAAATAATCAAAGACATTTCCTTCTTTGGTTTTTACTTATTTATGGAATGTCTCTAATTTTCTAATGGTTTCATCATAGTTTTGTCATTATTTTAAGTAACATCAGTTGAATGATGAAAATTATTCGAAGCTGAGCTACCTTGGTTCGATGTATTAGTTGTGGTGACGGCTGTCGTTGTCAATTTTAATCTACATGATGGTGAAGATGATGAAACGGTTGGATATTCTGGTGTTGATTGACATTCAAATTTGATATTCGTGGTGTTGGCTACGGTGGTCATTACTGTTGCTGTTTTGGAAGGCTCATTCGAAAAATGCTTGTTACTATGAATGTTGTTTCTATCACTTTTATTACTCGAATCATTAGTTGAATGATTTGGACCATTATTAACATTCACTGACACTGGAGATGATGTAACATTTTGTTTTAATTGATCGGTGTTCATCACTGTTTCATTATTATCGAGACCGTCAAGAACATCGAGAAACACATCATTATAATCATCTAACAATGATGAGCTGATCACTTGATTACTAATCCTGTCAGAGGAATCTTTGAATTCATTCAAATCGAGTGGTCGTTTTACGGCAGAATTTTCAGATGATGTTGAATCGTCTTTAGTGATGTTTTCAGTATTGTTCAACAATGAACTAGTTAGATCAATATTGATGGGATGCACAAATGATGGTGTTGAGCATTGATGTTGTTGGCAATTTTGATGATCGGTTGGTTTTAATTTTCCATTGGTTGACTTTAAACCCGGTAGCTTGTTGATTGTTCTATTTGACATAAAATTTTGAGGATGCGGTGCTTCCATAGTGAGTCGGTTATCGTTGCATTGATGGTGATTTTTTTCGATGAAATTTGATAAAACACTTTCATTGTACTGATATAACTGCTTTCCCAATGATGTATCATCAATATAATGTTTCAATTGATTATTCAAAAACAATGAACATTCTTCATCAAAATATCTGGTATTGAATTCTATAGTTGCATCGTGTTCCATATCCGATTCACCAGGAAGAGGTTTGTAATGAATCCTGACAATTTTTTTATAATAATATATATTAACTCTGATAAACTAAAAATTTTACATACCTTTTCGGATCTTCATTATCATCCAAATCAATATGTGTTTTTATTCTGTCGAAATGAATTCTGAAAATCAAAAGCAATCATTGAATTCATCATTCAGCTAAACATATAAATTTTTTTTACCTTCCACCACGACCAATACGCCGCCGTGTTAGGCCAACGGGATAAGCTGGACAGGATAAGGAGGTATAACTAAATCGAAAACGTTTATCTGCTGTACCGCCCTCTTCAAGAGATTCCCATGGCCAACCAGAATATTGATCCAACGGTGCATGATAATAACAGCCTTTTTTCCTTTTGAAGGAGAACATTCCGTCTGGATTATCAACATCATCCGGCTCGTTATTCCCTTGACTACTTTGGTACATCAAATCACTAGAATTTTCATCTTCTGAAGAATAGTATTCGCCGCCAGCTGCCGACGGAATCATTTCGTTGATATTTCTCGTAGATAAAACATCATTCTTTGATCGTTTCGTTCGCTTCTTTCGGACAACCGGTTCGTCACCCTAAAAAAACAATACAGATTAAAGAACCGAAATTCCAAAGTGAAATTCTCACCATCTTTGTTTTCGATGTGCGACTTAGAACATCTTTCGTAAGTCTTGATGCCACCAATTCATTATAAATTTGTGAGTTGAAATCCCTCAGTTTATACCTGGTTGAAATCAAAAAAAAGTTAATTCAATGCGAGTAATTGAAAAAAATTCTAACCTCGTTTGGAAGATAACATAATCATTTTTAACAAGTTCATATTTCATCTTTTCTCGCTCTTTTATCATCGACATTATATTGCTGAAATTAGGATAAAATTTAAAAGAATTAATTTTTGATTGAAATTTGGCGGTTAAAAATCATACCAGACATTGAATATATCTTTCTTCAATTTCAACATTTTTTCATATGAATATTCATCATTTTTGCGATTTTTTCTTGTTTGCATTTTTTCCGTACGTCGCCTAAAAGCGATGTATGGATTGTTACCCGATGTACCATCTCGTTTCTCAGTTTTGACAGTCGGTATTAATGATTTACCAAATTTAAGTTTTTTGGCCAACCAATAATCATAAACAGCAATTTGTAACGATTCATCTACACCTCTAAGTAAAGATTTAGCTTCATTTAATTCGATCACTTTTTGAACACCGGAATTTCTTTCCAAACAATCGATCATTTCTTCGAATTTGGTATGTGGTAAGCCGGATAGATTTGTCGTTGACAGCCATGTTTCATCTTCTGAATCGAGGTCATAATCCGGATAATCTTGTTCAAAAGATGGCAGCTGAACATGAATTAACTGGCGAGGTATTTTATATGTTGGGGGATAGAATTCGTCATAAACTTTGTCTTCAACTGAAAAAACTTCTGGCGTTGGGATCACATGATCAACAGCCCTACCATGAGCTTGTTGTGCCGAAATAGCCCGTTGCAGATGATGTTCCTTTATTATGATTCAATAATCAATTATACTCATTTAAAAACTACAAATAATGGAAAACTTACACATTCTTCTTCTTTTTCCATACCAGTTGGCATCTGTGGTACTGTACGATTGATGGTGGTGGCAAAATTATTCAAATCTGGGACATCTTCCGTTTTCAAGACCTGCATCGGCTTGAAATGGTCGATGTTCCGTGGTCTGAACGAAAGCTGTTTATTCAAATTCTGAGACATTTTTATCAACAATTTCTATAGATGATGATGAAGATGATAATATATATACAGGTGATGAAAATGAATAAACAAAATGAAAAAAAAAATAAACGAACAAAAAAAAATCGCGCCCGTACACACAAAAACACAGACAGACAGACACACACACACGCACACCAACAATGCCACACCGTGCCGTGGGGCACAAGTCCGTCTGTGTGTGCTGCTGCGGACTTTTGGCGATTTGTTTTAAATTCGATTATTAATTTTAATAATCGATTTTATTTCAAGTTAAAAATCTAATCATTATGGATGAAGAAAATGTCGATTTCAAATTGAGAAAAAAACGTATCCAAAATAGAATGAGTTATAGAGAATCGACAATAAACAACGACGAATAAAATAATCAAAATACAATGTGTGGCTCATTTCAATTGATATATCAGTGAGCACTATAGTGAGCATTGGAGAGAATCACAACAACCCAAACTCATACACAATCCCTTTCGCTCTCACTCACACACGCTATTTTACTTTTGACTCTCATCAATATGGCGTCAATTCATAGTGGCAAAGTATATGTTAGCGTGTGTATGATATGTATCATTCTGTTAATGATAATGTCAGCTAATGCCATCTACAGGTAATAACAATAAACACAAGTTTTTATCGATGACTTTAATTGGCACACGTCATCTTTTAAAAAATACCTACATGAATGAATCATATTGTCTTTGAATGCATGGAGATTACGTCATGATAATTAAACATACTTCAATCGGATAATAATAATAATAATAATTTAATATTGTCAATGTTATTACTTTTTTTCTGCCAATGTAGATTTCAATTTAAGAAGTATTTGAACCTCATCATTGATAATTTTTTTATCTACTTTTTCCGCCTTTAATTTTCGAACTTTATCACCTTGTTCGGCAATTAATTGTTCAATTTCTTTGTCGGTTTTCAATGAAATACTTTCGAAAAGTTTAGCTAGCTGAACATTGGATGCTTCTTTTTCTTTATCGGCAATGGAACCACCAAATTTTTTCCGGAATAGGTCCATTTCTTTTTGTTCAAGTTTTTTGAATAATGGTGATGGCTGTATGAATGCGAATATATAGGAAATAAAGATTAAAAAAATAGTAATTAGAGATATTAATATAGGTTAAAAAGCAAACCTTTCCAATTTTATGACCAGGTTTAAGTAGGCATACAAATCGATGATTTTTTGGTAATAAATTGCATTTGAAATTAATCTGCTCTTGCAATTGTTGAGTTGTAACCGGCATGTAAGGTTCCATCAAAATTGACAAAAGAAGACAAATATTGGCGCCCAAACTAAGAACACTATGCGCTCGATCTCGAGTAGACGGATCTTTGATCAAAGTCCAAGGTTTTTCAGATTGAATGTACTGATTGCCAATTCGGCTAATATTCAGAATGATTTTGATTCCATCTCGTAATCGAACTCTGTTCATTGAATCAATAAAGACTAGCAGTTCGCGATTCAATTGAACCAACAATTCTTGATCGGATGAGGTCAATTTTATTTCACCAATTGTTGCATCAAAATTGTTGGACAAAAATGTCAATACTCTATTTAGGAAATTGCCCAGGTTATTCAACAATTCGGTATTGTTCTTGGCCATTAAATCATTCCAACAAAACGTTGTATCTTGATTTTCTGGGCGTACGTAGAGCAAATAAAATCTCCAAATATCTGATGGAATTCCTGTTTCACGAACAGAATCCCCAAATACGCCAATACTACGACTTTTGGAGAATTTGCTATCTTCATAGTTAAGATATTCAACTGCTGGGATATGTGATACCATTGACCATTTTTCATGAGTCGCTAATAACGTACTAGGAAAAATGATCGCATGGAACGTTACATTATCTTTAGCAAGAAAATTATATGATTCAACATTGTCAGGGTCTTTCCACCATTTTTCCCATTGTGGACAAAGTTCGGCAGTAATTGATATGTAACCGATTGGAGCATCAAACCAAACGTAGAAAACTTTATCAGTATAACCGTCAAGCGGAACAGGAATACCCCATTTTAAATCTCGTGTAATACAACGTGGTTTAAGACCTTCTTTAATCCATGAATTTGTTATTACTTTTGCAGTTTGTGACCAATAATTTTCCTTTTTCAGTGTTTCATCTAGCCATTTTTCTAATTTCGGCTGAATTTTTGGTAAATCTATGAATAAATGTCGAGAACTTTTGATAACTGGAGGTGATGAACATGTTTTGCAGCGAGGTTTTTTCAATTCGATTGCATTGATCAATTTTCCACATTTATCACATTGATCACCACGAGCGTCTTCGTAGGCACAAAACGGGCACACACCTTCTACGAAACGATCTGCCAAAAATTTAGGACATTGTTCACAATACAATTGTTCGATTTCTTCTTTGATTACATAGCCATTTGCATATACTTTTTTGAAGATTTCTTGAACAATCCGCGTTTGCGTTTCAGTCGATGTTCGACCAAAACGATCAAATCGAATATTGAACCATTTATAAACATCATCATGTAAAGCATGATATTTATCACAAATTTCTTTCGGACTTAATTTTTCTTCCTGAGCTTTATTCTCGGTAGCCGTACCATATTCATCAGTACCACAAATATAAAGAACATTATCGCCACGAATTCGACAGTAACGAGCAAATACGTCACCGCTTAAAGTACAGCCGATTATATTGCCCAAATGAGGAACATTATTCACATACGGCAAAGCACTGGTGATCAAAGTGTTACGTTCACCGGGAACTGGAATTTTGTTTGGATTAGATATATCAGGTTCTTTCCAGTGAACAATATCATCACGCAAAAATTCCTGTGAAGCTTCGGCCAACTCATCCTTACTTATCTCTAACGACATATTTCCAGATACAACACTAATAATTAAAAAAATGGAAAATTAATCGATGTGAACAACGTGAATGCAAAAAGTGGATTGATTAAGTGCAATATCCAACTAAACACGAGGCAATAAAATGCGCTGATGCAAGGAAAGCCGTGGCAGAATTGAGAAAGACAATTGATAACCTGCAACATATAAACTGATGATTACATCGAATTTGATGTGGCTTAATCAACACAGATAGATACAAGTAAACAATGATAATGAATACTTTTCAATCTTGTGATTAAATTTTATCAATTTTGATATCATTTTTATTACCATACAAGAATATATTAATAGAAATTTAATGAATGTGTGATCGAAATCGAAAAATTTTCCAATATGTTGCAAGCGAAAAACTTTGATTCATAATTTTACACAAAAAAATACGAATGGAAATACTGCGAAAAATATTGTTAGTTTATTCGATTATTTGTCATTTATCTTTATCATCCTCACCATCCTAATCATCGCTTTACAATCATTCATTACAGTAGCAGTAGTATGAATTCACCGACAACGTAAAATTCATTGTGCTACATTTTGGGCAATAATGCTTAATGCCATTTTTGAAAACAATTAACTTCGATATATACCATCATCCAAATTGCAGAAGTAGCTCATTGAACGATGACATATCCTTACTCATCTAATCATAATCATACAATGACACCGTTTAATGTACATAATGATCATGATGATCTATCTGAAACAGAATTTCTCAAAAATGCAATAGCTACCCATACTAAATATGGTAGTACAAATTGTAACTTTGGTCAACAAAATTATCGCTTCATAACTCATTATATCGAACCAACTGATACGTTACAAGGTCTTGCATTAAAATATGGATGCAAGGTAAGCATTGAAATTTTTAATATTTTTAATTCTAAAAATTTTTGCATTCAATACCGGATATCGTAGATTGAAAATATAAAAAAATTCAATAAACTTTTTTCAGATGATAACAATCATCTTCGGTCACGTTTTTCCATATTGATACCTATTGAAACTGAAACAAAGATTCAATTCGAATCAGACCTATCATCATCGCAATCTTCATCATCTAGTCTTGATCGATTCAAACAAATTCCGAATGATCAACCGTCATCTAATAGCCATCCAATATCTTCATCAAGTCCAAAATTCGAATATCGAAATTCACAAAGTTTCGACAGCGTTCGAATCGCCAATCGTGATAATAAAGCCAACAAAGATTCGAAATTGACGAATAAATCCATAAGCTTTAGTGATAAAAATCATCTGAATAAAGATGATGAAAGTGTTGCCGATTTTCTAATACGGATTGATAGCTCAATAGCTCGAACAAAAAATCAAGTAGAAAATCTTTCAAAACGTGTTTCCAGTGATATGTCGATTGAAAATGAATTGAATCGAATAAATTCAAAAAAATTTAACCCACCTTCACGAATACTGTCATCATCGACATCGTTTCGTGCATCATCGAAATCAAATTCCAATTCCAACATATTTGATCAACATCAGGATAATGTACCACACGTTACTGTTAATCGTAATAAAAAAATTAAATCCTCACTAAAACGTTTGGAAAAATCTCAAGAAGAGATTTTTGAGTTGTGATTTCTATTTTACCATTCATTCATATGCCAAGCAATTATGTTGGCTTCTGCATCTGTTCTTTTTTCTTCAATTGCTTATTTGTAACAAAATTCTCACAATTTATGCCTAAGTTTGTTGTTGATATTTATAAAAATTCAAAACTCGCTGATTTAATAGGAAAAATTAGACATTTTTGAATAAAAACTAATATTTTAATGAAAAAAAAAACAAAACCAATGTAATATGCTGACATATATTCAAATGTTCAGTGATTGACAAAAAAATGAGTGATCTGTGAATTTAAAAAAATTTATAAATTATAATAAACAATTTAATTTTGACGACGAATGAATGAGTATAAATGGTTTGATTAAATCACAAATTTTTCGTAACATTTTTATCCAATTTTAATTCAATCTCGTTGAATGTGTTGAGTATTTGAGTCAAAAAAGTCAACAATGTTTGATCACGCAAAAATGATTCCATCTCATAGTGTATCTGTAACAATTGCGGACGAAGTAGTATTTTCAGGAAATATGGTGTTAGTTTATGATCTCTATAAAAAAAATTGATTAAAAAATAAAATGGACAAATAATAATGCAAATACCTCAGTGATATGAATATGAATAATTGAAATTTCATGTCTTTACCATAGGTGTCTGCTTTGCTTGAAATGTCATCAATTAGTCGAATAAAATCATGATGAGTGGGATCCTTTGAATTCGATAGTTTTAATTCGCATTGTACACGAAGAAGATAATCCCATAAGAATGTTTGCCGACGAAATGAACGACGATTTTTGAAACCATAATAAAAAACTTGTGTGATGATCGATAGAAATTTTTTGGGACCAAAAAACAAACTAATCATATTTACATTACTCATCGAATTCTTCTGACAACGGCTTATTTTGCTCAATGTTAAAGAATTGGAAATTCTTTGGTGATATAGATTAACAGATTTTATGTTTTTGTTTTGTATATCGGTCGGAGTATTTTGATGGCGATTTTTTTCGCTAAAATATAGTTTCATAATCTGATTAATCGATTCTCCCAATGATGATTGCAAATCTTCGATCGAGTATCTATCCTCTTTAGAATTATTTGTTTCACCGCTGCGGGACCAATTGCGACCGATCGATGATGATCGTGAATGACTGGCACGTTTAATATGATCATTGATTGTGCCGGTAACCGGTTCACCAATTAACATACGCTCGGTTGAACCATCTTCCATATTCTTTCCCAACCATTTGCCACATTCGAATTTGAACAATGCATTTGTAACATCGTTGCGAATGAAACACTTTTCAATAAACACTTTATGATTGGTTTTGATGGATACAGACATTGTAAAGATATAACCGAAATTCTTGTGTCGAAATGTAAAATGTTCGTGTTTGTTATCAATCACAATTGGTTCTGTAGTATGATTCGATAATCCAATTATCGAAATTGATCCAGTAAAAGAAGTTGCACAAATAACCAATGTATAAGGTAATGTACTAGTTGTAAATGTATTGGTGAAACAGGAAAGATCTACGGCGTTCAAAGTCAATAAATGTGTAAGAAATTGTTCCCGTTCATCTTCACATCGTAGGAATGCATAGCGTTTATACAAAGATTGTAGTAATTCTTGATTAAACAATAAAGTTCGCAAATGTTTACTCAATAATTTTCGCTCCAATGCTAATCGTATGAAAGCTCGACTTTTACCAACATCAGTTTTAATATCGGTCATATCACAAATTGATTTGTAATCATAAGACAATGTCGATGGAATCGATCGATAGAATGCCGAAGCTGTTAAAGCCGATGTTGATTTACGCTGCGAAGACAAAAATGTACTTTGGTCCAATGATAACTGTGACAGAGAATCGATTCGCTTTTTAATGGATATCCAACCGACTAGACTTTCCTGGTCGTCGTTGGTCGATGAATTATCATCGTTATATTCGATCGAACTGGAATGATTTAATCGATTAGATGTTGAAGGCAACGATAAAGGCGATGTTGTTTTAAGATTGTTTTCATTCAATGAAACTTGAAAATAAGCTGTAATGTGGGCCCAAAATGGACACCGATTCGTCTGACTACTGTCAATATTACTGTCTTGTATGCGAGCATGTGACCATATTCTTTCAATTAGATCACAAAGTGTTGCTATTAATGTGTTGTCTTCTTGTGTATTGATAGTTGGACTTGTTGCTGATCCAACTTCATCCGATCCCATTTTGGCTAGTAAAATTCGTTTGGTTTTATTCCTGACTTCTTTAAGAAGAGTTTCAACTACTTTCCAATTGGTTGGCCCGGTCAATGCAACTGGAATCTGTTTTGAAGGTGATGCTATAATTGAATTTTTTGCCACAATTTTTAAATTATTTACAGAAGGGGTTTGAGTTCGTTTTTTGAACGGTGAAAATGGAGTCGATGCAGCAGATAGACAGCTATTTTGATAACTAAGTTCTTCGAGTTCAACCAAGTTAACAATTTGTGCGCTCTGATATCGGGCATCAATAAGACTTTGCCAATAATCCAATGAATCAGTTTGATCATAATCATCATCAATGGTAAAATAGAATGAATCAGCCATGTTCATAGCTTCAGCTTCATATTTTTGTTTCTTTAACGAAGCTTTACCAGCCTCGTCAATAAACGTTGCAAACATCTGTGTTTCAACAAAATTCTGCAAAAATGGTCGCATAGTTAAAGGCTGATCTGACAGGTAGGATACTGTATCGAATTTCACCTGTTCCTTCGAATCAGGTACACACATGATGTAATGTTGATAATTGTTCAAGATGCATTTTTTTATTTTGTTGAAGAATAGCATACGAATACTTTGATTGAGTTTCACTTCATCTAAGCAGGTAAATTCATCGTCAACGACATTATAACGGTGAGCTAGTTCCGATACACGCTTTAATGCTTCACTTTTTGGCTGATCCGAATACATGAGTCTTGTGTCACCAGCAAACAAATCGGTCAAATCATTACGCAATTCTTCTATAAATGGAGGTATATGAAATTCACTCGAATCTACATTGAGTTCAAGATTTTTACTATCACAATCAAAATAACAAGCCATTCTTTTAGGTTTGATAAAATTTCGTAAACGAGAATTGATTCCCATAATAAATGGGGTTGGTGCATCCAGATAGTGGAGACCAAGTTTACTTGGCAGAATCGGTACATAAACGTGTTGCCATTTAAATGGATTCAATAGAGTTATCAGACATTCGGAGACTAACATTAGATTATAATATGAGTCACTGACGATCAAAACTTGGAATTCATTCAAAGCACAGCTGAACAATAAAAGTAAATTTTCGATTGTAATGACTTTGGTTAACAGTAAGCGAAATGAATAGTCAAATAATGGATATACATTGAGAGGTCGGAACAAAATTACAGTGTCAGCGGTTTCTAATGTTTTGTCGAATGATGAACTGAAATCATCCATGTTTTTCAAACTTTTGAGATCGGGCAAATGAATTATGACGAATCTACCTTTTTGTGGAAGTCGAATATTTGTCAAACATCGAAGCCAACGTGGATTACAACCACCTTCATTAACACACCATTCTAATAATTTTTTAAGCTGATCAACCAAAGGTCGAATAGTCAATGCAACTAAAGCTCGACTAATGTAAACAACTTTATGTTCATCAGTTTCATGGCTACGAGCAATTTGTTTCAATCCGAATATATAACTTCCGCCATAGATTCTTTGGCCACTTTGAACAGTGATCACAAATGGATGAAACGTCGGCTTGATGGGATCAGATTTCATGAAAGGGCCGTCAGGCATAGCCAATAACGCTAACGAACTATCATCTACAGATGAGCAATCATCAATTTTCAAACTGACGTTTATTTTACCATCCATGGTTCCATCGAGAATCGTTACCTGCGATAGCATTTTTAGCCTTTCTCCTCTATGAATTAAAGAAATTTTAAGTGAAAAATCGATCAAAAAAGGCATAAATTATAATACTTTCGATTTGATCTGCGTGGACTGGCTGGAATACCCATTTCGGATGTTTTTGGCGATGAAGTGGCCATTAATCAAATGTTGTTCAGATGGATCAGAATTGTTTTAGCTTGACAACATTATAATTATATTATGGCAAGCAACATTTTGCAATCTTATAAATTATGATTTTTGATGAAGCAAAACAAACAATTTCTTTGTTTTCATCTCGAAGCTTTATTTTGGTCATGCAATTTATTGCTTCAAAAGTTCCAGCAAAATCTGCTCATAAAGAACGAAACATTCCGTGCGCGCGTTCATTTTCATTTTCGTTTGAAATTTACGAAATTAAATTACCATGGTGATCAATTTCGTTTTCTTTTTCCACTGTTGGTCGATAAAAAATTGTCAATCATCATCAAACAAAATCGTCATAATAGATTTCAATGATTTCGTTTAGTGTTATTATCGCTGAATATTGTTAGTTTAAATTCAATTTAGTTTGAAAAAAATGGAGACTCTAAAATCGGCACGACCTTTAACAAGCAGACCTTTAACTTCTGCCCATCAAAATATAACCAATACAGGTCTGATTGCACCGAAATCATCAAGAGGTAAAACTGCTCTTCGAAGACAGATTCAAGACAAAAGCTATTTTATTGGATTACTACGAATGAAAATAAACGAATTGAATGCGGAAAACAATTCATTGCTTCGAGAATGTGAAATCATGACAAAAGAAGAAGCTCGAATAGGTGTGTATCGACAAAAGGCTGAAACTTTTGCTCGTGAATTGAACGACCTAACTTTGGAATTGATGACCTACAATGAGTTTGTCGATCGTACAAGAATCGATGACGAAATGTCAGCCGTCAAAGATGATACCAATGAAATTAAACATGAAAATGAGGCATTGATTGCTAATGTGAGTATTGCGCAATAGTTTTCCAATTAAACTAAAAATATTTGTTTGTGAGGATATAGCTTGAAAACGATTATGCCAAGTTACGAGATCTTGAGAATGTTATCAAACGAAACGATGAAAAACTCAAAGAAGTTCAAAAGCTGATTAGTATAGTTAAAAACAAGTTCAGTGAAACGCAGATAAAGGAATTTGATCTCATGCAAACTATGAACAATGAATTGACTAAGGAATGTCATCTACTTGAACAAGAAATAAGCCTTTGGCGAATGAAAAAGAATGAAATCGAAGAGAAAACCGTTAGGGATGGAAACATCATGAAAATGGAATTGATTAAAGCAATTACAAAACTCAGAAATCTAGAGAAGCAAAAGAATAAATTATTGAATGCAGAAGATTCGGAAGAGAATGAACGCAAGCATCTTCTTGCCCAAGTAAAACGTGACAATAATTATATTAATTCGTTGACCAATCAAATGGAACAATTGAATACCAGTCTAAATCAAATCAAAAGTGAAATCGAATTTTATAAAGATGGAGATAAATTACTTAAATTTTCCGATCTACGACAACAAGACAAAATCTTTGATGATTTCATGATCGACTATAATAATCGAAAGCGAACATTAATTGATGAACTTGAAACGATCAATCATGAAATCAATGATACGACCAATAAATTATCACGATACCTTAAGTATTTGAATATTATCAAACGAATGCGTAACGATACAAATAGTGTGTATGATATGTCGAACGAAATTATCATACAGAAACGAAAACTCGAATTGGAAATTTACAAAAACACTCAAGCAAAAGAAAAAGCCGAACTGGAAAAGGAAACGTTATCGGCACGTATCTCTAAGCTAAATGAAGGAATAAAATCCTATTCGGATGTCGCAGGATTAAAATCCCAGGTCGAATCAAAACTCAAAACTGTTAAACAGAATTCAGAAACCGTACGAGGTGTGATACAGTCATTAAAAATCGATAAGGATAAAATGGCAAGTGAAGCAAAAGAAATTGAATTGAAAATGGAAAAAGATGATAATCATAGGCAAATAGTTGCGCTGGAAAAAGAATTGAGTCAAATATTGCTTATCAATAATAAGTTGAAAGAGAATGACAACAGCCAAATGATAAGCGAGATGAAAGCAATGATATTGGATAATGTGAAAAAATATAATCAAAGTTTGATAGGATTTTGAATGGCAAATAAAACGGATGTTTATTAGTAATCATTTTTATATTATTTTTTAAAATTATCAATACAAAAAAAATTCATTCAATTTTTATTTCTTTTGTCCTTTTTCGGCAGCAGCTTTTTTCGATCTTTCCAATTTGTACTCCTTGTATTTACGGAGTTTAATGCCCAACAATTGGGTAGCTTTGTCCAGAGCTTTTGGGTCGACTTTTTCGCCAGCTTTGCGACGGCGAAGAATTTCTCTTGCACGTCGTCGTCGTAGATTATTTGCTCGAGCTTGTGTTTTCAAAATCCATGAATATGGATTCAATCGTCGCATGACCAACGGGTTTCGTAGCGGATTCCTCTTCACAGAACGTCGAACAACTTGCGTGCTGTTTTTCAGAAAAGAAAAAAGTTAAATAAATAAATATATTTTACAATGCATAATTTGATATCCAAAATGAATCAGAACTATGTAAAAAAATGTTATCATACTCGAAATTCAAAACCCAGTGGTTACATCATTTATCATGGTGAATCGAATATAAATAAAACAAAATACTTACATTCGTGGTCGAAGAACGCTTTGAATTTCATCGCATTTCAATAAACGAGACAAATCAGTATTGGCCATTTTTGGCTGTGGTAACGTGTAATCACGTTTTTGTTTTGATTCGGCTTTCCACGTTCCATAAATTTCGTCTAATTTGCGGAAGGCGCTTTCAGTCCAAATGATAAAGCGACCAACGTGTCCACCAGGTGCCAGTCGTAAAAGATTAAGTTTTTCGACATTCATCAATTCCACACCAGGAATATTACGGAAAGCTCGTGTCAATCCGCTATCAGTTCCATAAACAATGACCGGGCCAAGTCGTTGAACGCGGCGACGGTTACGCATTTTACCTTTACCAGCGCGGAAATGTTTTGATCGATGAACACGTTCAATGTCACTCCAGGCATTGACTTTTTTGAGAAATTCAACAGCTTGTTTGGTTTTGTTCAATTCTTGGACTTTATCCGAAACGACCAATGGAAATTCCGGCACCTCATTAACAACATGACCTTTGCTCATGACGATGGATGGAACACCTGATGCCGCAATAGCTGAAACGACAGCATATCTACGTTGATTGCGATTAACTTTTCGATACCAACGTCGCCAGACACGAATAGGACCAAACATTCGACCACCACGACACATGTTTCCGAATGCAGCTTGACCAGATCGATGGGTTCCACCACCACGAACACGAGGAATACGAGCTACAGCTCGACCAGTACCCCAAGATTCAGCACTGGTTTGATGACCTAATATTGGATAAGAAAACATTGATTACTCACAAAGATTCAATCAAGATGTGGTGAATGAAAATTAAAAAAAGCTCAGACAATAACCACGAGGGCATTTTGATCATTATTTTACTCATAAACACGGACCAAAGTTTTATCATCATAAAAAGCTACTCAAGTAAAAATATTGACAAATAAATTTACCTGCATCTCTAGAAACAGCATGAGGTTGGCGACGATTCTTGCGGATGTTTGTATGAACATAATTGACAATGTCCGTACGGATCGGTGCACGAAAGACGGCTGGCAATTTGATTGTTGTGCCAGTGCCTTCGTTTTTTTCGTTGTAAACAGAAATTAATGGACGATAGGCTGCTGTAGCCTGTAAAATTACAAAACAAAAAAATAATTTTATTGGACGCAACAATTAGGCCCGAATATCTTACCATTTCAATTGATAAACCAGAGGAAAACAACGAGAAATGAAAAAATCAACCAAAAGGCTACACGTGAGTGTTGTGCGAAAAGGAAAAGAGGAAGAACAGCGTTGCGGGAAGTTAAGCTTAAAGCTGACAGCAACACGACTGAAAGCATGATGCGCACACGCATTCACAAACACTTTATTTTTTTGTTTTTCAAAACCGTTCATAAACGAGGTTCAAAAAAAAACTAAATCAATTTCAATTGATTCAAATTTTCAAAAACTTAATAAATCCTTATATAATTGACCAAACAATTAAACAACATCTGAATTTCAAGACAGAAAAAAATGTTCGATTCAATTTTATTCAAATAAATTTGAAATATTATCGTCGCGTATATATATGATACAGCTAAAAATGTCAAGATTGTATTTTATTGTATGTTGTATAAAACAAGCAAAAATTGAATGAAAAATTGAAGAAATAAAAAGCAAAAAAATAGAAAAATATAAATATTGGCGTATTCAAATCTTTGAAGTTTTCGTTTTGACGCCTTTCCGAATAGTCAATGAAGAACGTGACAAAAAAAATGATGTATAAGTCGTTGTTGTATATCTTTTGTTTTGATAAAAAGAAAAAGATGTTATTAAATAGTGAAAAAAATGAGTAGATATAACAATACATAAAAAATGATAATAGAAATAGGAAAAAAGATTAAGCAATTATATACAAGCCATAGTAATTGAAAAAAATGGGTAAAAAGTTGAATGACAAAAAGATGATAAAAAATAAACGAACAAAAAAGCCCTGAAATAGTGCTGAGCAAATAAAACAAAATGAACTTAAATTGTACAATGAATTGAATTAAATGAATAAATGAACACAAAAAATTGTTGAAAATTAATTAGGAAGGAAAAAACAAAATTGTATGATCCAAAGATGAAATGCTGCAACATAAATTGGATTTTCGTGGACAACCATTTATTGATATTCTTCAACAGGATTCCATTCCATGTATATTCATGATATTGTTGTTATTTGGTTTCATGGCATTCAAATCTTTCATCAAGTTATCCAGATTGGCCATCTCTTGATGCAAATCATCCTGATTAAAACTCGCCTTTTGAATGAAAAATCAGAAAATATGGTAAACAAACAAATAATAAAAATTTGATATATTTACCGAAATTGAATGATCATCCGAGAAATTTGTAACCGATTTACCATTGCTTGCCAATGTAGAATTGCTACCGCATATGTTATTATTTGTATTTAAATTATTAGTCGTGGTAAGCAGAAATTTTTTACTTGGACTAGCCATGGATGACAGGGAACCTGTTTAAATTTTTCAAAATTAAAAAGTCAACTATTTGAACCATTAGCAATGAGAAACGACTCTTACTGTTATAAATGCTATTATGTGAATTATTTTGCATGCCTCCCAAGGTAACTAAAGAAGGCAACGGTGGTGGTGGCGTAGGTACGCCAAAACTTTTAAGCGCCGAATGTGAAACAGTATTACCGGATGCTGTAGGGACCATCATCGATGATGGTTTCTGTGGCTGACGGCTATTCGATAAATATATCGAAGTGTTGGGAGGACTGGTAGAACTATTTGTTATGTTCGATGTACCGGTAGATGAATTAGTCAATACAGTATTGTTCGAAATGACTGAATGTGGTGATGAAGAGTTTCCCGAAGACATGTATGAATTAGATGAATTCACACTATGGCCAATCTGATTTTCATGCATATTAGTCAATGCAATATGATTGCTACCAGAACCTGGTACTGGATCATACAGATGATGATGATGATGTTGATGAAAGGCAGCGGCCATTGCACTGGCAGAATCCATTGTATCCATTGGATGTGGAAGATTGAATTGATTTGTTTTAGGATACAGTGGACGTGATAGACCAGTTGAAGGCTCCATGTTCATCATACTATTTAATAACGAATGATCCATACATGTTGATGTTTTTGGCCTTATTGATGATGATCGACGCATGGTTGCCATGCCCATATTATCAATAGGTGATGATGGACTTTTGCTATGTATGTCATCATATAATCCTGTATTCATACCATACGTTGAATTGGTCTTTTTGATTTTGGCAAATGGTTGTTCAACATTATTTTTGACTGATAATGCAACACTGCCACCGTTTGAATCATTATCACCATGATTTTTGTCTACCAATTTCAATTCCAATTGTTCATTGTGATGAATCCAAAGATCAGGGGGTTTTTCTAACATACCACCCATACTATTATTACGAATATTATTCATCCTAGAATTAGTATTCTTACCACTAGGACTAGTGGCCGTTGGTATATAACCTTTTCGGTTTTTTGCCATCGTTTCATTATTTTTATTATTTTTAGATAGATAAATTTTCATTATGGCAACAAGAAATATAACCACCAGAATAAAGATGATAATAATGATCAAACTGAATAGATTAACTGAAATAACGGAACCTGAAAATTGAAGATCAAAGATCAGGAAAATGAAAACAATAGAAATCATATGACATATGATGAATAAAAAGCAGAAATAAGAAGAGATAACTTACCGTTGATTGTATCCGTTTTCATCGTTGCTATAGAATGTAACAAACATTTTACACATGGTTGAAATAATTAATTATTGATAGCCAAAATATATAAAGATTCCAGAAACATTGACAAATGATGGCCATAATGATGAAAGTAAGTTATTGGAATAGTAAAAAAAGATAATCATTAGGACAAACACATATAGTGGAATGCAACAAAAAAAAATATGAAAAAGAACAATTATGATGAATAATTCATTGCATAGATTACTTTATCCATGTGAATGAAATTGTCTCGAATTAACAGCAAAATAAAATGCAAAAAAAAATTTCAATATATTAATTGGAAATCTCAATTTGATCAACAATAACAACAAAAAAAATCGATCGATGTTCCTTTTTTTCGGGCAAGAAAAAAACTCAATTTAAATGATCATCGGATGTTTTCTCAAAATTTATCGTCAAAATTTTCTTTCAATAATAATAATGAGTCATTAAGATATTGAAAAAAAAGAAATCGATTTAAGCAATTCGATGAAAGAAAATTTTAATGGCAAAACAAAAATGCAAAGCAGTGAAGCCTATATTCGAATGGAAATGATGCATTATTTAAAGACCAATGTTGTTTTCAAAAGATGATAGCGTGTCAACATCCTCATAATGATAACGAATGAAAAAAATAGATATAAATATGTTGAAAGAAAAGAATGAAAGAAAGGAACAGGAAAAGACCTAGATTAAAAGGTCCATGGCACTTCATAAATCAAATATGGCCTTCTAGCTAGGAAGCAAGAAAAATGGACAAAAAAAAAGAGTAAATCCGAAACGAAAAGAAACACATCAAGCATCTTCTCACTCTTTTCATATATGGAAACAATAAAATGTTTCCCTGTTTTTTTCCTTTTCTAATTCTGGTATACATTTCTTATCGATCCAATCGAATTTTTTTGCGCTTCATCATCATAATGCGAATGATGATTCGGGTAATAACAACAACAACAACAACAACCAAAAAGCTACTATAAACGAATGTATATTAATTGAACAAGTCAAGAATGATTCTATGAGATATGAATAAAATGCGAACATCATCTATAACGAAAATGGTAATATTATTACTATTTCATACTATCAGACAATTAATTTAGAATTGAATACAAAGGAAAATGATCTAGAGCAAGATCATATCACACGATTGATTAATTGAATCGTAAATAAGTTGTTGTTGTTGTTGTTTGTTGTCGTTATTGTCCTAAATATAACGCATAACAATAACAAACATATAAACAAAAAAAGAAAAGAAAATTTCATTCATTGATAGCTAAAATGTTCGAAGCAAATTAAAATAGCCTTATATTCTATATGTGTTTGTCATTATTTAGATTGGTACTTATTTCTAAAGAAAATAAAAATCGATACTATGACAAAAAGTTGAGTCATGTAAACAAGTAAAGTGAATGAACTAAGAAATAAAATTGATGATAAATTACCGGGTAATGTACGAAATGAAACTTCGGAAGATAAGGGTCCATAGCCTTTGTTGTTTCGTGCCTGTATCTTGAAATAATAAACACTAGATGATTGTAAACCAGTCAAAATTGCATTTAATTTGTCTTCGGTTATAACTTTGACGATCCAATTACGGTCCTCTTGTGTGTTGTCCTGCGTGTAGAATATTACATATCCAGTAATCTGACCGTTTGGCTGTTTAGGTGGTTGCCAATGAAGATTTATTGAGGTCGGATCATCATTCGATGATGGAACGATTGTCAAATCTCTGGGAGCGGTGGATGGTACGGCTTCGTGAGTGGTATTCACTACGGCCATACTCCACGTACTATTACGTTTATTTTTGATTACTTTGACAGAGAATTCATATTGAGTGTTTGGTTTTAAATCTTCAACCAAAAAGGTTCGTTTTGTGGTATTAGCATAACGATATCGAGGTGAATTTGAATGAATACTGTTTGTATAACGGATCAAATACCAACGATTGTCAGGATGTATGATTGTATCGCGAGAAGCATCTGTCCAATCTAAAACGATGGCAGTTGATGAGATGACTTTTGTTTTTAAGCCTATCGGTGGTAGCATTACAAATTGATCATCTTTATCCAGATCATAAGTTATTTTGATCGTTTCATATATTGGCTGACCTTCGCCACGTAGATTATATGCGCGCAAACTTATTACATATTCTGTTGAAATGGTTACATTTTCGATCGTATATGATCGTTGATCACCTTGTACACGCCATGTCCATCGATCGGGTACCCCTTCACCCCAGCCGACCGTATAGCCACGTACAACAATGTTTCGATTTTTAGGCGGTGTCCAAGATAAATGTATTGAATTACGGTCTTGTTTCAAACGTAACGAACCAGGTTGATCAGGTACTTGTGTTTCATCAAGATCTCGTTGCAAAGTTTCAACGGTAAACCATTCAGTGTATGGTCCAGTTTCATTACCGTAGATTGCAGCTAATTTGATCTGATAACTAGTAGCTTTTTCTAGATTTTTAAGCTCATGATGATAATTGGATGAATCAAGCGCAATAGTTTCCTGTTTTTTGCTGCCTTTCAAACGAAATTTTATCTTATAGCCCTGTGGTTCTTCCAATGGAGATTGCCAATGAATTGAAATAGATGTCGTTGACAATGATCGAACGGTTACATTTAACGGTTTATTCGTATATGATGGATCAAACATCATATCAAAATCCATTTCATTTTCACCGCCATTACCAAAATTTTGATCAATATCTATAAAATTAATAAATAAAAAGAAAAAAAACGAATATCAATTAGATTTGAAACAATTCAGTAAAAAAAAGAACGGCTTGAGAAAGAATCAAAGATGAATAGACCAACTAGATAGTTGACTTGAATAATTTTTTATTCTATTTTTCTTTTGATAAATGATGATGTTCATTCAAACAAAATAGAATGAATCAAAACTCCATTAACAAACCGAATCTGACAAAGAAATGATTCGATTATTAATGTATTTTTGTTATTAATGTTATTTAATTAAAAAAAATGGTAATAACCAACAAAAGTTTTATATAAGAGGTAAATGAAAACATCTTTTTATCTGTCATAGCAGAAAAAGAAAAACAGGAATAAAATTTACATCACTTCAGTTAAACTGAAACGTGCTTAATAATAGTGTTTGCAGTGAATTTTATTCACTGGAAAATCTTTGATCATTGAAATTTATGGCCCAAAATAGAAAAAAAGAATTTAATAAAAAGGATTCTTAATGACGAAGAAAGATTTCGATTGATGATATGTTCAAATTGAAATATGTGATTAACTCAAGTGAAAAAAAAACATAGCCACTTCAATGTTTGCAGAATGAATGTGAATGAAAATGAACAAAAATAAAACGACAAGATACTAATATGATTTGAGAAATTAAGAATCAGAATAAATGAGTTTTTTTGCTTTATTTTCTTAGGAATAAGAAGTAAATTATTGCAAGATGAAGGGAAAAAGAATTCTCAACACGTTGTATACTAGGAGTACGAGTCAATTTATTGAATAAATTTATTGTCATCAGTGAACGAGTTAACAGTTAAGTGAACATCATCATCATCATCATCATCATCATCAAGAAATAAAAATCATGGATCATCATTGCAAATTCATTTGAAAGTATAATTATTCGCATGGATGAAATTCGAAAAAAAGAACCTGAAACTTTTGGTTTCCGACAAAAAAAGAAATAATACCGACAGTATCGCCATCATCATCTACCAAAAAGTTTCACACATAATCGGGTCATTTTCATTTTTTTTCGCTATCTTTTTAGTTCATTCATAGTGGTGGTGAAATTCACAAGCAAACTCAGTATATTATAAAGATAATTAATTAACTGTTAATTTACCAGGCAAACGTTACAAAACAAAAGCAATATGAAAGGTATGTGCACATTATCATCATCATAATACACACTTTTTCATTCATTCATTCCAAACACACACAATAGGACACCATGGTGGTATTAAGGAATCCATTCATTTGTTATCGTTGTTTATTGGGTGTTTCATAAAGCAACGAAAAAAAAACTGTGAACAAAATCTCATTAACATAAACAACAAAGAATTGGTAAAACGTTACATTATTGTTCGGTTGAACCTGCTGGAATCCATTATGATGATGGACCGGAATTTATTTCACATTCATTTGTTCGATCAGTGGTTGGTTGGTTGGTCGATCGGTTGAATGGCTAACACAATTTATAATCACCATCATCATCACATATTTATAAGAGTGAAAAAAAAGCGTGAAGAAGATAAATATTTTTTTTTCATTATTGTACGACTAGGATCATCATAACATTTGAGGGGAAATTTTTTTTTGAAATCGATTCATTCAATCAATCGATCAACAACGAAAAAAAAAATAAAGAATGGTATCAGCTTTGCTTGTTCGTTGAACCGTTTCATTTGAAAAAGTTTTCGATTTTGTCCTAAATAAATGGATGTTGATGGTAAATGATGGTATTCAATAACCAAACATCTACACACAAACGATTTATAAATTGTGGCATAAAAGAATGTCAAATGTCGTTTGTTAATACAAATGCCATATACGGGCTAAACGATTCGATTTCATTTCGAAATCCATCAATTTATAATAATTTTGCTTTCTCGGGAACAAAAAAAAATTATTTTGGAAAAAAAGGAGAGACATCTCATTATGAATTATTCAATTTTATTATCATTTTTTCCCTTGATTTTTATCCATCATTCTCTTTTTGATTTTCATTTTATAATTCATATAAAATAAAAAAACACACACATACAATGATTGAATATCTATTACACATCCTGATGATTGTTGTTTAGATGGGAAAATGGAAATAAATAAATTCTTCGTTTTGTTTGTTCGGTTGCTTTTATTATTATCATTATTATGGCATAGTAATGACAGAATCGTTTTCATTTGGTCACGGAACATCAACTTGAACGATCATGGCCATTGGTTTTTTTCTCCAATATTACATGTTATCCTTGAAATTTTAGGATTCTTATTTTCACCATCATAAAAATGTTTGTATGTGTGTGTTTTAATATTTTCAATATATAAAAATAAACTGGCCAAAATTTGATGATGATGATTATATGGTCGATTAAGAGGAAAATGATTCTGAAAAAAAACTTAAGCTATAAAAAAACCCCTAAAAAGGAAATGACTTTTTTAAGGCCGGTTGTAATCAATTTTCATGCTGAAGTTGTGGTTGGCTAAAATTTATCGTAACCAAATTCTGTGAATAACGCAAGTATGTTTGAACAGCAACCAGAAAAAAAATCTCATTGTAACTTGGCTGTTACATTGTTTGATAACTAAAAAGTAGGAAAAAATAACAAAAATCATCACCGATAAGAAAAATTTAATGTAATTAAAATTCAATCGATCAGACAAAAGGTGGTGGTGGATTTTTTTCTGTAAAAAAATAATAATTCCTGGTTTATCTTTGGGTATCGGGATTTTTTTTTTGAACAAATTGAACCAAAAAAATTTGACTGCTGATATTTGAATTATGTTAGGAACAAATAGGAAAAAAACCATTGTGGGTAAATTTTTTATTATTCAAAAAAAAAAGAAAAGAAAGATCCGAGATAAAGGCATCGACCAAATGGTGAAAAGATAACAAATTTTTCTTTTTCCACCCCACATATCTAGCCCCTACTATTCGTTCAATCATTATTATGGTGAATTTAAATTTTTTTTTTTGAATGAAAAATAAAATGCCATCATCATACATGTAAGCATTGACTAAACAGGCCATTCATCTTTTCATTGATGCATCATCGAAACGATATTATTGTTATTCAGTTGAACCAGAAAAACAAAAGCAAAAAAATAAATTATGCTGACATGAACATAAAAATAAAAACAAAAAAAACAAAAAATTCGCTTCCTATCCTATAAGAAGATATTGGTCCCGGTTTATATACACATGGTTGAATTTGTTCGATTTGATTAATAATTAATTGTTATTTGAAAAGAAAAAAAAACGGTGAACAACAATGATTTTGTTCAGCAACGATGATGACATGAATTTGGACAAAAAAAAATGATGAAGAAAATGATGCTACGAACAACATCATTATTCAAGAAAACAAAACAAAACCAAAATCAAAAACCTTAAAGAATTTTTCATATGTTTGCTAAAGTTTCTATAAATAAAACTAAAGAATGAAAAAAAAATAAATACACAGGAAAATAGAATACTTTAAATCATATAATAAAAACCAGATTCATCTTCATTTGTTTAAAAATTTATCAAAATCTATATACAAATTCATTCAGAAAAATAAAAAGATTTTTTTCAAAAATTGTCGGTCTATAAATATCTAAATGATGATATCGGGCTATAGTGGTTTATTTTTAACGCACATTTTATTTCTTCAATCAATTGATTCTTCATACATTTCATACACAGGAAGGAGAAATTTCTTTAGTCAATCACCAGTAATAGCTACTTTTCTACAATCATTTTTTTTCCAAATCTCTATTATATGATCCTATCAACCGTTCAATCGACACATCTGATGTTATACAACAACTACTTTAAGTAGAAAAAAAAACAATAAATCAAAATAAGTATTTGAAAAAATTTTCCATAAAACTTTCGAAAATTTTATTTTATTTCTAAATTTGATGAATTGAAACAAAACAAAACAAAACAAAATTCAATCAAACAAAACAACAAACAAAATTGTGGTCGATGCAAACGAACAAACAACCAAAAAAAAAGAAGATATTTTCTCTTTTTTTTATCAAGTTTATCGTTTCGAAACACAACAACAATATATCTTTATATAACGGAATAAAGGATTTTGATATTAGCAGGGTAGCATTAACAGGCAAAACAAAAAACAAAAAACATTTCATTTCGTATCCAAAAAAAAAGTATCGATAACAAAGACAAATTCATTGCAGACAGAATAGGAGAGTGAAAAAAAATCGATTTTGTTGTTTTGAATTCTTACAAACTAGAATCACACGAATCAAAAAAAACTCAAAATCGAATCTCATCCCATGTTATATACGGTTTGTTTGATCAAATCGGATCGAATAAAAAGGAAAAAGTTGTACAAATGTATCAACTTTTTTTCAAGAAAAAACAATCGAATCAAAACACAATTTTTCGATAAAAATTTGTTTTTTCCAGATCAAGCTCAACAACATTATGAAAATATTTTCGATTTGTTGTTATATAACCCCCGTATAACATTCTTTTTTTAGCTAATAAAACATTCATTTTCGCACATATAACATTGGTTTGAAAAGAAATGAACAAAAAAAAAAAAGAAAGAAAATCTAATCAGACAACCGAAAAAAAAACAAAAACAAAATCATTTCATTTTACAAATATTCTATGGATGCGCGTGTATTCAGTGAAATAAAGTTCATCATCCCTGAAAAATTCGGATACAAACAAAAAAAAAATAGAAAGCAAAAAAATTAAAGTCAAGAAACAATAGAAAAAAATAGGATTTGTTCATTATACAAACGACGTACACAAAGCACACATTGTTAGTCGACCAGAAGATAATTTGATTGAAACAACAAAATGAATGGCGACGAATTCCTTGATCACATACCGAAAATAAAAGAAGGAAAACAAAATTCCGACAACGGAGATTGATTTGGAAAGGAAGGAATAAGGAAAATAAAACAAATTTTCCAACAAATTTGATTTAATTTGAAATTCTCCGTGTTGTGTATATACATTATATTTAAGAATT